GGTTAACTAAAATTATAAAAGATAAAGATTAAAAGGTTCAAGGTCAAATATTTAATTTAGACCAACATTTTCATTCTCATTTTCATTAGTTTCATCATAGATCATATAAAGATGCCTCCAAATCTAGTTTGTCGATAGAAAGATCTTAAAACTCAGAGTCCTCTAAAATTAGTTATATGTATTATAAATCTTAATATTTTCAACTTTTATTTATTAAGTTTCCAAAGTCAATAAAAAGGATTTGTCGCGTTTCTATTTTGGAAACGTGAGTTTCCATCGTGTTTCCAAACATAGATTTTTAGGAAACGTGTTTCCGTGCCGTTTTTCGTGTTTCCGAAGAGTTTCCGTTTCCGAAACGTTTCGGAAACGGGAAACGGACCTTGAAGAGAGTTTCCATGCAACATAGTCATCGTTATACAAATTTACAATAAACTAATATAATCAAAGACTCCTTTGGAAAATTCCCAAAAAAAAACCCAAAGTAATTTTTATTTGGACGTTTAATGCCCAATTATTTTTGATTGGAATAAAAATACCTCAACTAATTATTCGTGGTCATAAAATACTTCGTATATAAACTATTGGTAGAATCAAACCCACACGTTAGCAGCCGTTAACGGCTGTAAAGGAATTAACTAACGGCGTTAAATATCATTCTCATATAACTTAATCTCTATATATATAATCTGCTCTTATAATTTACGAAAATTTTAACGTGGTCCAGTGGAATAGTGCGGCTTACTCAATATGCGCGACCCGGGTTTGATTCCAGTAGAGTCAAATTTTTTTTTTTTCTCTTCTTCTCCTTTGCCGATCTCTGTTTTTTTTTTTTTTTACTCTCCTTCCCCGTCGTTGACCACCACCGTCCCAGAAATAATACTTCATCCAACCCATGAATAAGAACCTCCAATTCCTCTTCCAAATCGAGTAACAAATCGGTACACCCACACCATCAACCATCACCCTCGTATCTCCAACCATCATTTCACTCACCAAGCCTTTACAAACCCTAAACCTCTCATCCCTAATCGCAGAGGATGATAATTAAGAATCCCCAGCCCCGAAATCAACCTCCAATTGTAGCTATTTGAATTTGAATTCCCAATTTTCAGATATGAGGAAGGCGAAGAAGAGAAGAAGAAGAAGAGAAAAAAAAAAAAGGAAGACAAAATTAGCTATGAGGACAACTCAAACCCAAGCTTACCACTTACCGCTTACCACTAGACCACAACAACTTATTCGCATAACCTTGTTAAACGATTGTATATATTAATTAACATATTTGAGTTTGATATTTAACGCCGTTAGTTAATTCCTTTACGTCCGTTAACAGCTGTTAACGTGCGGGTTTGATTCTACCAATAGTTTATATACAAAGTATTTTATGACCACGAATAATTAGTTGAGGTATTTTTATTCCAATCAAAAATAATTGGGCATTAAACGTCCAAATAAAAATTATTTTGGGTTTTTTTTGGGAATTTTCCCTTAACAAAAATATTTTTGGATCATAACTCATAGCCAGCCAACCATACAACCATACAACCAGATTCGAAAATATTCACATACTAGATATTAACCCGCTGGTAGGATTTTTATTTTATAGTATCACATAAAATGGGTATGCATGAAGATATTTTCTTTAGCTGATCTAAAACAACAAATAAAACAAACATATACAATATGTACCTATAATTGCAATGATAACAAAAGTTATTAACATGTACATAAACAAAACAAAAAAAAAGTACACGTCCCAATATCTCCTAACAAAATTTACGCGTCATTGTCATGGACTCATGGTTCGTCGTCTAAAGCCTATTTCAGTCAATTACCTATCGTCTTACAACTTGAATAACTTGATACGACCATCCAATAATTGTTCACTAGATTTGGTAGGAAATAGAAAATCATTTCACAAATCCTTGTTCATCAACTCTATTATAGTTTAAAGTTAGTAAAATGAAAAAAAATTGGTAGGAAATAATTTCAAGTTATAGTTAGAAGATTATAAGAGTCTAAGATAAAAGTAGACTAGTTGAATTTAAATGAATTCATGTTTCCATATACTAGGGTTATCCAATTATGTAATTCATAGATTTTCAAAAAAATTATAATTTTATATTGATCTTTGAATTCTATTATAATGGTGATTTAACTGCCCAGTACTAGAAGGTTAAGGAAGTTGGCGACCTGATGACAAGGGAACCGGCGACCGAAGCCCCGGTGAACGGCGGTCATAAGTCATAACTATAACGTTCTTAAGATAGCGAAATTTTTTGTCGGGTAAGTTCAATGTTAATATCATATGATGGTTTTAATGGTAATGTCAAATAAAATAAAATAAATAATTAAACAGAAAGCTCCCTAATTAAAATCTTTGTTGAATTGGCACACCTCCTAAATAAACTGATGGATTCTAATGGGCCTGTAATACAAAAGCCCACATTATCCCTAATGACTTTATGAAAGCACCAAACCTAACTGACAAACTCCACAAACTCCAAACTAGTTTAATTACTTTAGAGACATCGTTTGACGCGATGCTTACGTGTCATATTTTGTCGTTATGGGTTGCCTAAAAGCAGCGGTCACTCGCTCGTGCGTGGCCGCTTTAAAATCCACTGGTCTGGAGGAAACAGTACCAGCTAAGCTCGCAGCTCAAAGCTCAAAGCTCATTGTGTAATAATTGTATAGCTTTTTTGGCGAAAAGAAGAGTCAGATCAGCGAGCCTGAGATGGGTTGGGGTTGGGGTTGGGTGTTGCTATTCCTGGCGGTGGCTCTGCTTTGTCAGAGGACAAGTTCAATCGGAGCTAACTGGGGCACACAGGCGTCGCACCCTCTTCCACCGGACATAGTTGTGCGGATGCTAAGAGAGAATGGTATTCAGAAAGTTAAGCTCTTTGACGCCGAGTACGACACTCTCAGAGCTTTGGGCAAATCCGGAATCGAAGTCATGGTTGGTATTCCCAATGAGATGCTTGCAACTCTCGCCTCTAGCCTCAAAGCTGCTGAGAAATGGGTTGCTAAAAATGTCTCTACTCACATCTCCACCGACAACGTCAACATCAGGTACTTCCTCTGTTTCTTTCCTTTTTTAGGGTTTCACATTTGTACTGTACTAGCTGGGGAATTGGATTCAGTGACTTTGAGTTTGGATTCTCCTAGACAGTTACTAGCCATGCCTGAAATTACGGGTTACTGTCTTTTTCTGAGATAATTCTACCCAAATCTCACTAGAGTAGGTACTGAATTGATGCTGTGATTTGGTTGTTGGACAGATATGTGGCTGTTGGCAACGAACCTTTCTTGTCTACTTATAATGGGAGCTATCTGAGTACTACTTTCCCTGCCTTGAGGAACATCCAAATTGCAATTATAAAGGCTGGACTTCAGAACCAAGTGAAGGTCACTTGTCCCTTGAACGCTGATGTCTATGACAGCTCCACCACTTTTCCTTCTGGAGGGGATTTCAGAGCTAATATCCGTGATCTCATGATCACTATCGTCAAGTTCTTGAGCGAAAATGGCGGCCCTTTCACCGTTAACATCTACCCTTTCATCAGTCTTTACAACAACCCCGATTTCCCAGTCGATTACGCTTTCTTTGACGGCAATTCACAGCCCCTGAACGATGGTGGGACTTTTTATTACAACATGTTTGATGCAAATTACGACACTCTAGTGCACGCGCTGGAGAAGAATGGTTTTGGTAACATGCCTATCATAATTGGGGAGATTGGTTGGCCTACTGATGGGGACAGTAACGCGAATGTGGACTACGCTAGGAAGTTCAACCAAGGGTTCATGGCTCACATCTCTGGCGGGAAGGGGACTCCGAGGAGACCTGGCCCTATCGATGCGTATCTGTTCAGCTTGATAGATGAGGACGCCAAAAGTGTTCAGCCAGGATACTTTGAGCGACATTGGGGGATATTCACATTTGACGGCTTACCAAAATACCTCTTGAACCTAGGAACAACCAACTCAGGATCTCTGATCCAAGCCAAAGGGGTACGTTACCTACAGAGGAAGTGGTGTGTGATGAGGCCAAATGTGAGGTTGGACGATCCGCAGGTGGCTCCCAGCGTGAGCTACGCATGTAGCCTCGGGGACTGCACCAGCCTCGGGGTTGGGACGTCCTGTGCGAATCTTGACGGGAAACAAAACATATCGTATGCATTCAACAGTTACTATCAGATACAGGACCAGCTTGATACAGCTTGTAAGTTTCCAAACATATCAGAGGTGACCAAGACAGATCCCTCTACTGGAACCTGCAGATTTCCGATTATGATAGAGCCTTACTACGGTGGGGCAGCCCGGGAACACAGCTTCTTCTTCCCACTACTGATGGCGGCAGCCATCGCTGTCTCTATTTTTTGATGGTTTCTTCTTGTCAATTTGTAATTCTGTGTGATGGCTTGAACTCTTTTTTTTTTTTGAATTCTGATTTCTCTTCCCCAGACCAAGTGATTATTAGAGCAATTTCCAGGGAACAAACTGACCTGAAAACAATGCCATGTTCAGTAAATCAGGCCCAAATGAGCATTTGTAATTTGTACTTATGGTAGTTGGGAAAGGTTCTAGCTCTCTTTCTCCCTGAAGCTCTGTTTCATAAATCCTGCAGAGAATGTCCTTTTATTGTTATAACAGACATCCACTACAGATTTGAACAACTTCCAATTCTTCATATGAAGAGTTTCCTTTTCTCCTTGCTCTTGTTCTTCTTTTCTTTTTGTAAATAGGAAACTAGGAGATAATTATCTACTTTCTTAATCTTTGATTCCAATCATAATATCTTAACTTAATGCTTAGAACTAAAGAGGAGAATGTGACTCTCCACGTCTCCATAAATGGAAACAGGTAATCACGGGATGCTCATAAATGGAATAGGAGACTACTGTAACGGTGATCTCAATCAAATTAAACCCTAATCAATATCTTTTTTTTCTACATCTCGTTTTTCCCTAAATTTGAAAGTTTGACAGTAGGACAATACAGTAGTCTCCTATTCCAAACTAGAGGTTTTTCGGAATATCAGATTATAAAACTATGAAGTTGCTGCTCCCTCCTTCTGAATCCCATCTCGTCCCAAGTCTTAGCAAGAAACAGAATGAAGATGCTAGTGGCAGAAAAGAAGAAGATGGTAAGGGGAATGAACACAATGGTATGGAGTCATGTACCCGAATGAAGCGTACCGTTTGGACAGTGGAGCTCCACCAGAAGTTTGTCAATGCTGTTCAGCAATTGGGCCTCGACAGTGAGTTTTCCCATAAACCCCTTTTCACCTTTTCTTATGTGTGATGTCCACTCTTGTTTCTGCTAAAGAGTTATTTTGATGCTTTCATGTGTGGAATCCTCTTTTCATTTCTCCTTGTGTTTGCTTTCTCTGGGTCTCTATTGCAGAGGCTTCTCCTGAACAAATACATGCTCTCATGAATGTAGAAGGTCTCCCAGTGATAAATGTAGCCAGCCATTTGCAGGTACTAACTTCCCATTCTCTCATGCATTTTGACTTGTTTCGACTTTTGATGATGAGATGGTTCTGACTTGTATGTTTGTTTTTTCTCTCTGGTTTTGGTTGCAGAAGTACAGACTGTTCTTGAAAAAGATATACGAAGGTCAGCAGCTGGACATGGCCACAATACAACTGCTCTTATCTGCAGGTTCCCATTTCCCCCAAACCCCATCGACAAATCACTGCTCCAGCTTCATCCAACAGGGGCATCACCAGAACTCAAGCAATTCATCTGAAACATATCACACTACTCTGTCACCAAGAGTCCAGAAAGTGAATACGTTTCAACCAAGTTCATCTCCACTAAAGCCTCTCTTGTTTCCTAAAAGCAATATCTCTGCATTCAAGGAAGATTTTAAAAGCATAAAGGAGCCAGCCATTGTTGGTGATAGCTCCCTAGATTCTTCCAAGCCACGCAACAGTTTCCAAACAGCCTCTAAATTTCCGAAGACGGATCCTTGTACCGGAAGCTACATAATTGAGATTATGACAGAGCCCTACTACGGAAAGAGTTCTCGTAGACACAGGTTCTTCTTCCCGTTGCTGCTAGCTGCCGCCATCTTACTCTCTATTTATTTATGGTTTTTTGTCAATGTGTAACAACTCTATGTGATGGCTGCAACTTTCTTTCATTTTCATTTTCATTTTCTCTCAGGATTATGTTTTGGTGTTTAGCATTTTGATATCCTTAATCTCAATAATTCAGTCCCAAAATGAGCATCTAATTCTTGTTTCGTCGTTCAAAATGTCCTACTTCACCAAACCGGTTAACTCATGGTTTATTTAAATGTAACAGATTACTATCAAACCAGAAACCCACGAAATTTCCCAATTTCAGGACTTTTGAAATCCCAAAATCCAAAAGGCTAATCCAAAAGATATTAATGCTTAAAAGTTGGAAAGAGGTGCAAAAAATAAAAAGGAATATATATGATGATTAATTGATTATGTGGAGAATTAAGGGCCGGATTTAATGGGATAAAGATTCCATATAAAAACGAAATTATCATAATCTAAAAACGGTTATTTGAGATTTTTTTTTGACGAGTTATTAGGGTTACTGTGATCTTAATCAAATTAAAACCCTAATAACCGAAGCTGAGCAGCTGAACATTCTCTGCTAATCTATCTGATACATATCACCGTACTCCGTTACCAAGAGTCGAGAACGTGAATCTGTCTCAACCAAGTTCAAATCCACTAGAGCCCCTCTTGTTTCCTAAAAGCAATTTCTCTGCAACATGGGAGATTTTAAAAGCATAAAAGAGCCAGAAATTGTCCAAGAGTCACGTACACGAAAGAATCACGGCCGTGTCGTTTGGTCACATGAACTCCACCAGAAGTTTCTCAATGCCATTGACCAATTGGGCGGCAACGAAAGTGAGTTTCCCCATAAACACCTTTCCTTATGTGTGTGATGTCCACACATAAAGATGTATTTCATGTGTATGGAGTCATCTTTTCATGTATCCTAATGTATGTTTTCTCTGAGTTTCCACTACAGAGGCTATTCCCAAGAAAATACATGCCGTCATGAATGTAGAAGGTCTCACTAGGCTAAACGTAGCCACCCATTTGCAGGTACTCATTTCCCATCCTCTCATCCATTTTGACTTGTTTTGAGTTTTGATGATGAGATGGTTCGACTTGTTTTTTTTCTCTCTGGTTTTGGTTGCAGAAGTACAGACAATTAATGTTGTTCAACCGAAGCTCATCAGCTGAACATGGCCACAAGAAAACTACCAAGCTCGGAACATCTGCCCCAAAGTCCATCGACAAATCATCACAGTAGTCTGTCACCAAGAGTCCAGGACGTGAATATACGTATCAACCTACTTCATCTCCACTAAAGCCCCTCTTGTTTCCTAAAAGCAATTTCTCTGCATTCAAGGGAGATTTTAAAAGCATTAATAAGGACCCAATACTGCTCTTACTCTCTATTTATTTATGGTTTTTATTTTTTCAATGTGTAACTCTCTTTGTGATGGCTGCAACTTTCTTTTCTTATTTCCTCTCAGGATTATGTTTTGGTGATTAGCCTTTTGATATCTCTAATCTCAATAATTCAGTCCCAAAATGAGCATATAGTTTTGTACTTGTGGTCGTTGAAATCTCAAATGGGAGCTTTTCTTCTTTCTTTTTCAGAGTTTCAAATTCTCCTTCCTCACCTAACCGGTTAACTCATGGTTTAATTAAAAAGAACCAGCAACTATAACCAAACCAATGAGCCACAAAATTTCCCAATCTTGAGGACGTTTGAAATCCCAAGATCCACAAGACTCCATGGATGAGTGATTGAAGAACTCAAAAACTCAGCTCCACATTTGAAATCAATCTCCTAGAACCTCTGTATTATTATTAACTCAGCCGAGATTTCTTATACTCTAGATTATTATTAGCACACTACTACAAGCCTAGTCGAAATTCACCCTATATAGAACATCAAGAATCCTTAATTCTCCAAACTCCATATTATAGCTGATCGACTTTTAAGAAAATCTTTTTAATCACGTTGACTCCATCCATGGTTGAGCAGAGATAGATGAAATCAAGTTCCTGGAATCTCACCAACCACACATAGAGCAGATTGACACGAAACAGACAACATCATGTCTTTAGAGTTGTGAAGGGATCTTAGTGTTTTCAGGTCTAGAGCAAGCAATGGGCTAGTTGATTTGAAGAGACCACAGAATTGTCTGTTTTGTTAGTTGTGTTTATACAATTGTACCATTGGAAAGGAAACTGGAAATGAGTCTATGTGGTAGTGGAAATGAGACCAAAAGATTATTTTTTGGAGTGGTGCATAGTTCCAATGGTTTGGTGAGGGATATAGTTAGACTGTTGGAGAGTCGTCAGCAAAACATGAAATATCAATCTCAGCAACTATCTGTGACGCAGTTTTCACATTGGTTGTGATTTCAGATAGAATAATCAAGAAAATGGCAGAGTGGTCAGAAGTATGACTAAGAACTAAGAATGTGAAGCAAGAAGAGTCAACGGATTCGAATGCCTGAATGTGATCAGGTCAGTCCATTGCATTTGTCGAATTTGGGTAATTTCAAAATCAGATTTTTTTTGGGTGCATTCACTTTGAAGACTAAAAAGGAAAAACATTTCTATGGAAAATAGGAAATGCATATATATAAGGAAAGCCAGGAAGGGTTGAAATGCTGGGTTTGAACGTTTATTTGCGAGTAAGGAAAGAAAATGGGGACATTTACATTCACTTTACGAAAAGTTGTCTTTTGTGCACAGAAATGGCAAGATTCAACAAACAAAAGGAAAGTAGAGGAACATGTGACTCTCCTCGTCCTCATATATGGAAATATGAGCAAATACAGAAGGCAATTTCTGATTATTTGGAGAATTAAGGGCCAGATTAACCGCGTAATCACTCTCTTTTTTTGGGCCTCTCGTCTTTATCTTTTTACATTTGTCTGTCTATAGGACTATGGTCTTCTAGTCCCAAACTTCAGGTTTTAAGAATTACAGATCAGATTTTAGTCTATGTACTATTTTTCCTTTGGAGACATAACGGAAGAGAGGAGACGACTTGCAGACGTATTGCATCAAGTATGGAGTTGAGAAGCACTGACGATGGAAGACATGAGAAGTTTCCGGTAGGAATGAGGGTCCTTGCTGTGGATGACAATCCAACCTGCCTTCGGAAACTCGAAGAGTTGCTGCTTCGTTGCAAGTATCATGGTACTTATTCTTTGCTTTTGTTTGTTTTGTTTTGGAGTAGGAGTGCCTGATCAATGTTGTTTGATTGATACGCCAGTGACAAAAACAATGGAGTCGAAGAAAGCTCTGGAAATGCTGAGAGAGAACAGCAACATGTTTGATCTGGTCATAAGCGATGTAGAGATGCCAGACACGGACGGCTTTAAGTTGCTTGAGATCGGTCTTGAAATGGACCTTCCTGTCATCAGTACGTCTCCTCCCATTGTTTTCATATTAACTCTAGCCTTCTTCTAACTTGCTTCATTGTCTCAGTGTTGTCAGCTCATAGCGACTATGACAGCGTTATGAAAGGTATTATACATGGCGCTTGCGATTATCTGGTCAAGCCTGTTGGACTCAAGGAGCTTCAGAATATATGGCATCATGTTGTGAAGAAGAACATTAAATCATATGCAAAAAACATAGGCCCTTCTCGCCAACTGCTCCCACCTTCTGAATCCGATCTCGTCCCAAGGGCCAGCAAGAAACGGAAAGAAAAAGTCAATGACAGTGGTGATGAAGATGAAAGTGACAGAGACGAGGATGATGGTGAGGGGAGTGAACAGGATGGTGACGAGTCAGGTACGCGGAAGAAGCCACGTGTTGTTTGGTCGCAGGAGCTCCACCAGAAGTTTGTCAGTGCTGTTCAGCAATTGGGCCTTGACAGTGAGTTTCCCCATAAACCTCTTTTAAACTTTCCTTATGTTTGATGCTTTCATGTGTGGAATCCTCTTTTCATTTCTCCTTGTGTTTGTTTTCTCTGGGTCTCCATCACAGAGGCTGTTCCCAAAAAAATACTTGATCTCATGAGTATAGAAGGTCTCACTAGGGAAAACGTAGCCAGCCATTTGCAGGTACTAATTCCCCATTCCTTTGCTAATATAATCTTGGATGGTGAGACGATTCGACTTGTTTTTTTCTCTGGTTTTGGTTGCAGAAGTACAGACTGTACTTGAAAAAGATAGACGAAGGTCAGCAGCAAAATATGACCCCAGATGCATTTGGAACAAGAGATTCATCTTACTTTCAGATGGCTCAACTTGATGGACTTAGAGATTTTACTGCCACAAGACAAATTCCAAGCTCGGGACTCTTATCGCGTTCCCATCTCACCAAACTTCAACCACCTATGTATTCATCAATAAATCTTCAAGGAATGAACTCCTCCAGCTTCATCCAACAGGGGCATCACCAGAACTCAAGCAACTCAGCTAATCCTTTTGGAACATATCACACTACTCTGTCACCAAGAATCCAGAACGTGAATCTGTTTCAGCGAACTTCATCTCCACTAGAAACCCTCCAGTTTCCGAGAAGCAAGTCATACATTGGAGATTTTAAAGGCATAGGGGACCGAGCAATTGGCGGTAGCTTCCTAGATTCTTGTATGCCATTTGGTAGCTCTAGCACCTCTTTGCCAAGTGCTTCCACCAATACTCTAATGTTGCAAGCAAACTATACACAACCCCTGCATATAACCTCAGATGGAAACCAGCCTTGCATCGAGGGAAATCAGTCCAACTCTGCCTCCCCAAACATCAGTTTCCAAGGCTTATCTAGATTTCCTAGTCATAGCTGGCAAGGGAATTTGAACACAACCAGATTCCCACCGAGTTCTTTACCTCTAAATCCTGCTTTCTTGCCGGATCAAGTGACATGTGCAGGGAACAATCTGGGAGATTGTACCTCTTTGGTTTCTGCAGGGAATCCTGGTGGAGAGATTCAGTGTGAGCCTCAGTTACTTGGCGGCTTCATGCAGAACATGAATCCTTTAGACGGACAGAAATGGGAGCAACAGAACTGCACCATGCTGAACAATACATTCGGTAACATTGAGTATCCTCTACCCGCAGATAACATGGTTTTCAGAGACAACAATGCAATCAGAAGCAAAGGCTTGGATGAGTCACTGATGAACCCAATAGACAACAATCAGGAGTATGTTGGAAAAGCTACTACAATGCTGGATCCAGAGATGAAGTCGGGAAAGCCAGAGAATGACAACCAGCACGATGTATTCGATGACATAATGAATGAGATGATGAAACAGGTAACGCCTTGTTTTCTTGATTGCACTAAAAGCTTTTGTATTTAGTAGAAAGTGAAAGTGAATGTGTTTGTTGCAGGAGGAGAATAACGGAATGGTGTCAGTGGCTACTAGATTTGGCTTTGATTCATTTCCTCCGCCTTAGTTAGTCATATGTTTCTCTACCAATTGCATTAAGTTTCTCCACTTGAGACCATTTTCATTGTGTTTTTTTCCTTTTTCTTCCCACATTGTTTCCTCCGACTGTCAATAGATCAGCTGACACAGTGCACCAACCTGTTTCATACTCTCTTTTATGAATTGGACTTGGAATTGAAAGCGAGCCTGTTGCAAAATTTTATTCTACAAAGTAACTTTTGAAAGGTTCTGCAGAGTGTTGTCGACATTTAAAAGTTAAAACCAATAATACGAATAGTAATGGGCCTAATTAATAATTTATTTGCTTACATAATGGAGCTATTGTGAAGTGTCAATAAGAGGAGATATTTAGTTTACCAAAAAAAAAATAAGAGGAGATATTTACATGTCGATACGATATTTTGGTGGGGCCTAGAAACGGCTAGAGGAAGGAAGTCAAATCAAAATGAGACTGTATGGCCCATTGTATTGTATCCTTCTTCCAACAGAACAAAGAGACATTTGTGTCCTCCACCTTTATTCACATTTGTAACTGCTAGACGCTACTAGAACCCTTGCCCTACACGCTTTCCACGTGTCATCATCTCGTCCCAGCGAAATCTCCTTGATATTATTTTTCTATTTCCCTATAAAGAAAAGAATCACTCTTCTTATCCTTTTACCTCAAAGAAAATATCGAAATCTTAGAGAAGAAGAAGAAAAGAGAAGAGAAATGACAGAGAAGAAAGAGATGCAGGTCGTGAAAGGGCTAGACTTGGAGAGATACATGGGCCGTTGGTACGAGATTGCTTCGTTCCCTTCAAGGTTTCAGCCAAAGAACGGCGTCGACACTCGCGCCACCTACACCCTTAACCCCGACGGTACGGTGCACGTCTTGAACGAAACGTGGAGCAACGGGAAGAGGGGTTTTATCGAAGGCAGCGCCTATAAGGCCGATCCTAAAAGCGACGAAGCCAAGCTCAAAGTCAAGTTCTACGTTCCTCCTTTCCTCCCAATCATTCCCGTCACCGGAGACTACTGGGTGCTCTACATCGATCCTGACTACCAGCACGCTCTCATCGGCCAGCCTTCCAGGAGTTATCTCTGGGTTGGTACCTTTTCTTTTTGTCTGTAAAGAATAATCGAAATGATCCCAATAAGGATTGACTAAGTTTTGTGGGTGGTGTAGATATTGAGCAGGACGGCGCATATGGAGGAAGAGACGTATAAGCAGCTGGTGGAGAAGGCGGTGGAGGAAGGATACGACATCAGCAAGCTTCACAAGACTCCTCAGAGTGACACACCACCTGAGACCAACACTGCCCCCGAAGACTCCAAGGGCATTTGGTGGTTCAAATCTCTCTTCGGCAAATAGATTACTCAACAACATACAAAGACTTTGTTTCACCTCTTTTACTCTTTTGTCTGTGTAATATACTACCTCGTTTGTCTACTCTAGTTATCGTCCATCTGTTTTTGTCTATTTGCAACATCTAAAATCTATATGCAAAAGTCATCTCTATTTTCATAAGGAAGCGCACACAAATTCAATCAGATAATCTGGCAAACACAATTGAAATCTTGCAGAAGTGATTATGTATTTGGATAAACACACCACACGACTCGAGTCTTATGGAATATCAAATAATGCATGCAAACTACAGACGGAATTATATGTATAGTAGTAGATAGACGATAGAAAAACAGTCTCCCCCCAGCAAAAGTTTGGTTGACTATATACCCAGGACTCTTCCATAGACCATAGCAGCAGCTCACAGAATAGTACAGCATGAATTTGTTTTCTTCGCTTGCTTGTAAAACATCTGTTCCAACCAAAACAACCAAATCAGATTCTCATGTCGGAAGTAAACTTGGTTTACCTATCTCAACAACGATGAATTTCTTGTGATTGCAGATGATATGACTAATAAATATGTTCCTCTGCATGATCAGATGAGATAGCAAAACCTAGTTTTCTATAAATCTTCGTAAACCTAGTTGGTTAATTCCAACTATATAGTTCAAACTGCACTCAAATGTCGGGGTATACTACGGCGGACTGAAGCAGAAAGCTTTTCTCAAAAAAGGTATTCAACTGGAACGTTTTCTAAATCCACATTCTTCCTCTATTTATCTACCCCAACAATAACATGCAATAGTTCCTCTATCTATCAACAACCCGCTCATGTCCTACACTTTCTAACGGTGTTAACCAACTATGCTCAGAGACCGAGACAGGGAAAAAAGGAAATTGATCTATATATAGATATGGGGATTTCTAGGATGCGACAGGAGAATGTTACCTGTGATGCCATGCTTAAATCTGAGCTCTTCTCCACTAGGCTGTCCAGCTTCTCACCACGGGCTAGAACACTATCAATGGTTTTATGCTACAATACAGAACAAAAATTCAGTCTTAGGGAGACAGAGACATCCATCATAACTGCAAGACTTTCTTCTTGTTCTGGTGTTTTTCAGAAGAAAGTTAACTCACCGACAGAACAGCATTTATGTATAATTGGCATGTTTACTGGAACTTAGAAAAGAAAGTACAGCTTATGTATAAGGGTCTACAAGAAAAGACCAGACAGCACTTACAAGGATAATTTTTGTCTCATCCAACTCCCTCTGGATTTTCAACAGCTTATCAGCCTCTGCTGGGTCCTGAAGATTACAAATACAGGGCAATCACAAAATCAGATCAAATCACTCAAAATCCAAAATCAACTTGGTCATAAAACAATGAGGTTAGTAAAATTAATTAGTGAAGAATCATTCGATCGGATTCTAATGTCCACCTAATTGAGCTTAATATAACTACAGTTTTAAACAAGATTCAAAGGAAGCAAATAGAGTTGCGCAAGGGAAGAACCTGAAATTTGTTTAAAGCTTCTGTTAAGTATGGCCAAGGCTGACTGGAGTCTTCTTTTGCAGACCTCCATGCCTCACCAAAACTCTTCTGGTACTCATCTAGGACCTGAGACAAAAGCAAACAGAATCATTTCCTCTCGACGAGAACTTAGATTCTTAAGAGATTAAACTACAGGAAAACTAGGAATGATGCATTGAGAACCACTTTAAACATAATAATGATACCTGATTGAGAAGAGAAAAAGCACTTCGAACAGGATAATGATCATCCATGAACCCCACCGCGCAAAGGCCATTTCTATTGTAAGCGTGAACCTTGTACTCTATATCAAAAACAAAACACGAACCCTAATTATCCCAAAATCAAGGACAAGAACAAAAAGCTGCAATCGCGTGAAATTAAAGCCGGGGCATACTCCAGGGAGATCTAGAACCAGAAAATGTGCACATCTTAAATCGAAAATCCGATCCGAATCTTAAGAAATCGAATAAAAAGGTAAAGAGGAAAAGAGATTGCATAGATCCAGGAGAAACAAGCTTCAAAAACAATCGATCTAGAGGTAGAAGAAGAAGAAGAAGGAGAAGAAGAACCTTCGTGTTGGACAGACTGGCGCTGGGAAGGAGGGGTTCGGCTGGCGACAGTGCGACCGACAAAGACGACGAACTCCTTGACGCTAGATCGCTGGAAATAACCGAAGTGAGAGACGTCGGAAGCGTTGGCGAGGATGACGGGATCAGAAGCTTCGGGAGCGCACTTGAGAACCAGCAAGGCGGTGATCTTCATAGCTACGGTGGATCGAAGGTTGCGTGAGAAGGAAGCGAGGAGGAGAGGAGAAGAGGCGTTGGACCTGGAAACTATAAGTCGGAGATGCTTAAGGCAAATTAAGTTTTGAGGTGTCGAACCAGACGCCTTCTCTTTAACATTGAATATTGAATATATACCATCTTTTTCTTATTCTCTATCCATTTAATTGAATTAATAAAGAAACATATTCTACGTTGAAGTAAACAAAATCACTTTGGTTCAATTCAATTATATGTGGGAAATCTCGGTTCGGTTTAGGAAATATTATTGACGCTGAATTGGACCGGATATTTTGGGTTTTCCAACACAGAGAATTGGATTCTTAAGAGTGTTAAGTTTAGGCAGAAACTGATCACTATAGATTGTACCGATCCAAAAACCAAAGAATATTATAATTTCTGCTGCCAATCCCCTTTTTCTTATTAACGGAAGTATCGATTTCGATTTGGTTCGGATCGGCCAACATGGTTTGGTCCAAATGCCCCCATATATGACAAATGAATGTAGTAAAAAGTCCAAAACAATAAATTAACAAAACTGAGTGGTGATAGATAAATTTGTGCAAAGAAAATGTAAGAAAACATAAAAAAAGGAAAATCGGTTAAGAAGGGAATGGAGGGGAAAAAGAGATAAAAATAGAAAGGAGTAAATGGCCATAAATGGGATATGAGAGAGCAAGTTACTTTTTTTACCATTAATTAACCTTGTTTGACCCATCACCCCTTTCTCTTCTTTTTCCTTCCTCTAACCAAACGAGGAAAACAAGCAGAAGAGGGGATTCATGTTCTTTTCTCGCTGTAAGATCTCTCTTTCACAATTTTCTTATATGTGAAAATTCTGTTTTTGTTTATGTATCTCTGACTTTGATTTTCTATTGGGGTACGTACGTTACACACAAATGCAGGATCAATCAAAAGAGATGCTGAGGTTTATCATCTTTTTTTCCCTTTTTATACACTTATGTGTTGCGGCACCCAAGACTCCTGCTGCTGCCGCGGCTGTTCCTGCCAAGAAATGGCTTACACTTAACGGTAAGCATCCTTTTACAGAGTATGCCCACGTTGTTTGTTTGTTTCTAAGAATCCGTACCTGTCTTTTGTCTTCCAGGACAAGAGCCTGCGGTTGTAGCCAGAGGCGGCTTCTCGGGTCTTTTCCCTGAGTCAAGCGCCCCTGCAAACGACATGGCTGTTAGCACCAGCTCGCCTGGCCTCACAATGTTGTGCAACCTTCAGATGACTAAGGACGGTGTGGGCCTTTGCTTGTCAGATATCAGACTTGATAATGCAACCACCATCTCCTCGCTCTTCCCCAAAGCCCAGAAGACCTACAAGGTCAACGGTCAGGACCTCAAGGGCTGGTTTGTCCTTGATTACGATGCCGACACCATCTTCTCCAATGTCTCTTGTATGTCTTCTTCTTCTCTTTTCCTCCCTTCAATGCTCACCACCAACACCACACATTTCATCTTTTGTATTATTGGGCAGTGGTCCAGAACATCTTCTCTCGGCCCAGCATCTTCGACGGCCAAATGCCGGTTTCTGCAGTGGAGGATGTCCTTGGAACCAAGCCTCCCAAGTTCTGGTTGAGCGTTCAGGTATCTATTTTCTTTTCGATCATATGATTAACCAACATAGGGAACGTTCTTGTTCTTTTTCAAAAAATCAAACAATGCATATGTGCAGTACGATTCCTTCTACATGGAACACAAGCTGAGTGCAGCCGAGTACCTGAGAAGCTTGCGATTCCGCGGCATTAATGTCATCTCATCTCCAGAGATCGGTTTCTTGAAGAGCATTGGGATGGACGCAGGCAGGGCCAAGACAAAGCTCATATTCGAGTTCAAAGAGCCCGACGCGATTGAGCCCACCACAAACAAGAAGTACAGCGAACTTCAGCAGAACCTTGCAGCAATCAAGGCCTTTGCTTCAGGTGTTCTTGTCCCCAAAGACTACATTTGGCCCCTTGACACAGCTAAGTACCTTAAGCCCGCCACCACTTTTGTGGCTGATGCCCACAAAGCCGGTCTAGAGGTCTATGCTTCTGGGTTTGCCAACGACATGCGCACTAGCTTCAACTACAGCTACGATCCCTCCACTGAGTATCTCCAGTTTGTGGACAATGGCGAGTTCTCTGTTGATGGCGTCATTACCGACTTTCCACCAACAGCATCACAAGCCATCAGTGAGATGACTTGCTATCTACCCTCATCATATATATGATTATTAGAAACAAGCTAACGCCTCACGCGTATGTGTTCTTGCAGCTTGCTTTTCTCACCAAAAGGGAAATCTCCCGAAAGCAGGGCATGCATTGGTTATAACTCACAATGGAGCAAGCGGGGACTATCCAGGCTGCACTGATCTGGCTTACCAGAAAGCAATCGACGATGGAGCAGACGTGATCGACTGCTCTGTTCAGATGTCTAAAGACGGAATCGCTTTCTGCCATGATGCTGCAGACCTCACAGCAAGCACCACTGCCATGACTACTTTCATGTCCCGAGCCACCAGCGTTCCTGAGATCCAGCCTACCAACGGCATTTTCTCTTTTGATCTTACATGGGCCGAGATACAGTCTGTGAAGCGTAAGAAACTGATTTCTTTTCTTTAGATTTCTGAAACTATCTTATTCTCAACTAAATCACTGAGATCGGCGTATCTTTGTCTTCAGCACAAATCGAGAACCCCTTCACTTCCACGGGCTTCCTGAGAAATCCAGCAAACAAGAACGCTGGGAAGTTCACGACTCTTGCGGACTTCCTTGAGCTCAGCAAAGAAAAGGCAGTCACTGGAGTTTTAATCAACATTGAGGTAAGCCATTTTAACTTCCAAATGCTCCTTGATTAACACAAGGAAGCTCCACTAACACTCTGTTTGTTGACAGAATGCTGCTTATTTAGCCTCGAAGAAAGGCCTAGGAATCGTAGACGCAGTCAAGTCTGCTCTGACCAATTCCACACTCGACAAGCAATCAACTCAGAAGGTTTTGATTCAGTCGGATGACAGTTCAGTTCTATCTAGTTTCGAGGCTGTCCCTCCTTACACTAGAGTCTTGAGTATCGACAAGGAGATTGGAGATGCTCCTAAGCCATCCGTCGAAGAAATCAAGAAGCACGCAGATGCTGTCAATCTCATGAGAACTTCCCTTGTCACCGTCTCCCAAAGCTTTGCCACAGGAAAAACTAATGTGGTAGAGGAAATGCACAAAGCGAATATCTCTGTTTACGTCTCGGTCCTAAGAAACGAGTACATCTCCATAGCGTTCGACTACTTCTCTGATCCTACGGTAGAGCTTGCAACATTCATTGCAGGGAGTGGCGTCGATGGAGTAATCACAGAGTTCCCTGCCACCGCAACCAGATACTTAAGTAAGTTAAAACTTCTACAAGAATATATATACACATTACCAAGATAAGGCTGATCAATTATATTTGATGCAAATGCAGGGAGTCCATGCTCAGATTTAAACAAAGACCAGCCCTATGCCATCTTACCTGCGGAAGCTGGCGCTCTACTCTCCGTTGCAGACAAGGAAGCACAACCACCAGCTAGTGCGCCAAACCCACCTCTTGATGCCAAAGACGTGATTGATCCGCCTCTGCCCCCGGTTGCAAACATGGCCTCCTCCAATGGAACTGGAGAAGGTCCGCCACATACTCCTCCTCCTTCTTCAGGCACCGGTGCCACTGCTGCTAATCTCAGCCTTTCCTTGCTGGCAATGATGGCTTTGGGACTCCTATATACAGCCTAATAAGATTGATCACTCCATATAACTTCAAAGGTTGTAACATGTTTGCCCTCAGCGTATTCAAACTGACACAACTTGAGCTATCTATGTTTTTTACTCACGTTAACCAAAATATGCAGCAAACAGTGATTTGTTGTTGTAGATCAAAAGCTCTACAGAAACTTTCTTTGTTGTCATAGGAATGTTTGATTTCGGTAGAGATTTTGAATCTTGATAATCGTTCATATTTCATTACGAAGAGTCTCTACTTTCATAGTTGTTGCTCTCTGATATCTTGACATTGTTAACCTGCAAAAGGAAAACACCAATGATCAAGACATCAAAGGCCGATTACAAAATAAAAATAGTAACAAAATTACTACAGTATATAATACAGTGCCGTTAAGTATTTTTAAAATATTCTCGCTCTCTCCGGAGGCGCTAAGTATAAGAACAAAAATCTAAAAGACCAATAATCTTTGACAAACGTTACATCAACTACTACAAGAGAGTTCTCTCAGAGTCATCCTTAAGCGTATTCCCTCCCTATTCTTACACAACTTAGCTCATCCCACACATACTTTCCCTAATCACCTAATTAATCTCCATTGAGCTTGATCCTCCAAGGCATTACATTACTGCTACAACTGCTCCGTGGGATGGGAGAATTCCATGTCATCCGTTTAAGCATCCGAAGCAACATTGAGAATCAAACTATCCTCAACCCAGCCGAAGAGGGCCAGTTCATCGCTTTTTATTTCAACTCCAGTTTATGACTCTCAGCTACTCGTCCACCGTCTTTTCCTTGCTGGCCGCTCTGCTTTCACCTCTGAATCCACAGGGCCTTCAATTTTTGCAGAGGGCAGTGTCTCAGACTCCATTTTCTTAACTCCCGTGGTGTCTTTCTCCGTGGGCATTGGAAGCTTGAACCTTTCACTGCGTTTCTTGAGTTTCTCAACCGTGTCCAAGTGCCGGTCTCCTGGTCCCTTCTCGCTACCATCTTTGGTCTCTGCAAGGTTATGGCCACTTTTCTCTTCAGTTACATCCCGGCTCTTGCTAATAGAACCATGAACAAGTTCACTAAGCCTGCCGTTAGTGTTTTTGTCCTTTTCTTCAAGCTTTGAGGAAATGGATGATGACTTGGCAGAGACAGTATCATCTCTCTCTTTGTGGCTTGCCCAACGCTCCAGTTTTGTACGTCCTCTCTTTGAATCGTGTAGCTCATCACCAGAGGATGCATTTTCCTTGTGTCTTTTGGTGGGGTTAGGCTGCTGTGGGTTCTCACTCCTGCAATTCCTTGCTTCGTTTGTTCCTTTTGAGCCCTGAAAGATAGGAAAGAAACATCACTACTGACCGTGAAGCAGAATAAAATTGACCAAGCCATGAAATATCTTAGGTAAGTTAGGCAACAGAACAAAAAACTCTGCGGGATATATTGCATTCACAATAAACATGCTATGTGCAGTTTGCAAAACTTGGATAAGATATAAAAACTATTCATAGGCTGATGGAGCATACTGTCACTACGGAACTGCCATTTTGCTCCCCTTGCTTGCTCCTCAATGATTCTGTGCCCTCTCGCTGTTCTTTAATCTTTCGTCTAGAATCTTTATGTTTTCTGTCTTGCAATCGCTGGCCATCCAAAGTATCAACAAACTTATCAATTTTAGCACCTGTCCTCTCCTGCCTTGGTTTTTTCTCATTGTTAACAATGTCGTCTGTCCGTGCAGAGAAGTCTTCATGTCCTCTATGATGGGAAGAACTTTCTTCACCAAGGTAGTCCCTTCTCTTTGTCTGTTTAGCATGCCTTAATGTATCTTTGGTGAGATGATCTTTGTCAGAAGCTTTATACTCATCCTTCATCCTTGATAGTCGGTCTTCTGAACCTCTGTGGGCCCTTACAGCCACCTGCCTCTCTCTTCCTCGTGCTGATATACCATCCTCGTGAGTTAGCTTCAATTTATCCAAATCATCACGCTCCCTCAACCTCTCGTTTCCATCTCTCTGCATATAGATATCATCTCTGTGCCTGAGAGAACTGTGGTCGTCCAAAACATCTCTGATTTTATGTTGGACATCTCTCTTTTGATGCTCCAACCTATCATCACGTTCTCGTTTCAGGCGGCTGATTGATTCTCTTTGACCATATGAAATTTCATTTTTTTCAGGCCGGCTTCTTCTCAAGTATTCTTCATCCTTCCTCCTCTTGCTAATGTGATCATCCGCTTCATAATTATTTCTCATACCAGCATCATCCATAATATGCTTTCTGGAAGGAACATGGTCATCTTTGCTGCGTATTTCATTCTCTCGCATTTTACCCCTCTGCCTAAAGCCAGGATCATCTTCACGATCCCTTTTTCTAGACCCGTCATCCCCACCTCTTCTACCGTATGGGTCATCTTCTTTCCTGCGCCAGACCGCGCCGTCAACATCTCGCTCTTTTCTTTTATCAAAATCCTCGCGGTTTGCAATTGAGTAGATATAACTAGAATCAAGCTCCATATGGGGATTAGAGTTCTCTCTACCACCTTTGCTCGCCGCTCGTGTTCTTTCCATTTCCTTCCCTCTGTCCTGATTCTTTCTGCTCTGATGCGGTGCATTGTTATCGTGCTGTTTCCTATTGCTAGCTGGTCGAGTGTAATGCTTATCTTGAATAACTTCCTCTTCTGCACCATCCTTCAATTGCTGATAATCTTTGTGACTTCCAGATCTTGCTTTGCTGCTTTCACTACTCCTCTCCGTCTTTGATTCCCCTTCGTCATCTTCTTGAACTGCTGACTGAGGGAATTTAGAACTCATTTTATGCTCCTCCCCCATCTCAGCATCTTTGCCAACTTCACCTCCCACATTTTCGCGATCAACACTTGATGACCTTGTGCCTCTGTCTCCAACAGGAGACGATGAACGAAAACTCTGGCCACTATCCGTGCTTCTAGAGATCTCATCGTCTTGCTTTTTGAGAAGATTTTTATGTGGCTCATCCTGCGCAGGACTATGTTCAGCAGATTCCGTGTCAGGTCTCCTGCTGTTAACATAACTAGTCTCAACTGGGACATTTTCTTCAGGAAGGCTACTATCAGCTTGATCTGTGCCATTTTCACCCGAGGGTTCATCCTCATGTGAATCCTGACACACAATCTGGCAATAAAATCAATAGCAGTTAGTAGCAGTCAGAATACAGCATGCAAAGATGCCTCACCAGTAAACCAAAATCAAGAGAAATTTGAAACTTGTTCAACCTCAATGATAGCATCTAGATCACGCATTCGAGGAGCACGTGTATCAATGGATGGCAGACGTTCACCAGAACCAGCCTCCACAGGTATTGGTCTTCCAGGGGGCTGAGAGAAAACAAATTCAAGAAATACTCTCAAGCTTTTAAAACTAACAAGAAAAATGTCCAGCCACAACGTTACCGTTGCGATATACAATATAATGAACCTCATATTGACAATGCTACTTTAAAATGAAAGCAAAGGAAGGAGAAATCATACTAGTGAAGGTCGAACATTGGCTGGTACTTTAGCTGAATCACCTTGAACAGAGTCTGGCTTCACTAAATTTGAAGAATCAACTGGAACACCCTGCGCGCCTGTTGCTGCAGCTAACTCTGGCGGTAGATCTGGATCATAACCCTATCATTGTACAAGAGAATGATTAGGAATGTATAGTCACCCTTTTGAATCTGATGTAGACAAAATATTGTCCAACTGCAAAGAATAATCAGCTCGTAAGCGCCACAATATATGCCAAGATCCACTTTACCTGATCCGTTCTACCACTTTCATAAACGCGTATTCTGCTTTGCATCGTAGTCTCGATACGGTGTTGGTCCTGTATGAAATTAAAAGATGCTCCGCTTAGTACTCTTTATCCGCAGAAATAAGGATATGAAACACAGTTATTAATTACCAGCTGTTTGCAATAGTCTTTCCAGCTCTCTTCATTTAGTCCAAAGTTGAAGTAGTCTGTCATATCAACTCCTGGATATCTCCAGGGCTTTTCTTCAAAACTCTCTATGTCAACCTCAAATATAGTCCTAAAAAACACAAGAGTAGACATCAAATAAAAGAATCAAAGAACAAAATAAGTCAAAAAGATTGATAGCCTTAGCTACTAATATCTCCAGCTCCTGAACAGATGAAAAATTACTTGTGAGAGGGAAGAGTAAAGTCCAGTCCCCGCCCTGCTGTGTTACTACCCCAAGGCTGATGGAAGCCTTTCTGTGCAGCAGAAGCATTTCTCATTCCCAGTGGACGCCAATCTCCTCTGCCACGACCAGCCAAAGGACCAAGGTTGGCGGGTGGACGAACTTGACCTGAGGAGGTCCCACCAACAGATGCAGCACCTCCAGGAATGGGGGCTGCCCCCGGTCTTACATACTGCAAGAAAAAGATAATGTTTATGTCAAGTAGATCAATACCACCCTTATTTTGTTTTGGTGTAACGTCGGTATGATTACTCCAAAAGAACAAAAAAATTCTTTGAAGGGATGTTGGCTTCATAAAGTTAGTGAGGGTCTCAAGAAATTGGTTATCCTTCTTACAGTCCTCTTCTTCAATTGCCAACTGTAAGGAATTACAATTGATGGTGGCGTAGGATTTCGATATACGAGAGAGAAAGTGATTAGGTTATTATCTCCCTTTCACATTCTTAATATTTTGACCAAACACCCGGTATTTGGTTAGCAAGTATAGAGATGGTGTGTCAAAATCTAGAAGCAGACTCCAATTTCTTTGATTAACAATCTCTGCATTTTCATTCAGGTTTAGGTACAAGTACAAAGGAAATACGCACTCAGAATTTATGAAAACTAAAACAGGGTCACGACAAGAACCCCAGCTACTAAGTAATCTGACCAGTGACAACAGTGTTGCATCGACACTGACCTTAAACTGAGAATGAAACGGATGATAACCATGACTGCTATACCCTGCTTTGGGCGGTCCAGAAGCACCTCCTGGTCCACTTCCCTTCCCAGCTTCTCCTCCATCTTTGCCATCTCCTTCAATCCCTTGCAGACCATCTTCACCCCATAGCTGCTCCTCCATCGGTTGATTTGGATCCGTGTCGGCCACTATAACAAGTGGGTCTTCATCATCTTCGTCATCGTCATCTTCGTTGTCTCCCATTCTTGATCTTCTATCAGCTCCTCCGATCATGACGTTGCGGCTACTATCATTCAACACTATCTGCAAATCATCTTCACTGTCGCTATCCCAATCATCTCCATCTCCTTGTCCTCCGTAGCCTCCATCGCCGCCACCACCAACCTGCTGCTCAATTCTTGTCGTAACTTGCGAAACGCCTCGATCTGTATCCAAACCAGGTAACGCTCCAGCTTCAGAAGCGGCAACGAAAAGACCAGGAATCGTAGGTGTAGAATCGGCATCGGGTTCTTCGATATCAAAGCTCATGTCCTTATCGTCGCCGCCACCATCGACAATTGCTTGACGAGTCGCGTCCTGAGAGAGCGTGGTGGATAATTTTAAAGCATCGTTGTCGGAAACCCTAGAGATTGAAGCTGAATTAGGTTCTGCCACGTCTTGATCTTGGGATCGGAGGTTGAGGTCGATAGAACGGTGAGGAAGAGGAGGCGGAGGTGGGAGAACAACGGGAGGTTGAAACGGCTGGAGAACGTCGGAATACAGATCTCCGAACTCATCGTCATCTTCCATTGGAGTAAGAGATATTGGAAGAAGAAGAAGAACGGCCGATTCGAAAGAAGCTCACGAGAAAGAGAGAGACGGTGAAGCTAAGGGCTTCTTTCTCAACAAGTCTCGGCTTCTTTTTATCATCGCTAGGGTCTAATTTATACACTATTTACTTTTTTTATTACACAAATTAGGATTAGTGAAAATTAAAATTAATTAAATATAAAATTAACTTTTTTTTGTACTTTCTTCATCGAACCAAAAGAGAAACCAGGTTGAAATAAACAAAAGCATCTTCAGATTCTTTTCACCGGAAAACTAAGAAAGGTTCTGTGTTTAGGGTTCTGGTCAGCTCGTTCTCACCGGAGAATCGAAAAAGATGATCGGAGTCGGGAAAATGAAGCAGTACTCCAACGTCCTTGACAAGCCTCTTAGCAAAGGCAAGCAAGAGGTAAATTTTTCGCTACGTAGATCCACTTTTCTCTTCTAATTTCGGAACTTTGCTCAGAGAGTTTGACACTGAACTAAGGTATGGAAATTGAGAACATTGTTCGATTTGGATCCGGATCTAGTAGTTGTGGGAAGGATTCGATTTCAAATCTCTCGGCTTCCGATCTTCCTCTTTGATCGCCTTATTGTGATCATTCGATTTGGAGCATCTGCTGAAAAGTTAGTGGTTTTGGAATTGTACTTGTGTTGTAGGTGAGCTTGACCGCATTTGCTTTCTTATTCTCGGAGCTCGTTCAGTACAATCAAACCCAGGTTGACAATATAGCTGAACTTGAAAGAAGGTGAGCTGATTGGTTTCTCTGAACAACTTATGATTTGGTTTTCTTAGTCTGAATCATTCACATTCCATCCCCCAACAATGTGTTCTTATTTTCTTAACGATGGCTATCAGACTAGAGGATGCTGGGTATGCAGTTGGATCTCGAGTTCTAGAGCTTCTTTGCAACCGGGAGAAGGTACATCCTGTTTTTGCAATCTGATATTCTTACTTTTATGAGTTGCCTCAAAGACTGAAAAGAGAACGTTTCCTTCTTATAAGTTTTGTTCAAGTAAGAGCAATGCAGAGCTCTATCAACTGTCGCTCTGTGTTATGGACATATTATCTTATTGTTTCAGGGAAACCGAAGAGAGACACGGTTACTGGGGATTCTGTCTTTCGTCCACAGTACAGTGTGGAAAGTGTTGTTTGGAAAGGTGAGTGGTGATTTCAAATTGAATTGGTTGTTAAGTCTTTCTATGGACATGCCTGTTTCTGGATTCTAACTCTCCCTTAACGAACATTTCATAGGTTGCTGATTCACTTGAAAAAGGAACAGAACATGAAGATGAGTACATGATTAGTGAAAAGGAGCTTCTCGTCAACAGGTTTAGACTGCTCCAGCACTTTCCATAAACACTTTTGAGATAATGCGATTGTTTATGGTGAAGAAAACTGATAAAAAATATGGAAGTGTAGGTTCATTTCGATTCCAAAAGACATGGGAACATTCAACTGCGGGGCGTTTGTCGCCGGCATAGTGAAGGTGAGTGCTCCCTTGACATATTCGTGAATAGTATTTAAATTTAATTGGTCGAGGAAGAGAATAATGAGCCAGACACGGTTTCCTCTATGCAGGGAGTTTTGGATAATGCAGGGTTCCCTGCTGTGGTAACGGCTCATTTTGTACCCATTGAAGGACAACAACGTCCTCGAACTACCATTTTGATCAAGTTTGCTGATGAGGTTAATGCCTACATTCATCTCTTTTCCTCAACTAGCTCTGTGGAAAAAACTTAATCTTGATAGTTGTTTTATTCTTCCATCTATGCTTCACAGGTGCTTAAAAGAGAGGCACGGCTAAGTCAATGAGAGCACTATGGTCACGAGTTGCCACGATCTGGGAACTATTGGCTTTATGTGAACTGCTTGTGCAAATCTGCTATCTGTTTTTTGGATGACTATAACATTTTGAATTGAGCTGCAAAGCCATTGTTGCCCCGTGCATTGATGTATACAACAAACATATCCTCTTATTACAATTGCAGCTTATGATACAACACTTTACTAGTTTTAGCACTGTGGATGCAAACATGTTTATGTTTTTGCCAATTGCGAAAGAAAAAGAAACACATTATATTATCCAGTGGCGAAATTACAAAGCAAGTTGATATATCAATATAATCAGAACAGATTACAGAGCAAATGAAGCAAGCAAGGTAAACAACATTTGGTCCAACAAATCAGTTCCTGCCAAGAGGAATTGACCTGCAAGAGTAAGTCTCCTTGAAATCAGACTTCTTCTTGGAGGAAGTAAAGAGAGAAGCATAGACTTCCTTAGTAGCATTAACCGGCACTTTATCCCCCGCCTTGAATTTCTTTACAGTAATACCATTGCCATTGACATTCCCATCATCCATCTGTCTCTTTGCAACCTTTGCTCCTGTATCGGCAACCACAGCAGCACCGTTCTTGCTCTTCTTCGAGACACCTTTCTTCTCTCTCAGCTTTGCTTTCTCCTCCTCCATCCTCTCCCTCAACAAACCCACTTCCTCCTCTGTCCCATTGATCACAATCTTATCAGAATCTTTAACATCCGCATGACATACCAAACAAGAAGAAGACTTCACTTCCTTCAACGCCTTTGCACTCATCACATGTCCGCATCCTCTCAAAGCGAAAAACTTGTACTTTCCGTTAAATTCAAGCCCCGAGACCGGACACTGAAACTGGGAACTAGTCGTATCTTGCGATGAACCATCAGAACCAGCAACAGGCGTAAGCTTAATATTCACCATATCTTTCAAACCCTTAATGTACGAGAATTGCTTAGGTAACCTCTTAGATAACAAAGCGTGTACCAACGCTTCTTTATTGAACAAATTCCCGAGGAGATCAATCACGCAAGGCTCAGCCAAAGGTTCGTTAGACAAAGCACAATTCAACCATTTGGAGAGCCTCTGCTCATTCGGATCAACCTTGTCAGGCTTCTTCTCCGCGTACATATTCAGGTAGCAATCGCGTGATTCAGCTCCCGTCGCACCTCCATCTCCTCCACCTCCACGGAGGCGAGGGAAAAGAGTGAGCATGGAAACAGAAGGAAGCTTAGATACTTGGATCCGTGTAGAGCCATTCAAAAGCTTCCCATCTAGAGCAACCGAGAAATCCGATAACGAATTACGCTGCGACGACGATTCGAGTAAGGAAGTGATACCGGAAAGAGTTAATACAGATTGCGAAGGATCTAACTGCAGAGCGAAGACTTGTTGACAGTCTGGAGATTTGACGAAGATCTGGCGCCGGATATGCATGGTGGCGGAGCAATACGAAGAGCTTTAGGTTTCCGATCAATTTTAGCCGGTGATTGGAAATTTAGGGGTCGAGGAGAGAGAAGATGTGGAAAAACGATATCAAAGGAAAGTAAAAGTTAGTGTATATAAACTGGACCGACTTATCAATGAAGTGGGCCAATTTCAATTTGGGCTTTGAGCTTAATAATTTCTCTGTGGGTTTGGGCCTTTCATTTACTTGCGATGTTTTCTCTCTATTGTAGTGGAATAATTGAGCTATAATTTTGTTTTTCTTTAATTTGCATAAATTTGTTTTCAAAATATGATTAGTTCCAAAACTGTAAACATTTTATTCATTCGAAAGGACAAAATGTTTATAATATATGAAAATTAAAATTTTTGAAGTAAATAGAAATTTAGAAAAATGAAAAAATGGATTGTATACACAGATTCGATTAAATATAGAATTGGATTTTAGGATAATTTAACAAGAAAAACAATTATACAAAGAGGCCGGCGACGTACGACTTTTGTGAGATAAATATTTGAGAGATTCGAGATATATATTAATAATACTAAAATATTTAAGGGAGTAAATATTAAATAAGGAAAAAGAAACGGCCAATAAATTAAAAAATTAGAAATCAAAATTTTTGAAAAGAATAAAAACAGGGGAGGGAACAGAGGAAGAAGATAGAAGACGAAGAAGAGATGGAAAATGAGAATGGAGAAGGAAAGGGAGAGTTCATAAACCAAAACAATGACTTCTTCCTTGATTCTATGTCAATGCTCTCCTCTCTCCCTCCTTGTTGGGATCCATCTCTTCCTCCTCCTCCTCCTCCGCCGCAATCTCTCTTCCACGCTCTCGCCGTCGACGCCACCTTCCCTGACCAGTTCCATCACCCTCAGGTACCAATACTCTCATCTTTTAGTACAACTTTCAAAATCTAAGAATGTTTCTGATCTTATTTGTGTTTTTGTTGTTATTGTCAATGCAGGAGTCAGGTGGTCCAACAATGGGAAGCCAAGAAGGGTTACAGGCACAAGGTACAGTGTCGACCACGAGCGCACCTGTTGTTCGTCAGAAGCCAAGGGTTCGAGCCAGGAGAGGCCAAGCCACCGATCCTCACAGCATCGCTGAGCGGGTATCTCATTACCCACTTCCTCCATCTCCTTCCTTGTCTTATCTTGTGTTTCTGATTGTATGGTTTTGGACAGCTAAGGAGGGAACGTATAGCAGAGCGTATGAAGTCTCTACAAGAACTAGTTCCCAACACCAACAAGGTACTCATTTAAATCCCTAATTTGTAACTCTTTTCTTGATTTGAATAATAACCGAATTGGTTGATGATGAGATGCAGACGGATAAGGCATCAATGTTGGACGAGATCATCGAGTATGTTAGGTTCCTTCAGCTTCAAGTCAAAGTACTAAGCATGAGCAGATTGGGAGGTGCAGGAGCAGTTGGTCCACGCCTCAATGGTCTCTCCGCAGAGGTTAGTTTCTTAGTCCCTAATGGCTTTCTACATATGTATCATCATATTAATCAATCATCATCATATTCATCAATCATCATCATGGTTTTTGGTAACGTAGGCAGGAGGAAGGCTCCATGCCCTCACTGCACCGTGCAATGGCTTAAATGGGAATGGAAACGCTACAGGATCATCCAATGAGAGCCTAAGGTCAACAGAACAAAGGGTGGCAAAATTGATGGAAGAAGATATGGGATCAGCAATGCAGTACCTTCAAGGGAAGGGACTTTGCTTAATGCCAATCTCTCTAGCAACCGCGATATCATCATCAACAACTCATTCTCGTGGATCTCTATTTAACCCAATCTCCAATGCTGTAGCAGCAGAGGATTCAAATGTAACAGCAACCGCAGTTGCTGCACCTGAAGCCTCCTCTACTATGGATGATGTATCTGTCTCCAAGGCCTGAACCATAGAATACTCATGTGTTTCATTTTCTCAGTTTAAGTCAAACACTAATATCCCTATCTTTTTACTATTTTCACTGTTAAGCAAAAATAATATAAAACGGTTACGACAAAGAACAAAACCGACAAGACCGGAACATTCGTATACGTGTGTGGGTGGTGGGACCGGAGAGTTAGAGACATGCGTCCCACTACCTTCCCAAATCGCTTTGTGTCAACGTGTTTACGTAACTAGTGTCTTAACATTGTTGGCTCAGTCGTGGTTCGTGGAAACAGTATAATATTCAAGTCGAAGTTTCTTCAACTTTCTCGTAATTATTATAGATAGGCCCAAATTCTTGAACCGACCCGGCTATATCCGGTTATCGGATACCAAAAGTGCGAATAAGACCCCTGCCCATTATAGAGGCAGAAGAAAACACACACACTCCTAACTTTCCTAAGTTTCTTGAACACTGATGAACAATCAGTAGCTCATTCAAACAATCAGGTTCTATACACACACACACACACATATATATATATATATATATAATGTATCTCAATAGTGTATAATAGATACTCGCAGATTGATCAACAAACGTTTTGTGCAATAGACATAAAGGCAAATAATCAGGGTCTTGAAATGTGCCACTTTATTCCCATGTTAAAAGGTTTACAACGCAAATAAGATCTAAAAACTAGGCAAAGAAAATGATTCAGGAACAGTATTTGACCATTGTAATCTTCCTCAATAGAGAGAGTCCTTAACACCTGAGAAAGACAAACAAAAACTAGCCTGAATGAGGACAAACAAAAACTATCCTGAATGACTCAAAAACAAGGTAAAAGGCTAAAAGCTTGATCATAAGAATAATGGTAAGAACACAGACAGAACATAAAGGAAGTATGCAAACATAGAAAACATTAAAAGAATCTGAGATTGAGAAAGAATTAAGAAATACCAGGAAAGGAAGGAATCTAAGTGGAAGGGGAAGGCTTGAAAGTGTAAGGCTGAGGAAGTGACATTGGACCTTTCCTCTCATCTCCATCATCCAACAGCCTTTGAACTCTCTTGTTTCTACAATACTCTCTATCGAAATGCTTCACCTGCAAATTCTCTCATTCGATTCCATTAATTCCCAAGCAAATCAAATAAAGATTGCAATTTGCAAAACTAATTGAAAGAGAGTAGTACCCAAGAGGAGCGACAGTTGTTGACGAATTGGGTTCTAGAACTGCTACACTCCTTAGGATAGAGAAGACCAACGGTCGCGATTTCAGTTGGTTTTTTACCAGATTCCTTTTCTAGACAAGCGTAAAAAGCATCTCTGGCCTGCACCAATTTAAGGATCACTCCAACCATAAACATTTTTTTAACCTAATCACCAATCAGTATATATCACAACAACGAAAAGCAGAGAGAAAGAGAAAGACGGACCTTGTAGCAAGCATCTCTAGCTTTAAGAAGAACATCCTCATGAACCTCATTAGGGTTCGACGACGCGTAAGTATCGAGAGCCATGGATGTCTAAGCGAAGAAGACGGAAACAGAACCAGAAACAAACACCCACCAAACAGACAAATGAAACTAGACGAGGACATAAATATACGGCCCAGATTGGCCCGGCCCAACAAAGTTGTCGGTAGATAGATAACACACCTTGACCTTGTCAAACAAGCATAGACGAAGCAATGAACAAAATTAGTACCTTGTTGAAATATGAGAAAGATCAGATTACAATGTACATTACAAAACTTTACTTGGGACATAGATTCATAATCAATTAAACAACAAAGTCATCACTTCTTTCTCATTATAAATCACTCTTCTTCCGCTACTTGTTGCTTCTTGAGCTGCTCTAAACTGAAGTTCTCTTCTGGCTGCTTCTTCCACAGGTAATTAGCTGCATCTATCCATCCTCTATGAACCACATACTTCTTCTCTCTTACTGCCCAACGTGCCTTCTCTGTTCCCACATCCATAGCCACCACGTGTGTCACTGATGCATCCACTTCCGTTGCGCAGGTGGCTCCCAGTTCTTCAGCCATCTTCCACAAAGGGTGATCTTCTGGCTTAGCCTTGGTTGGGAACACCCGACTGAACACTACTTTACATCCTTTGAGTACCTCTTTACGCACTTGTTTCAGCATTGACCTAACATCTCTGTTTGATATGTCTTCATCCACATTCTGAAAGAAACATTAACAATCAAAAAAACAAACTAGACAAATTATAAGTTTTATTTAGATCCAGTGTGTATATATATTTGGGCATACCTCAAAGAATAGAGCATGCGCTTGTTTTAGGACTTTCAGAACAGTTGCAAGTGCCCCATCTGGTTCACTCTCATCGCTCTTCAACTCCGATAGAGACTTGTATTTGTGATCAAACTGTCTGCAGCTCGAAGCGAAAAAGTGATACCTCTCTATCACAATCAAATTGTCCTTGTGATTTGGCCACGCCTGTGCATCAAACCAAGTATCATCAGTACAACTCAATATCATGATTAAAAGTTACATGAAACATTGACAAATTACACAACATACTTACATTCTCTGTATCGTCAAGAATCAGAACAGCACTTTCTTGTCCAAGCACCACATCTAGACTCTTTTGATGTCTCACTGTGCCGTCATCCCGAGAAATGACCCGATCACCAAAGTACTCTCCTTTGGGGTCCAATAGCTTCGCCATCTGTCGCGCATATGCCCTATCTCCCATTGTGTATATGTACATCACAAACATTTCACTGGCTTCTTTTAGAAATGAGTGAACAAATGGCCTCAGTTTGGTCATCATCTGCATAAATTCCAGCATGAAAAGACTGCCTCTGGAAACATCTGAGATTAACAAAAAATCAAAAAGTTCTTAGAACTACAACACATGCAACCATCTAGGTGGAACAACAGGAAAAATACAAGATGAAGTTCCATGCACAAAGATCACATTTGAAAAAGAAAGCAAAACAATGTAGCTGAATGTATCACCTTGAAGAGAATGTGTATGGCTTTTCAAGTATTCCTCCTCTGGTTTCAGGTCCCTTAGTACGGTTGAATTAAGCAACGTGTGGTCTAGATCGAGAACTAAATACAACTTCCGCTGGCGTTGCAAGAATCTCGAATCTGAATCACGCAACCGGGAGATTTCATCTTCATTGAGCCTCATTTCCTAAGAAAACAGATTTCTCAAAGCTCATTAATAAACACCCAGACTTGATTTAAGGGACATTTGTAAGGTAATTGAATAAATTGGGATACCTTGTGTATGTATCTAAATGAAACACCGGTTTCTTCCAACTTTTGTCCACAGACGAAACACATATTCCCAAATGATCCTGGGTGCTGGCATTCACCTTTACTTGAGGATGCTTCTGCAAGCATAACAGGTTCAAACTTTTGATATAAATAGAACAAACGACAGATAACAAAATAAGGCTGAATGAATAAAGAGAGCTTCACCCTCAATCTCCTCTTCGTCTACAGTTTCTAAATGCTCTAACTTTCGTCTCTTTAACCTAAAAGATGATTGAGAAACATGGTTTGACAAAATATACACACACACTGTAAATACCAGTAGAGAGTTTGAAGATTCAATAAGAGAGTATGCATGACATATGAGAGTTGAATTTACCCAGATTCTTCATCATCCTCGGCTTCTTCTTCTTCTTCGCTGGGTCCAGAAGAAGCATCTGAGGCAGAGTCCAGTTCAGCATCAAGGAATGCAGCAAGATCGTCACTACTACTTGATGAATGAACTGGAGAATCACTTGCTACACTCATCTGAAACCCACTCACAACAAGAACAAAAATCTGAGAAATTTCCAGAATGGACGCAAATCAAAGTCACGAATTGACTAAACCCTAAATTAAACACAAACAGAGGAAAGAAAAAAAGTCACATGGAATTCGAATTGAAATCGTAGAGAAACATGGAGACTGATACCTTAAACTTGTTCGTCGGAGGCGAGAGAACCTCAAATCGTGATTTGGGTTTAGAGAGGAAAAGAGTGGAGATGCAACGACGACGGTGTGCAACCGTGGAAGTGAAAAAGTAGAGCTTTCAACTTCTCTCCGATTTGTAATTTTCAAGAAAGCTGATTAGTTTATGTAATGAGGCCCGTTTTGGGCCCATTAGAAGCCTAATTAAGATTATTTGTTTTGGGTTACGCAAGCTGACGAAGTATAAGAGAATGGATAAACAAGTTTGCAGCTTTGAGTTAGATACAACTTATTAGAAGAACAAGTATCAGATTCACATTATTAACTGTATAGAAGCTGTGTTGTATAGAGAAGTATCAGAGGAAACCTAACTAAAAACTAAAGAGATTACATAGTAGTTGTTTATATATGGGAGGACAAACAATTAGGAAATTTTCTTGAGTTTATTAGGCATCATCATATGAGGAGCCCTTTTGTGTTTAGGGACTTGTTCTTTTTCATTTTCTTCTTCTTCGTCGTCTGCTACATTTTCAACATCATCATCATCATCATCAGCTTGATCAGTCGTCCAAATCATCTTATGTTGATAATATCTGAAGGCCACGAGTAACATGAATGCTGCCCAAACACGGGCTGTGACGGAGGAGAGGTTCCACACGAGGGTGAAGAGCGCTAAAGACACCGCTTTTTTGTGATTGCATGATTCCCATGCGTCCCTGAATCTTCTCATCCAGAAATTTCCTGAATGTACACAACTTTGTTTGATTAAAATGTCTCAAGGAAGATGTAACTGAAAGATACAAAAGGAGTTTTTAGTTACCGTAAGCGGAGAAGTGGGTTGAGTATGATATGAAGATTTTAGGCACTGTAAATGCTCCTAAAAAGCCTGTCCTCACGTAAACAAACACTCACAAGTCAGAAATCTACACACACCACTTCTTAAAACAAGAATTCTTGAATGTCTAGAGTTGTGAAGGTACCAAATTTGGCGAGGTTCCAAAGAGTGATAGAAGAGCCACACCTGGCCAAGACAAACAACACCACTCCCATCTGCAAACATCATCTCTTCTTTATTAAGGTCAAGGGAGAAAGAGGAAACGATGGAGAAAAAGAAAGAAGAGACTTACCTTGAGGGTGGTGGATGGATCACCGGAGAAGAGAGCTCTAAGTTGATGCAGAGACTCGTTGAGATAAGGCATTATGAGTCTGAGCATCCTCTTGACATCTTCCTCTCTAACTCCAACCACTTTATGTCTCTCCTCCTCCACCATTCCCCTGCGTCCATTATTAGATGCCTTTTAACCCAATCACAAAAACAACATGCAAAGAAAGAGAGAGAAATGGGTTCATGTATCAAACCTGTGGATCAGTGATTTTAATACGAACATGAGGCCCAGATGTATGAGTCCCATGTACGCCACCACCGATATGAAGCTGTACATATATTCATTCACATTTTAGTTCTATACTACTTAAAACTAACGTCTGTGTCATCTCCTTGATCAATTGAGAAAAAAAAAAACCTGAAATTGAGATCATTGGCGTAGGAAGATGAGATGATGAGGAATGTCCCAAAGCCGAACACCAACGTCGACCTTGATACATCTCTCCACATCACCAGATCCACTGTCACAATTTCATTTCATCATTTAATATAGTTTAGACTTTACATAGTAAAATTTTTGTAGATGGAATTGTGAAGACTAAACTAATAAGAAACTCACCCAGACTCTGCAATTTGCTCTGTGACTGAGTAAAGTTGTCTTCTTGCTCTGCAAATCTATCTGAAAACAGTCGTGAAAAACAGAGGATTCATCAAAGAGTAGGCAAATAGCAGCCGATGAAACAAAACACTGAAATTCGGATTAAAAAACCTGTGCTTGAAGTAGAATTTTGTGGGACCGAGTAAACGGAAGTTGCTCTTTTGATCACCGGAGGCGAAATTTTACGAACGGACGAAGGAGATGGAGATGTTCTGTTTTGAAATTGACTGAACTTTTTAATCTCAACACCACCAACTCTGTTCTCCTTGGCTACATTCATCTCTTTCACATCAACACTCTTCTTCTCCACTTCTTCTTCTTTCTCTTCTTCATCATCTTCCTCGTGATCGCCATCATCGATCTGCTCATCTTCGTTCGAATTAGCAGATACGATCATCTCCTGACAAACACCAAACTCCTTGACTTCCTCTGGGATCTTCGAATTCTCATTAATAGTCTCCTCTTTCGGTACATTTACTACATGCTCTGTTTTCTTATCAGATTTCTCAGAATTTGGAGATGGCAATGAATTCACTTTCCTCAACGCAACTGAATCAAATTCACCGGCTTTAACGATCGTCGTGCAGAGCTCCAATCGGGTCTTCTTAACCCGAGCCGGAGGAGTTTTCTCAATCCCATCTACAGATTCAGATCTCGCCTTCTTCGCCACCACCGACAAACTCGGACTCTTCTCATTGGAGTCATTACTAGATAACGATCTCCTCGGCGTCATCGGAGGAGTACCAATTGATCTCGGCCTTGTCACCTTCATAGAATTGTTTCGAACAATCTCAAGTGTTGATGGGTTCTTCACATCGGACGCTCTAGACTTCCAAGTCCGTCTCTTTCCATTAACCCCTAAAGCTTCCTCCTTTACACTCATTTGTTTAGTAGAAGAAGTCTTGTCTTCGTTTGTAACATGAAGAACAATGGCGTTATTACTAACTTCTTCGTCGCTCTGCATTCTCGTTTCCCAAACAGAGCCTGCAGCAACAACGGTTCCTCCAATTCTCCTTCTTCTGTTGGTGTTGATGCTTGGGTCCATTCTCTGTCTTTTATGTCACTGTCCTAGCTGTGAATTTGAAAGTGGTAATGATGATGAGCCTTGAAGCTGAAGGAAAATGGAGGTTGTTGGGTACCAAAAGGTAATTGATTTTCATCTAATTTGGAGTTGGGTTGTTAGATCAGACAGAGGAGGGGACCTATGTTTGTCTCATGAAGATGAGACTAGAGATCACCAAATTGGATAATTGGCTACTGCTTTAATTAACCTAAAGCCTTTGCATGTGGTTGCACTGCAAAGATGCCTACTTAAACATAATCATCAAGGTTTATGATCACAATCTCTCTACTTTTTTTACTTTTCCTTTTTTTCCAACTTAATTAATTTGATTACTTTTTGTTTTTACTTTATTTTATAAAGTTTACGTTATCTATCAATCAACATGTGCCGTGTTTAACAATTGAATTGCTTCCTCTTCCTCTATTTTTTTTGTTCTTCATGTGCCTCACGAGATTTAAGTGAAAGACTATTATCCGTATTCACATGGATCATGTATACTCATATTTTGATCAAACTAGTATGTTATGTAGAATTTTTTTTACATTAAACATTTTGACTTTACTTCATCACCAAACTACACATAACGAATATTTGTTGGATTAGTTCGGTTTTGACTTTTTCCACCAACTAACCAAGAAGAAAATTTATGGCATTGAATCTTGTCTGCGTCAGTTAAATGCAATATAGAATTTAGAGATAATTGGGCTGGAGACAATGATCTGGACTCAAATTAGTTTTCTAGATAAACTTGTCGAGGCCCAAGACAAGGAAATATTTAGCCCGCTTTCCTTCCCAAAATAGCCCTACGCGCGATTGCGGAGTGTGCGTTTTGGTGGTCCATTCATGTTGCAGAACAGTTATTTTCACGTTTCCCGAGAAATGGATGCGTGTATGTGGCGTCGATATTAAGAGCCTCTCTCTTACTTTCTGACTGTTGGGTGTCTACTCGGTCCGACTCTTCTGTATACCGCCTTCATCACTTCAAACCCTAAAGTCCCATCAAAACCATCTCTCTTTCCATCTATCTTTACTCTACAAACAAATTGTCGAAACATTTTGTAATCGTTGATCAACTTTTTACCGTCGCCGTCCCGGAGAACCGCTTTCCTCAATCGCAGAGAATACTGAAATCCCGAGTGAGTGTATTTTTTGTTCTTCGTCCGGCTACGCCTAAACTCTTTTGTTTTTCTTTTCCCAATCGCCGCCGGCGGACCGCTTACAGTCAAGTTCGTTGTTTAAAAAGTTTTTGTTCTTGAAATTCTATCGCCTCTTCATAGCGTTAGGTCTTTTTCTTTGTTCCTCTCAAAGTTTCTATTTTCTACCCTTCGGTTAATTACCATCACTCGATTTTATATACACCTTCACAGATCTACTTACACATGCACAGATATACTTACACATGCACAGATCTAAGTACATATGCACAGATCTAATTACACATTCACAGATCTACTTACACATTCACAAATCTCTGTAAATATGCACGGATCTTAGTAGATCTGTCTTCCCACTTGAGGGTCTAGGGTTTTAATGGATGTCTAGTGATTCTCTTAATTTTTTATATACCAAACCAGCAGATCTATTTTGCTAACTTATCATCTGTCTGTTTACAGGCCCATGGCTGATCCGCAACTACCCACCCGTTTGTTTGCTGACCGAGAAGAGCCTGCCGGCGACAGAGTGAACATGTACTTCAAACTCAACACCATTAAGGTCGTGTTGAAAGCACTTCAGCCCAAAGAACTCGATATCATTAGACCGTGTTTCGGGAAGTTGCTCGATGTGTACTCTAAACCCGTATTCTCTGGGAAATTGGCTCATTTTCTTCTAACCAGACAGCTTGATGTAGTGAAGCGACATGAAATTTGGGTTGTGTTTGCCGGTAAACCTGTTAGATTTTCTCTCAGGGAGTTTGGTCTGGTCACCGGTCTCAATTGTGGTCCTCTCCCTGCGCTTGACAGAAACCTAGTCAAGTGTCCTCCCGGCGTTACGCCCTATTGGTTCACCCTGTTTGGTGGCGAGGAGTCTTTCACTGGCGAGATGCTGTTGGCTAAGCTGCGTAGGGCTAAGTCGCTTACCAGCGAACTGAGAATTAAGTATGCTTGTCTGTTACTTGTTGATGGGTTTCTTTGCCGCAGATCTTTCCACATGAAGATCCCGAAAGAACACGTGGAGATGATCCGGGACCTAGATGTGTTTCTGAAATACCCTTGGGGTCGCTACAGTTTCGATATGACCATGCAGTGCATTAAATCAAGATCTCTCAATCAACTAGCTCAAGCAACTGTTGCCATTCAAGGTTTCATCCATGCTCTCGTTCTCGTATTGGTTGAGGCTGTTCCTGCAGTCCGTTCAGCCGTTGGTGAGATTACTGACCCCGAATCAGGCGACGAAGATGTCTTCCCGGTTATCTCTTTGAAACTGGATAAAGTCTGGGACCTTGACAAAGAAACCAAGGTCAGATAGCGACATTCTGTTTTTTTTACATGTCCAATCATCCGATATACATGTTTAAGTTTTTTTTTGTTTCTCTTCATAGGTTGAGGTTGATGTCCTATCTATAATTCCGGCTCCTGAAGATGTTGTTGGTCTGGAGGATTGTAGCTGGGCTGACGAAGTTCGTGACCCGGGTGTGGAACTGATATTACAGAAAATTGAAGAAGGAGCTAAGTTTAATCGTGGGATGTTTGTAGGGGGATATAGAGGTGCATATGTTCATGTGGAGCCTCCTCCTAGCGAAGTGAAGAAGGGAAAACGTAAAGTACGTTCCCAATCAGGTCGTGTGTCTTCTAAGTCTAAGAAACTGAAGGTGCGTAGTGGCAGGTCTAGGCATACCCCGTCGGACCAAAATAGTGCTGCTTTTCTTGCGTCTGTTAAATCTGAAATTGAGGCTGGTATGAAGGAAGCGCGTGGGGACTTGTTTGCTCATGTCGCGGTTGAGTTGAAGTCTATGGAGTTGAGGTTAGAAAAAAGTTTCAAATATAGCATCTGCTCTGCAGTCGCTGATGCTCTTCAGGCCAAGAATGTTGTCCAGAAAATCATTGAAGAGGTTGGGGTTGATATTCCTGATCCTTACCAACAACCACCTCCAAATGGTTCAGCTAACCCTGGCAGGTCAAGTGTCACGCAGCAGAAGAAACCAGCAGGGGCTACAAACTTGGATGCTTCTTCTGAAGAGGTAAGCCGCTTTTCTGCTACTGTAGGGATACATTCTGTTTTCTCTAAACTAACTTGTTAATGTTTTAGGTTGATGGGTCTACTAGTAGGGATGAGGATTCTAGTAGCTCCCAAACAAATGAAGAACTCTCGGTTTGTTATATATCTTACCATGTGATTTAATGTTTATTTCCATGTAACTATATCATGATTTCTTTTTTTTTCCCGTTTTTAGACAACTGTAGCTGAGGCTGGAGAAGTCTCTAGCGGCGGCAATGATGTTGTTGAGGCTGTTGAATTTGCCAGCTCTGCCAAGTTCAAGAAATTGGTGGACCTTCTGACACCTACAATGTAAGCTGCTCTATTATATATCATAGAGTTGATTTTTTTCAATAAGTGTTTATTTTTTAACATAGGTATTCACTTATAAACTTGCTGCTCTGTGCTGATTGTTGCTACTCTATTACTAATATACAGCGAACTTGATTTTGGTGATGGGTTGGTTTTGAATGAGTCTGAGATGCGTGCGGTTGCTACCAGCATTCCCCCTGACAATCCGAAGGTTCACACTATAAACTTTAGTAAAATTGTTTTATACTTTCATTTAGTACTCACTCTTGTTCTGCAGGTTATGGATGTATGTGTTTCTGTATTGCGGGAATCGCTCTTCAAATCGGTTGATCCTACCACTGATCCGCGTGCTGACATGCTGCCTTGCAAGTTTAATGGATCCCTTGCTCTGATGTACTCCAAATTCAAGAAGTGTAGGCGTAAAGATACTTTCGAGTTTGACGCGGATCTTCTGAGCTCGGTTACTGCTAGGTTCACTTCCCATGGCAGAAAATGGCTGGAGAGTATTGATTTTCTCTATTCTCCTTTCAACATTGACAAGAATAGGTGGATTGCAGTCATGGTGGACTTGCCATCGCACTCTCTCTCTGTATTTGACTCCACAGCTGATGTGCGTCGTGGGTCTAGACTCAAGCCAGAGCTAGATTTCATATGTGACATGTTTCCATACCTGGTGCGAAAGTTAGGGGCAAATGATCTTATGACTAGTTACCCTCTCCATCCTTTGGCATTTGTTCGCCACACCACGGTAGCTCAAGCCACATCCCGTGCCAACACTGGTATGTTATCTATTCTTTTTATGGAGGCCCATGCGCTAGGAGGCTTCGAGGAGTTGGATCGTGTCAATGAGTCTGGCGTTAGGGAACGTGCTGAGCAGCTAGCAGTGGAGCTATATGAACATTGTTGCGGTGATATCGAAGAGGAGTGAACCATTACCCTTGTTTGTTGCAACTCTATTATCCTATCTTGAACTCTTGTTTTTTATCTTTTGATCCCATTCTCTTCCCATCTGTGTGACTTATCTCTTTGTTAAAACTTACAACTCTACATTATGGATATGTATTCGTACTCTGCGGTTAGTTACTTGTTGGGTTTAGTCCTGCTGTTTTTAACCAATCTACTGCAATGGTTTACAGCCCACTAAAATAATTGGATAGTTTTTAACCAATCTCTGAAATTACATATAAGATAGATAGCCACCTCTACCTGTAAAAATAATGCGTAGGAATCCGCAACGTTTTATGTTGCTATCAAAACAATTAGATAGTTATTTTGCCTTGAACCTTTTAACCTATATTTGTTTTTACATATCCATAAATCAGCCGTGCAACTAACATGTATATTTTCCGCCTTGTGCAGCTAACTTATTTCCCTTTTTGTTATACCGGAGCAGGATATTTATGGATATATGTACCTATCCATAGATACATGGTATCAGAATTATAAGTTTGATAGATAGCTAACCAAGAGTTTTTGTCATACATTCATACGAAGATTAACATAGTACAAACTTTAGAATTCAGCAAGCTAGGAATGATGATGATAGCGATGGTCCAAATGTTTTGCTACTTTAATGCATGAACTATTGTTGCCACGACACAAGCAAAACCTATCCAAGAGATAATGACCACCTGACGGATGGTTTGATCCTTCGCCGCGCTTGCCTTCACATAACTTCGTAGAGCCATATTCTCCTTTTCCATGTCTTCCAACCTACGAAGGAGCTCGCTCCCTTCGTCCTCTGTGTTCCTTGCTTCTTGGCCCCCAACAATCGCTCTAAGCTTTGTAAGCTCCTCTGCTTGTGACTTTATCAAGTCCCTTGCTTCCAAAAGTGCTATTTTCTGCCATCCATGTGGTTTCTCAAGATCGCGCCACCGAAAGTAGTTGCAGATGTTTTTCCAACCGGCTCCGTACCTATAGAATCGCCTACCTGGATTTGCGTCTGTCCATGATTGTCGGACTAGCGCCGCCTTCCCGCAGTCGCATTCGTAGACGCCATCCTCCAATACAGAGCTCTTACCTCTTGTTGTTGAGCTAGATCCCCCTTCCGACATTTCACTCATCTCCTCCCCTAGTATTTCGATCTTTGGCATCTTTTTTTTTTTTGTGGTTGTGTTTGTGTTACGGACCAGGTACCCTTTCAGAGGAAGGTAAAGGCATGGTATGTGTTAGTGGACCCCGCCGTCCTTAGCTTATCCCATCTCACACGGCTCCTAGTTGCCCCCTACGTTGTTGGGTATAGGGTACTGTAACCTAATAGCTACTCACTAAAAGTCGTAAACTACACGTCAGCATACCGATAGCCATGCCATTTAAAGTTTTAAATATTGTTTTAACCATTTACTAGGGTCGGCGTTAATTGGTTTTTCCCACTTCGACTTCCATCCTCGGTATTAACAGATGGCCACCATTAATTTCGCTATCTATTCAAACTGGTTCGTAGATGGATATATTGTTGTTTAAATATATATTTTAGTTTAATCTCGAGTTAACTCCCAATTCACTAATTTTTGGGTTTGCCAATTAACCATGTTTTCCCATCTTCCTCACGCACTTGGAAATAAAACATCAATATATTACATTGCTAGGTGTGCGGACTCAAATGATCAACGCAATACACCGAGGATGGAACGATCTAGTTCACGAATATTACATAGATAGGTGTGCGGACTCACATGATCAACGCATTACACCTTTGATGGAATTGTTCACAAATATTTTACATTGACGGGAGACTTCACCCATTCTAACAAACACGTCACACAAATTAAACCGTGGCATCCTTATAGTACACTGAAAATGTTGCCACATCTTACGCCGATCTCATCAAACCTTCACCCGAGAAGCTTCTTTTGTACATCCAAAACATGCAGCTGTAATAGTAAAGAATAGACGTCTAAATTTGGCAATGTTGAAACTTAAGTACATTTACCAATGATTAGGAATGTTTAGAAATATTTACCTAAAGTAGTCGTCATATTCTATATAGGCATCTTGCAAGACGCGCGGTTATGGCCAGTCCCACGGCAGCGCGTACAGCTCCGCTTCGCCTTCTTCTTCGGCGTCTGCAATTAATGCATCTGTTAGTCTGATACAATTTCACATAGCTATCTATACAATAGTATACATACACTAATACCTTAAATTCTCCAGTTGAAAGGTATCTAGTACGCTTTGGCCTACCTGGTGGCCTTCGTGTTATTGGCGGTAGAACCGTCCTTGTTGCTATCCCATCTGGAACCTCACGTAGCGTGCTTAAGTCGGGTACGGGATTGATATTTCCATTGTAAGCAAGACTCCAGAAGAATGTCCCATATTGCGGTGCCGCCAGTAGAGGCACCTTCAAATCACAACGAACTGCTGCTGCAATTGCGTGGCTGCAAGGGATCCTTAGCAAGTTGAATTCTGCGCATGTGCAAGTCTTATTTTGGATATCCACAAGATAAGATAGACCAGTTGTTGTCTTGATCTCGTAATGCTCGTTATTGATCTTGATTACTTCATAGCAGGTTGATCGTTCGTAGTTCCTTTGCACTATTTCCTCAACCTTCGGGGTCAGGTCCATCTTGTGTTGCGCTGCTTTTCCCCGACGTTTCTCAAACCACGTCATTAGAGTCCCTCTAATGTACTCTAGCGTAGACACGATAGGTAGCTCTCTTGCTTCCTTTAAAACTGCATTTAATGATTCAGCCACGTTAGAAGTCATGATGTTGTATCTATCCCCATAGCAATGTGACCTAGTCCAATGCTCAAGACCAATTGACATCAAATACTCGGCGCAGCCAGGTGAAACCCTCTCTATTTCCTCAAAATACTCGTTGAATGTTGATTTCCGGAATGCTCTTGCCGCTTTCGAAATGAGGGTAGCAAGTATCCTCTTCTTAAACTTTGCAGCAACATTCCTCTGCAGATGTACGATACAAGCCCCGTGGCTTGCTCTTGGGTACACCTACAAAAATGCGATGTTAATAGATATCTACAATGTCTCACATAAAACTAAATAATTGAATAATGATCTGCTGTAAAAGTAGAGGTTTATAATTTAACATAGCTACCCATACCTTCCCGAGTCCGGTGTAAATCGACGAGTGGCGGTCCGAGACAAAAGTTAGACTTTCGCCGTCAGGTACTATCTGCTTCAGACAAGTGAAGAACCATTCCCATGCCTTGTCGTTCTCTCCATCCACTATCCCAAACGCTATAGGGAATATCTGGAAGTTCCCATCCTGCGCGCTTGCGGTCAGCAGACAACCCGCGTACTTCCCCCTCAAGTGTGCTCCATCAATTATCACAACATCTCTCATGAATCTCCATCCTCGGACACTTGCCCCAAGAGCGACAAAGCAGTATTTGAACCTACTGTCGCCGTTTCCGTCCTCCTCTGTGTGCAAGTCAGTAACGGTCCCAGTGTTTGCCCTTGTTAACATGTGTAGGTACGATGGTAGAATGCCGTAACTCCCCATCGGTGTTCCTTTGGCCATGTCCATTGCCAGCTCCCTTGAACGCCAAGCCTTCCAGTACGACACGTTAACACTATATTCATCCATTAGAGCTTGCCTTATAGCTATCGGTGTCGGGCCCGTCCCGGCGCCCGTGTACTTTGACTTCATTATTTGCGAAATCACTGAAGTAGTTGCCTGCCGGGGGTATTGGCTCCTAACTTCGATTGGACAGGTATGTTCCAATGTAGCTGTTCTGACTTCAAAGTAATCTGTGTCCTCCAGCCGCACACAATACACTCTCCAGGGGCAAGCATCGGATAAGCATCGTACAATCACCACGTCGTTGGTGGTGCGGTCATTACGATAACTAAATTTCCGGTTGATAGCATGGACAGCGAGTTTGACTCTGCAGTCATCTCTGTTCTTGAACACGCGTCCCACGAATAACTCGTCCCCTTCGTAGTCAACATCCAGCACGACAAGTCTTGTTCTTTCTGAACCTATTTCACAATATAACAAACCATATAAATATATAAGTTGCCAACATTAAACATAGACCATCTATATATATTTCAAGATACAAGTTCACGTGGCCACTGTGGAGATATCTTACCATCTGGGTCGTTCTCGTCTAACACGGGGGCTGCGTCCCTCGCAAAAGTGTGTACAGGAAGGCTTAGCAACCTTAACATCCCAGTTTCGGGTGGTTCATTCTGCTGCTCTGTGTTACTGTTAGGGATAACCTCATTCCCTGTAGACATGTATCTGTATTATTAGTCTTGTATTTGTATTATTAGATATGTGTTTGTATTATTAGTTGTTCCTTTATTTGATGATGTAATGAATGTTATACTAACTAAATATTACCATTGTTTAGCTCAGCTCCATCGCCCTGTCCTTCTCCGGCGGCTTGTGTTTCCGATGGGCTGCGTACATCTCCGCTTGAAGTCGCAGCTACATAAACAAAGTGTAATAGTTAAACATCTATTTTATTATATACCGGTTCTTGGATATCTATCTACTTTTTTGTACCTCTTTCAAAATCCGAGAACAAATCTCTTGTCAATCTTGTGACACGGTTATCGTCGGAGGATGAGCTTCCCTGAGGTTCCAGAACACTGGCCGGTGATCCATGATACTGAACCGCCTCGGAAGCCGCTTTGTAATGTCTACAAGCTGCCGAAAGCGTAGGAAATCCGCTTGCTGCGTAAGAACCCCCTATCCACCCTAGGGGTCCATCCCCGCTGTCTCCTATGTGTTCCCTCGGTACTTGAGAGCAGATTATGTTGTCGCCGGCCTCTTTGTCAAGCCTCCGTCTGTTTTCTTTAGCGAACTCCTCCTTACTCATGACCTCACTAAACGCAAACTCGTCTATCAAAGGTACCATTTTGAAGCCATCTATCTCGAGCCTCATATTCATCGGCATCGGAACGACATACAGCTTCATTTCGTGTAAGTCTACACGCATCGCCAGGAACATGTCCATGTCGTCGTCTGACACTATGTGAATCGGCACAGGTTTGACACCACCGTCGACGTCCATCCATTCAGGCATTTCGTAAGTCAGCTCCACCTTCTCTCTCTCCCGGTCGATGTTAAACTCGGCTACGACCTTCGTCTTAGCTGCTTCCACACCATCGCCTTCTCGGAACCGAATGTTCTTTCCAACTTGTCCCTCCGCGGGAGAGAATCTCCAAACCCCAACATCGTCTTTCGTCCAACTCCCAACCTTAACTCGAACCATGTCACTGATTAGTTCATCCGTCACCTCCATTTAGACACCTGTTACGAAATAAAAATGAAGACAAAGTTTAGATGTAGTTTTTCTTCTTGATCATGCAGTATATTTACGTGGAAAAATAGTATCAGAATGTTTTACCTTGGTGAATCGCTACCCGGGTTGTTACACGAAACTGTTTGTTTTTTGGACTCTAAATTTGTTTTCACTTTGGGTGCTCGTCGCTTTCACGAAGGGCTGGTTCCCTATTTATTGGGTCTCTACTCTGTTAGGTTAGGTGTTCAAAATTTTAAATTCCCGCCGAGCAACTTGCGTTATCGATTCAAACGCAAGATTTTCGAATATTGTACGTCAGGTTGCATTTAATACTTGTCTTCTCATTCCTTTTCTCGCCGCGTTAGGGTCAGTTCGTGTCAGCCAGTTCGTAACCAGAGCATTAACTAACGGTCACCTCATTCCTTTTTGCTTTTTTGCCAAAAAAGTCAAGCCAGAGAGTATCTCCATCCCACGCGCAGGTGTGCGTAGCCCTTTTGGTTTTCCGTAATTTAGTTGGCCACCGAAGGGCATTTCGATCATTATTTTTTTCAACGTCTCAGACAAAACCCCCTTTTGTCGATTTGCTAATTATGCTCTCCAATTTTCCTTCTGCGCAAATCGTCCCTAGAATTTAACTATACAGAGGGCCATACACCCAAATTCAGATTGAGTTTTTTTTTTTTTGGTCAACAAATTCAGATGAGTTAGGATATTAAAAATTAGGTCATTTTGGAAGGAGCTGGAAAGAGTCAAATTAAATCTTTTTTTTATATAGAAAAGGTGAGTATTTGACATGAGGATGAACAATCCAATTTAACGTGTTATTGTTATTATTTTTCTTTATTTAGATAAATCTTATTTTATAAAAATTTACTGTCATTGGAATAGTGAAGTGAGTGCCACCGACACCTTTTTATGGCAGAAAATTAGTGATAATAAATCGGTTTTGCACCAAAAGAAAAAGCCACAGTCGGTAACTATATATGTAGATAGTACAAACATACAAATCTTAATTTGTAATATCTGAATATTAATAAATTTATTTATAGTAGGTAGGATTGTAGCAAAAGCACTCAATTACCGTTAAATGCATGCTTGGTGTGTTGGATAAACTACTCTACCTAATAAGTAAAATTAACAGCTATAACGGATCTTGGTCCCCGTAATACAAATGCCAAGTTTAGACCCCAATGAAATTTGGAACTGCGTGTGTGCGCGTGTCTAATTAGCAATCACACTAATTAGTTAATTACATACTAGTACTAACTAGTAACTACTAAGTATATACTAATTAAAAAAAAAAAAAAAAAAAAAAAAAAAAAAAAGTATATACTAATCAAGTTTAGACCCCAATGAAAATTGGAACACGAATCGGAGTTGGATTGGGATTGCTTAGACGGCACGTGGTCGAGTGGGAGGGCACGTGACTGATGGCACTTCTCCCTATGCACCTGCTTCATTGTTTTCCCCTCTCTCTGTCTTTCGTTTTTTCATGCACATTCTCTCTCTTTATAGACTTTTATACAAAATAATACATTTTGTTTTCCACTACTATCTTCTTTGCGAGAATACACATTACGTTATTAAATTTGGATTTAGCCAAACTAACGTGGCAACGAGTCGTTGGAGCAACCTTTATAAAAAAATTGTTACTTTTGAGTGACATTTACCTAAAACCATATCACACACACAATCTTTATTTATCATTCACTAATTTAAGAATGAGACAAATGAGTAATAACGGTCACAGAAAAACAAATAAGTAATAGATGAATGGGCCATGGTTTCAATAATGGGCGTATCTTATGGGGATTAGATAGATATTGAATTCCACCAATGCATTAGTCTGAAATCATATATATGAAAAGAGGTGAACTCTCTCCATATGATTGCCACGTCAGCGCACTAAAAGAGGACACGTGTACAACCTAAAATTAACTACTCCTCTAATCACTTCATCTTCTCTCAAGTGTACAACCTAAAATTAACTACTCCTGTAATCACTTCATCTTCTCTCCTACATTAATAACCTCTTAGTAACGTAGTAGTTTTTCATATGATTATGAACCCAAACGACAAATTCCTTTTCTAATCTCTCGAAAGGTTTCAAATCTATCATACCTTCACTTGAAGATTCCGGCTTTCTAAATTGTCCGGTGGAGAGAAAAATAGCTTGAATATTCAGGGATTTCGTTATTACACTCCACAACTCCGAATCTGAACGGATTTGGTTCTCATATCTCAACATCAATTACCTTAATTCCACGGTCAAAGACATAGTAAAAACGAATGACAATCAAAAACGCAAGGCAATACTCCACCAGTAACAAAGGATGCTTTTGGACTAGAATAAGACTCCTATTTCTCTTTCTAACGTTTAGGGTTTCTATGCTCTCCGGATATTGAGAATCTCATTTGGATTTCCTTTGTCCAAACTTGGTGGAGCAGTCACATAAATTTCGTCATTGCTTTGTTTTGTGAGGAGACATCGGATGAGAATAGACATCCTTCAACTTCCTTATAGCCAAGAACTGATATGGGATGATTGACACTAGAAGAATGGACTCGAGATGAGCAAACAAGTTACGATGTACGAGGTTTTGATCTTTCACCAATAAATATATACTCTTAGATTATTTATCAATCCAATTTTGTATTCTCGATTTTTTGTTTTTTATTTGTTACAATGTTGTAGAAGCTGAAGATTTTAGAAGGATACAAAGTCACCAAAACAAAAGAAAACTGTCTACAGGAAAAAAAAAGGAGGTGGACATAAGAGACACTGAACAAGAGAATTGTTAATTTAAGGTGGAGTTCAAGAAAGTTCATAAAATGTAAAAATTTAAACCTAACATAGTACGATCTCTACATATATCTTTAGCTTTCAATGATTCAACATGTGTGATTTCATATAATTTTTTCACTTAAATGATTAGTTTTTACTCTCTAAGGCTTCATAATAGTTTAGTTGGAGGATTGAGATTATGATGAAAATGGATTCATAAGTGTTTCTTCTTCTTCTTCTTTGCCCAAAAAAAAAAAGTGTTTCTTCTTTTGTGAATTATATGTTGATGAGGAGATTGCTGGAAAATTACGTGGACACTTATAGTAGTTGCCTAGAATTGTTACCAGTTGAGGTAACGACACTTGGTACTCTTCAACTATTCAAGATAGGCGGATCATATATAATTGTCTTTTTCAGGGGAAAAAAAGACAACGAAAAAAGAATCAAAATGTTGATTTTAACTAACCCTAGAAGTTGGCCTACCGAGCCATATGAGCGGTTGTCACTGCAGTCACCGATTTCCGTGAAGCCGTAGAGAAGACAAATTCGCAGAAAATTGAAGAAGTTGCGGATTTTTGGATGAACTGGATGAGAAATAGCAACCAGCAAAGATACAACAGACAACATTAATAAGGTGCTAAATCTCGATGTGTATTTTCCTGTTAACCAATTTGGGTATTTTAGATGTCAATAAACCTTAGCAAGAGAACCAAAACGAAGAAGGGAAAAAATATGTACTTCTTTGTATGCGACTTTTGTTTAAATATATACTAGCGTAGTAATTTCGTTAGAAACAATATTTGGTTGTGTTTAAAACTGCAGTTTCCCTGTCTCTCTATATTGGTTGATGTAAACTGCAAAGCGCATATATAAAGCACAACTGGTCAAGAACGTTTTAAAACTATTAACTACAAAGTAAAATAATATGTGATTTTTTATCTTCTTTCATAGATCTGGCGTGTAATGTGTACTAAAAATATTTTAATGTAGTATCTTTAGATGAATTAAGTGTCGGTAAGGGTGAATCTCGGATCTGAAAACCAAACAATGAGAAAAACTTAATTTGTAGTCTCTTTGTCTAGAATATATATGGCGAGTAATTTTACAATCTTACGCTTTGAAAGTTAGGAACGTTAATTCAGCTACATTGTGAAGTGCATGTGAAGTCGAAGAAGAAGTAGCAGCGAGTTTAAAATATAGATAGCAATATATCCAACGGGTTTAACATTTACATAAACATAGTACCTCATAATGTAGCTGAAATAAAAAGCCATATTTCTTGTGACCGTTTAGAAATAAAAAGTAAAATATATCTTCAACCTACCTATATATTCCAATATATGTTTCGGATGCTATAATATACTAAAAGGTTAGAGAGTGACAATAACTAGATTAACAAAGACATCTTTAGTAGATATTGTTAACAATCAATGTTAATTTTGGTCACTCTTCAAAGCCAAAGAGAATTGCTCATAAGAACAACACAAGAACACAAGTTTCTTAGACAAATTTTCTTCTTTTTCCACAATAGACGATGATTGATGCTTAAATACAAAAGAAATAAACTACCTACTAAGACGTGAAACGTGGGAAAGGAAACACATTCCCACTAATTAACTAAATTAACTAAACTCTTGGACACGTCATCTACTTCCTCAAGTTGTGTCTCATCAGATATATGGTCTCATTTTTCTATTTTAGATGTAAAAAGGAGAGTTCTGAATTTTCACTGTTCTAAAATTCTAAAAATATTAAGAATTGAATCAAAGAACTGAAAATAATGCATTTGGCAATACTTAACATAAAACATCATATAACATCATGTTATATAAAATAATTTAAAAAATAGTTAAACATAAACCCGCACGTAGTGCGGGTATTCACCTAGTATTTATAAATACAAACGTACTTTGGAGTCTTCACCGACTCGGGATCCTTTTACACATGTTTACCAATTTACAATATGTGTCTGCTAGTATTATTTTATTTTTTACTCCATGCAATTCCTCTACTTTTTCTTTTTTCTATTTACCTTTCTTTTTTTATTTCTTTACATTAAAAAGTTGATTCATAATTTTATATTTTTAAAAGATTTCAGATTTCTGCAGTAAATATAGTTCTTTATTAATTGCTTTTTTGTTTGCCAATGTCAAAAAATATATTTAAATCGAAACTTTTACATATATTATTAATGGTAGCAGTAAGCACCAGTTTGCAACTTGTGGGTTTATATATTTAGCCTCAAATGTTATGGGTTTACTCATAGAAATTATCCCAATCCAGTTTCTCCTTAGTTCCAAACTTCTAGACAAATTGCCACTCATATTAATGGGCTTTTAATTTAGGCCCGTTAGGGGGTTATGGAAGGAAGGAAGGAATTTAATTAAATTTGACTGTTTTTTTTGTTTTTTTATTTTTTTTATTTTTATTAGTGTTATTCAATTAGGCATTACATATTATTATTTTTAAATATCTTTCCCATTAGGTTAAATTTGAATAATCTATTGATTTTTTATTCCATTACATGTAAGTGTTATTCAATGTTAAGTGATTTATGTTAATGGTTATTAATTAAAAATAATAAAATTTTGTTATCTATTGATTTTAATTCAACCTCCTTTAATTTAGGTCTAGGGTCTAGGCTATAATCTGTTAATTTCCCGGGTAATAATCAGGCGCGGTAGAGACCACCGTAACAGAAACATAAACTGTGTCCTGTCTTTTGTTTTGTATGAATGAAAAATTATTAAAAATAAAAAATAAAATAAGTGGCCAAGTAATATCGGGGGCTGGGTCTTTGCTAGGGTTTAATAGTGCGTTGCAGCTGCCACTCTCTTTCTCTCCTTTCTTTTCACACGTCGCCGCAAAAGCTTTCTTCTTCTTTTTCTTCTTCATTTACACAATTTCTGTTCCGGACAATCACAAAGCCGTGTCTTCTCTCTATCCACGGATTGTTGATTCCTCTGGATTTGGTGAATGGAGGTTGCTACGAGCAGCACCGAATTGGGGATCCAAACGGATCGGGATCCGTCGTCGAACAACAACGGATCTTACGCTGTTGCTTCGTCTACCGCTTCCGCCGTGTTCAGAAAGATCGAGTTTCACCCTGCAAGGAAACCCTTCAATGGTTTCTCTGATGGGCGTTCCGATTTTAAGATCGAGACTTTGAATCCCTGCTCCGGTAACAATCGAGTGTTATCTGCTCCGTCCGTTAAGAAACCCGACGGCTCCGATTTGGTGGAACATGGGTTCGATCCCGAGCTTACTTTTAGGATTACCTTCCGCAAAATCGTGAGTGCTTATCGTAAAAATGATTCCTTTTAGCCCTCCAATCTCTCTCTGATCAACTGATTAGCGTAAAAATGCTTCCTTTTTATCTGTACTTGTCAGAATTCTTATTGGTTTGTTGATATGTGAACGGTGTTTGGGATTTTGTAGGGTGCGGGTTTGCAGAATCTCGGGAATACATGTTTTCTTAATTCGGTATTGCAATGCTTGACATACACGGAGCCTTTAGCTGCTACTCTGCAAACCGCTACGCATCAGAAATATTGTAAGTTGCTTTAGATGCTCCAAATGCTAAATTTTGTTGCTTGTTTGATCAGCCAGATCACTTATGTATCTGTTTTTAGATTAATGAGTGGGTGTGGTTGTCTTGTTTCCAGTGTCTAATTCAGTGTTCATTCGAATTCGTTTGTGTAGGTCATGTTGCTGGGTATTGTGCTTTATGTGCGATCCAGAAACATGTCAGGACTGCCCGTCAAGCTACTGGCAGAATATTAGCACCAAAGGATTTGGTCTCAAACTTGCGATGTATGCATTTCAGACCTTTCTGGCTTACACTATTGTGTGCCAATTTTGGCTTAATAATCAGACTAATGAGGATTCTTATCTGATTGGGTAGGCATATCCCGAAACTTCAGAAATTGCCGGCAGGAGGATGCACATGAGTACATGATCAATTTGCTAGAATGCATGCACAAGTGTAGTCTGCCATCTGGTGTACCAAGTGAATCCTCTGATGCTTACAGGAGAAGTTTGGTACACAAAATTTTTGGTGGTAGCCTTAGAAGTCAGGTAAATTTTCTTTGATTCAGGAAGTCTTACTTACATCCTTGACATGCTCTAACATTTTCTTTTTCAATTCAGGTGAAGTGCGAGCAATGTTCCCATTGCTCCAACAAGTTTGATCCATTTCTTGACCTAAGTCTAGACATTTCGAAGGCAGATTCATTGCAGAGAGCACTTTCACGTTTCACTGCTGTTGAGTTCTTAGATGATGGTGCAAAGGTTTACCAATGTGAAAGATGCAAGCAGAAAGTTAAGGCTAGAAAACAGCTAACTGTTTCTAAAGCACCTTATGTTCTTACCATACATCTTAAGCGGTTTGAAGCACACAGATCCGAAAAAATCGACAGGAAAGTCGAGTTTTCCTCTGCAATTGACATGAAACCTTTTGTCAGTGGTCCCCATGTAAGTGGGCTTCTTCATGTTCTTTATATTTCATGGATTTGACCTGTTCTTATAGTTGTTTAGATGTTGTGGTCATGTATTTTTTTAATCTTTAAGCTTCATGATTCCCTTTATAACAAATACAATACTTGTGTTGAACAGGAAGGTAATTTGAAGTACACACTCTATGGTGTGTTAGTTCATTATGGTAGAAGCAGCCATTCTGGTCACTATGCATGCTTTGTTCGCACATCAAGTGGCATGTGGTATTCCCTTGATGACAATAGGGTAAGTAGCAGTGTTCTACTTTTCTGGATTGCAAAAACTTTGGTTTGATACTGTAGTTTTTCTTTACATAAGTCTGTGCATAAGCAAACAGACAAGAATCACATATAGCTAGTAGTAAGTTCCCTTTACATTGTTGTTGTAGGTTCTCCAAGTTAGTGAGAAGACTGTGTTCAATCAGAAAGCATATATGCTATTCTATGTCCGTGATAGACAAAATGCTGTCCCTAAGAATTCAGTCCCGGTGGTTAAGAAAGAGACTTCCAAAGAAAGCTTTGCCACAAACAGAGCTTCTTTGATCGTATCTTCTAACATAAAAGATCAAGTGAATGGCTCAACAGTCATCAAAGAATGTGGGTTTGACGCTCTTGTTGCCAATGGTTTAGCACCTTTGAAATCATGTGATCCAAGTGCTCCTGCTGTGTTAACTCAGAAAGATATAAATGCCATAGAGACTCAGAACAATCTCATAAGTAGTGTGGAGGCAAAAGAGATCCTTAAGATGGAAAATGGTTCAGCAGCCGTAAAAACTTGTGATCTAGCTGCTCCTACTGTCTTAGTTCAGAAAGACTTAAATACCAAAGAGACCTTGCAAAAGGAAGTGCCACTTCCGCAGGCTAATGGGGAAGGATATTTTGTAAAGGAGGATTCAAAGGCTGCATGCCCAATCTTACCAGTGAAGGTGTCACCTCTCCTGGATGGAAGCACAAATGCTCAGATACTTTTGAAACTGCCTTCCTCTGGAGCTAAAGCTGAAAATAGTGTTGAAGAGAAGAATTCTGTTAACAATTTGAACGAGCCTGCTAAGTCACTGAAGGTAAGTTTACAATTATACTATCACTTGTGAGCATCTTGTCTTATGGCAATTAAAGGGGTACTCTAACTTGCTTGAACCTACTGCTATAGGTTAAAAACGTGTCAATTGGTAATTCACCTATTGAAGAAGCTGTTCTTATTGATCAAACTATGGGACATCACCCGGAAGAATTGGCCACTTCAATTGAGCCGTTGAAGTCAACTTCCGAGAGGGAAACTCTCACCACACCAAGAAAGACTCGCAAGCGTAAAATGAAAACTCTGAAGGTGGAGTTTAAGTTTTTTAAGCTGGCCCTGGGCTTACGAAAAAAGAAGATACAGAAAAGGGAAAGATTAAGTAGTTCCCTAGCTGTCAAGATTATCTCTGAGGAGCTCCTATCCAAGAAAAGCGCTACAGATCAAGAGCATTCCACTTCACAGATAATTAACGAAGTTGCTTCTGGGTCTGCTTGCTTGCACGGAAAAGATACAAGTGTCAGTGCCCACAGTGATCAAAATGGTGCTGTTGCGTCAGACCAACAGCTACCCGCGGGAAGTTCTGACTTGTCTGAAGCAAGCCAAATCGCCAAAAGAAAGAGAGAGTCCTCAATTTTGTTACAGAAAGAAGCTGTGAACATTCTCACACGAGGTGTGCCAGAGACAGTGGGTAAGTTATCTCTTTTATCAACTTATTACTTTGGCCATGTTAATTATTACTGATAATGAACTTCCATTCATTGGCCATTGTCAAACACTGGTGATAAATTTTTTGTAACTGGCATCAATCAAGCTTCCATTCCTTAGAGCAAGGGATTATTACATGTGATTGTTTTTGATTGGATTGAATCTTATAACTATTGCAGTTGCCAAATGGGATGAGGAATTTTCAGCTTCTGCGAAGATGGGATCAAAGAGTGTAGGCACGAGCAGCATCGGTTATGTAGCAGATGAGTGGTGAGTGTTGGGTTATTTGGGTTTAGTTACATACTGTAATTAGGCAAGTAGCTTACACAGAATTGGTATTGGAATATGTGGCAGGGATGAAGAATATGACAGAGGGAAAAAGAAGAAGATAAGGATTAAAGAGGAGAGCTATGGAGGGCCGAACCCGTTCCAGATGCTTGCATCGAAGAGACAAACAGAGACAAAGAAGAAATGGACACAACGCATTACTAGTGCAAAGACAGCCTACAGGATATGAAAAAGGACCATAATAATCTATAGATATATGTCATCCACATGTTACTGTATTTGGCGTAAAGTAATGTTAACAGAAGAGGAAAAGATAGGCTATAGACATTAGACATTGTTCGTTTATCTCTTTTCCTCTCAGTTTTGTTCCGTTTGTGATAAACAGAGAGACCCTATCCCCTGTTTTTTGAGTGAGGTTATTTACATTTTCTATCTTGTCTCTTGATTTTCAGGCAATTTTATGGCACAATGTCTGAAAAAGATATATGCTCATGAAAAAGTACCTCAGCACAAAGATTATGATGTCAGTTCTTAAGATATTCATCTCATATAACTGAAGATCTAAATCATAAAATATATAACATGCTATTATAGTAAAACTTATAAGTCCCCTAAACCCTAGTAAAACCTCACTCTTCTCATTCTTCCTCGCCGGCAAAAGAAAAAAAGCCAAGACTTAGGAGAGAATGTCTGACTTGGATGATGAAATCACGAGGCTTTTCAAGGTGCGTCGCACGGTGCTTCAGATGCTGAGGGATCGAGGTTATACTATAGAAGAATCTGACTTGAACTTGAAAAGAGAAGAGTTTGTTCAGAGATTTTGTAAACCTATGAACAATATGAACAAAGTGAACAAAGAAGCTCTTTTCGTCGCTGCCAATAAGGGGCCAAATCCAGCCGACAAGGTACATACATATATGAAGAACATGTCTTTTGATCCATTCCTGAAACTTGTCCCATCTATGACTCGCTGCAGATTTATGTATTCTACCCGGAAGGTCCTAAGGTCGGAGTCCCAGTGATTAAGAAGGAAGTGGCAATAAAGATGCGAGACGACAAAGTTCCTCGAGGGATAGTAGTTGTTCCAATGGCCATAACTGGGCCGGCTAGAATGGCCGTATCAGAGCTCAACAAGATTCTAACGATTGAAGTCTTTGAGGAAGCCGAATTGGTGACCAACATCACTGAGCATAAACTCATCAACAAGTACTATGTACTCGACGATCAAGCCAAGAAGGAATTACTCAACATGTACACAGTGCAAGACACACAGTTGCCTCGCATCCTTGTCTCTGATCCTCTTGCCAGATACTATGGACTCAAGCGAGGACAAATTGTCAAGATCAGACGAAGCGACGTTACTTCTCTGGACTATTATACCTACCGATTTGCTGTTTGATTCGTATCCACTGTTTCTTTTGTTTTGCATTTTATAAACCTTGCTTCTTCATTGTTTTGAATACTAATAGACTCAAATTGGAGGCTTTACAAAACACAAAATAACTTCTTAACAAGTTTTCGGAAGTCCCTCTTTTTAGACATACCTTTCTTGTTCGAATATACAATGGTGGAACCTGAAACAACTGGTGAGATGATCGTTTGTTATCCCTGCTGCCTGCATGAAGGAGTAAACCACCGTTGGTCCTACGCTGCGGAACCCTCTTCTCACTAGATCTTTGCTTATCACTTCTGCTTTTGGAGTTTTTGCAGGCACTTGTCGCTGGTACCTGAACTTGCTCACGATCCCCTTATTCTTCACAAAGCTCCATATATACTTGTCAAATGATCCGTATTCTTCTATCACCTGTCAACAGAGATAGAGCATTCATCAATCTGACTGCAATGGACAAGCCTATCTGTCCATACTTTATCTTCTTTTGATTGATTCTTGAAACTATACTTTGAAAACTTCTAGACCTCCTTTAATTTCAATATCCAGACTTTTGCAAGGCTTTGAATCAATGTGCTCAAAATTGGGTCTCCTGAGCAACCAACCAAGAGTGGAAGAAAGGTCTACCTTAAGTATCTGGCGCGCATTCTCAATGACGGCCCTTAGCTTAAGATCAGACAACAAAGTGCTTGCGGGGCTTCCTGGACCGATTAGCTTCTTCTCATTAATCTTCACAATGGCATTGGGGTCAAAATCAGCAAAAACTTCCCTGCATTCCACACTTCTCATAAGAAAACAGAATGGACTGCTTCAAAGAAATGAGAGATACGTCCATGAAAAAAAGAGTGAACCAGAATCATAGCAAGAACCTGAAGGTCTGCCTCTTGCTCAGTATCATAGGCCATGTGTGTTCAGCCAAAGCACCCGAAAGCACGAGGAGTTCAAACAACCTCCTGAACATACAACACCAAAGAACGACTGTAAGGGATATTCATCAATCAAAAAGAGTGCAGATATACACAAGTGAGAAAAGCTTGAACCATACTTATCATCGTGAACTGGCACACCCCATTCTTCATCATGGAAAACAATATAGCACGGATCTGGTGTTTTCATACCAAAAAAACAGTCAATAGAGAGATCTTTTTAAAGTAAATTGATGATTGTGTACATCCATCTACACTGAATGTAGACAAGAGTAAGAAACTGACCAGAGTTTGGTGTCACCCAAGCACACCTCTTCTTAGTCTCTGAACCACTAGGTGGTGAATCCAAAGCACCTTCAGAGACAACACTTCTTGGCTTGGAAGGGTAAGACTTACTTCTACTTCCAACACTATAGGATCTTATCAACCGACCCGTTGATGCTCGGCTGTGGAACGAGTCCATGGAGGCATCAGATGAAAATGATGCATTTAGTGACAGATTAGAATTTAGGTTCTGCTCATGCCGTCGTAGTATAGAAGCCGCATTAAGAGTATGCTTGTGAGAAGAAGAAGACAAAGTTTCTGTTGGTGTAGCATAAGATGTTTTCTCATCTGATCCAGTGAGCCCAGATGAGGATCTTTCAAGCTTTCTCAGCGACTTTGATACAGCTTTGTGTGTGATGAAAGGACTAGCCTTTTTAGCAGCAGTCCCTATAGTTGACCTGGTCTCTGCTTCAGCCACATTCATGGACTGAACTCTAGGAGAACTAGACATGGGTATGACTCAAACAGCTTTCACGAGCCTGTGACCTGATTACTGACTCTTGGCTCTCTTTTATAACTTGAATCAACAGAGAAACATCTGAAACAGGCCATACTTTTTCCACACAAACATCAACCCCATCGAAAGGAATCACAAACAGTAGCCAGCTTTCAGTTGCTAGATCTCTAAAACCAAAACTAACTCAGTCAACGAACCAAAACTCTCTTGGAAATCACAGAAACACTCATTCCTCTCGAAGTTTTTGAAGCTCTACAAAGTAAACAGAGCATAAACATCAATAAAAAAGCTTCCTTTCCAGACAAATTTAGGGTTCTTGTTTTCACAAACAGACAGAAGTAACATAAAAAGCAACGTCAATGATTCAGATTATAAATAAGCTTCTTGGAAAACCGACAGAAACAAGCCTGCATTTGTGAATAAACGAGAGACAAAGAGCACATTTGACTTGACAATAAAAAAAAGAAAGGATTTTTGCACACCTAATTTAGTGGTTTCTCAAACGGCTGACAAAATTCCTGAAAATTCCCATGAGTTTCTTCTTCCCAAGAAAAATCGAGAGGAAAGAGAAAACTAAAAATGCAAATCATATAAATAAATAAACTTAGATTTATTGATCAATAATGTTGTCCATGGACAAGATACAGCTAATCTAGTAACCAAACAAAATTTAAAACTAAAATAAAAATAAACGGCAAGCAGTGCATTGAAGGATTCAAAATACGTCACGTAGTTGAACTCACTTCTTCTTCTTCACCAATGAACTCATTTCCACACACTCAATCTCTCAGATGCTCCTTCAATCTCAACCATGAGCTCGTTTTATCTTTCTTCTTCTCCAATTTTTAAACTTCAGTGGCACGCAAACCCTAAACCTAAACCTAGTCGTCCTATTGTTTCTCTACCACTCTGTCGTCTTCATGCCAACTGTTATTCGTGGAGATTATCTTGTAACCTTGCTCAACATGGTCTCGAGTTGGAGGAAACTGTTGAGGAGGATGAAATCCCTCAAGTTCTGGAATTACCTACAGAGGAGGAGCCAAATTTCGACAAGGAAACGATTGCTTCTCCATCGAAAATGTTGAGGAAGAAAAAAGGAGATGAAGAGAGCTTGGACGATAGATTCAAGCTCAGAAATGGAAAGGAGGTTGCTTTAACTTATTATATCTTCTCATTCTTCGTCACCATTTAGTGGATAACGTTTGTTCATAAGATGTTGCTCGGAAAACGGAGAAAAGTGCTTACTTTTCTAAATTCGAAGAAACTGATTTGCCTGAGCATGAAATTAGTCTCTAGAAAGGATTGTTGTGTTCGTATTTCTGTTTTAAGTATTGAAGAAGGATACTTTATTTGTAATTTTCAGATTTTTGAAGAGAAGGCATATCTAGTGGGCGTGGAAAGAAAGGGTGATGGAGAATGTTTGTTTAATATAGAGGAGTCTCTTGAGGAACTAGAACAGCTTGCGGATACTGCTGGGCTTGCGGTGGTTGGTTCTACATATCAAAAGTTAGTAGTTTCTAGTTATCTGTGTATTGCTACTTAAGGATGTGATTGGATTCTTGGTCCCCTGTGATCTAGTAGTTGTTTATTTTGTTTCTGCTGCCATGTTATTTTACTGCGGATGCTAAAGCCAATGATTGTTTGATGGTATACCGCAGGCTAGCTTCGCCAAATCCTAGAACATACATTGGTTCGGGAAAGGTTGCAGAGATAAAAAGTGCAATCAATGCATTGGACGTTGAGACCGTGATATTTGACGATGAACTATCACCAGGGTAATGTTTCTTTGTAACTTTTATTTTTGGTGGAATTATATGCTCTTGGATTAAGACCACCACGGGTCTTGCATACCTTTAAACTGAAGTTTCCAAACATCTACAGTTATAAGTTTTTTATTCTTCAGTTTCTTGGTTGCAAGCTATAGAATACGTAACTAAAAACTAGTCATTGGATTGTTGTAGTATGTAGGAGTTTCATTTTGTTTGTTTCAACACTAATTTGTCAACAAGTGATTCATTTTCTTATTAATTTATATATTAAATTGTAGACAATTGCGTAACCTGGAAAAGGCCTTTGGTGGGGAAGTTCGAGTTTGTGACCGCACTGCCCTTATCTTGGACATTTTCAACCAAAGGGCCGCAACTCATGAAGCAGCCTTGCAGGCAATGATGACCATTGTGAAAAATTTTATAAATGCTCTTTCCAGAAATTATGTACTGAAATGTGGAATCGTATCCAGGTTGCTCTAGCACAAATGGAATACCAGTTACCACGATTGACTAGAATGTGGACTCACCTTGAGCGTCAATCAGGTGGACAAGTTAAGGGCATGGGAGAAAAACAAATTGAAGTTGATAAGCGAATCTTGCGTACTCAAGTAAGTAAAATCTATATTTCTGCAGTTTCTAGCCTCTTCTACTACTGCTCCTCGTATAGTTTGTCAAGTAATGGTGTGTGACACAGTTTTTCATTATGTTTGTGATGAGCGGTTTCTTAAGTTCTGTCTGCTTAGGTTATTCTGTATTGGTCCATAGCATATTTTGAACGTTTTCATATTGAATTGGCCAGATTGGAGTTCTCAAAAAGGAGTTGGAATCTGTAAGAAAACATCGAAAGCAGTATAGAAGCCGGCGTGTTGCTATACCTGTTCCTGTTGTATCTTTGGTAAGTACACCTCGGTATGCTAAACTCGTAGGTATTGACCAACACTTCATTTTATATGAGAATGCTATATACCTATCATGTTTTAGGTCGGTTACACAAATGCTGGAAAGAGTACACTTTTGAACCAATTGACCGGTGCTAATGTTCTCGCTGAAAATCGTTTGTTTGCGACTCTTGATCCAACTACGAGAAGGGTTCAGGTCAGTGAATTTTGTTGGAAATGTTGATCTGCAGTCCCTTCCTTTTGTATGTTACAATGAAGAATACATATGCTCCTGATAGTCACATTATCTAACGGATGATGTGTTTTATGTGTTTAACGTAATTGTATTGCAACATGTTCTGCCATCTTGAAACATTTCTTTCAACCAAACTATTGTATATGTCGATATTAAGCTATTGACATGCGATAGCCTAAAAATTGTATTTATTTATTTAATGTGGTATCATGTCTTGACATGAGATTTCTTTTCTGTGTCCCTTTTGGTCAGATGCAAAACGGGAAGGAATTTCTTCTCACAGATACTGTTGGTTTTATCCAAAAGTTGCCAACCACCCTGGTAAGGTCCTAGTGGATAAAACTTGACTAGAAGCTTAAACGGATATGTTCTTCATTTGCTTTGTTAATACCCATATTGTAGAAGGCTTTGTGTTAACGCGGTGTGTAACTTAGCTGAAAAGTGTCTTGCAGGTTGCTGCTTTCAGAGCAACACTTGAAGAAATAGCAGAGTCAAGCCTTTTGGTGCATGTTGTTGACATCAGGTTGGTATCTTCAAATCTTGGTTAATTTGGGTCAATCAATCATATGTCATAATTTCACCTCCCGATGATATTATGCTTGTAAAATGTTTAGCCACCCACTGGCAGAGCAACAAATAGAAGCTGTGGAAAAGGTTATGTCAGAACTCGACGTTTCATCAATTCCAAAGTTGGTCGTGTGGAATAAGGTAATGTATAGTAGTAGAGACGGATATGATTGTAGTTCTATTCGGTCTCTTGCGGTAGTTGCAAAATAACGTGGGACCAACTATAACCATAATACTCTTTATTTACTCCTTCGTTAGGTTGATAGAGTGGATGATCCTCAAAAGGTCAAGCTGGAAGCAGAGAAGAGTGGGGATACAATTTGTATATCTGCTCTGACTGGAGAAGGACTAGATGACTTCTGCAATGCTGTTCATGAGAAGCTCAAGGTTTGCATTTCATCAAAATGTTTTGATTCTTTTTTGGTTCATGATTGTGGCACATTAGAAATTTAGTTCTTAAAACTCTGTAACAGGATTCAATGGTTTGGGTTGAAGCCCTTTTGCCTTTTGATAAGGGGGACCTTCTAAGCACCATACACAAGGTTGGAATGGTGAAAGAAACAGTGAGTAGATAGATGACCGACCATCTTACTTTGGTTTCCTTTATTTATTCAGATAACTCATTTGAATCTCATGTCTTGTGTTTGTTGCGTATATAGGAATATACAGAGAATGGGACGCTTATCAGGGCTCATGTTCCACTTCGTTTTGCACAGCTGCTTAAACCTATGAGACACTTGGTCAAAGATACTTCCATAAGCCAAAAAGGGTGAACCAGAATCATAGCAAGAACCTGAAGGCCTGCCTTTTGATCAGAATCGGAGGCTACGTGTGTTCGGCCAAAGCATCCGAAAGCAAAAGGAGTTGAAACAACCTCCTGAACATATACACCACAAAGAATGACAGTAAGGAATATTCGTAGGTAAAAAGGAATGCAGCTAGACACAAGCAAGATAAGCTTGAACCTTACTTGATAATCTTGAACTGGAACTGCAAATGTCATTTCAACAGTGATAACCCTTTTTGTACAGAGAGCCTCTGGTTAGGAAACATGAGGTGCTATGACTATTTAACCAAAACGATGGCCTGGCTCAATACATGATTTACTTAGAAATACCAAACCTAACATATCAACACTTTCAATGACTCAGGAAACAATCTAATCTCAAACTCAAGAGATTCTCAAAGTTTATAGCAATCATTCGGTTAAAACTGATTGTACTAAAGGCGAGGGCATGCTAATACATACTGTCCAGTTTCTACTAATACGACAGAAAAAATCTAACACCATCCTTAACTCAAGTCTCGATTTTGGTGGTGGAATCTTGTCTCTGTTTATGTGTTAAGGCAGTGAGAACAGAAAAGCAAATAATAGCCACCAAATGTAAAATCAAAACTTGCGACGTATGCAAAATAACAAAACTTCTCACTAGATCGCATATAAATATTCATATGAGACTGTTCTAAATGAATAGTGTGACGTCGACTTTGCTACCACCCCACCAATTCTTAGTGGAGTGCTCATCAACAGCTTAACTTTATTAGGTTCCAGTGAAGTAGGTAAAAAACTTAATGGTTTGGGATTCTATTTTTTCCTTTTTTTAATCCACCTAAACCATTGTTAGGACTTAGGATGAGTAATGAAGCCTCTTAATTGTCTATTTCAGCTACAGAACAAATGTTATTTGTTTAGTTGCATACAAAAGATGTAAAATACTGTTCTCTACTTTGCAATAATTGACTTCATCACCCACTTGCTTTCACCATATCCACTTCATCAAATGATAATCCAAGGAAGCATCTGCTGCTCATACCAAACGGAAATGGCACCTGCAATGGAAGAAGATTATATGAGAAAGAGTTAAAATTTCATCAGTTGATACAGAGAAATGTTTTTTCCCTTCTTATTTTGAATAGATCAACTGTTGAAATGTATTAGCAGTATCAGTATGTACCCCAATAGACCTCTGCCTTGCCATATCCTTGGTGTGACAGATAAGCCGACTTTTGCACCTTGCCTCATAACTTGAACAGAAACTGCTTGTCCCTGGTTAGACTGAGCTTCAGCGGCAAGCCTTTGTAACAAATTGTCACCACCCTCCACGTTGCCAAATTTCAAAACCTGATCTCCAAGCTGTAATCCATCCTCTGCTGCTGGAGATGACTCGTTTATCTCATCAACCATGGCAAAGGGAATACTAGTAACCACATCCACATCCATGGCACTGGAAGTAACACTGAAGCCAGATGTCTCAACGGAGGCAGATAAAGAATTCACTGCACCTGACAAGCTTGTTTCTTCTGGACCTGCATCATTTCCTACTCATAAGTGTTGTACCCACGTCATGCAAATGGTTCCAAACTATAAATGCCTTCGTTAGCATCTAACAGTCATAGCATAAGCAAAGAACCAGAATCAAAGTGAACGAGTACCCAAGCTTAGAGCTCTATCCCCAGTCATACCTGAATCTTTTGTGGATGAAGCTCTAGATGTAGGCCTCACTGAATGTAGGATTTGAATGTTCACATTGATCTTTTCCGTTATCTCCCCGTGCTCACTCCTTAACTCTGTGTGGGTGAAGAAACTATTTCAGAGAAATAAACCAACTCAACGCTGAAAAAGTAGTGCCAAACTTAACAATTGGTTCACAGTAGAAGCTACACAACTACTCTATGGCAAATGCTAATAATACAAAATCAAGCTTGATTCCTTCCAATCTCATCTCTAGCCCACCAAACTATGAATAAACCTCAAGCCAAGACAAAGCCAAACTATATATCATCAGTATGCTTTCGCTATGTTTCCTAAGGGTTTCTAAAGTTTAAACTAGCCTTGGACTTGTGATCTCGCCCTAACTATGGACTAATTTAGCACAAGACAAAAAGAAAAGAGAAATCACCAGCAAGACGACGCCGCTCAGCTCTCACCACCGGAATGTCAATATCTTCCCGAGGAAATCCCTGCCATAAGCAAAAGGATCAAAACAAGCAGATGTCTCAGTAAAGAGTTGAGAAGAGTGGGGACGCAGATGCAGTACCTCCGAGTCGATGAGATTGCCGGAGAGACCAGGACCGCCGGGATTGCAGAGACGTTCGACAATAGAGTTCATCTCCGTCTCCATGGCTGCTCTCTTGTCCATTAGAGTCATCGTCTCCGCTTTCAGATTCGCGCCAACCATCTTCTCTTCTCCTCTCGCGTCTTCTCTAAGTCCGATCGATTCTTTCACAGTTCACCGAAATCGCAACTTTCTTTGCCTCTCTCTCTACTTTGGGACCGGAGCATGTCACCGTGATTGTATTTTGGGCTTTATTATTAAAAGCCCAATAGACCCATTCTTAAACCGGCGTAAGATCTCAGCCGTCCAATTATTACATCTAACGGCTATTCCCGCTTTTTTTCTACACTTTATTTTACAGACAGTACAACTACAAGCAGCTCTAAAGCCATGCAATATTTGTTTATGTCAATCGTACTAGTTCCTATAAATTATAAACAAGCATGTCTACAAGCTGCTGAATCATCAGTCAGCAGTGAAATCAGGCTCGGGAGGCTTCTGCAGCTTCACCAAATCCCTAATCTTTGTGTTCCGGTTCCTGTGAATGGTGCGAAGAGCATTAGCCGCAAACTTAGTGGCAAGAAATGCGGCCCCGATGGAGTATGAAGGTCCAGCGGTTGAGCTGGGCACAGCCGCGGCCTCGGCTTCCGCCTCTTCCATCTTCTTCCTCTTGCAGTATCGGCGCCAGGCAGCCTGGATAAAGCAAGCAGCCCAAGTCCTCCATTGGTGAGAGTAAAACCTGAATGTGTGCTGCACTTGCCTGCTGTGTAGGCGCCGAAACTGGCTTGCTACAAACTTCAGCTCCTCGGAGGTCAGCGCGAACGCCTCTACTTCTGTCAGAGCTTTCACAGTTCTCGTGGAAGACGGGAGATTTACACCTGATTTTGGGTCCAATGCCCATGTCAGAAGCTCTTCCCCACAGAATTCTCCTTCTTTCAGGAGACTGCGGTTGAAGAAACCGCTCCTGCCTCCATCTGTTGTCACACTCTCGAGGCGACCACGTATTATGAATAGCATCTCATCTACAGGGTCTCCTTCCCTCACTAAGTAGGTACTCTCTGTGAACAAGCATGGTTTTAGCCGCATACAGATCGCATCCAGCAGCTTGTCGTCCATGCTCTCAAACAATGGAACCTAATATTATGGTAAAAACGCCATTAATACTAGGCATGTCCAAAAGAAATGGTCAAAGAAACACCATTAATAATATCATGAACCAAGCTAGGTTGTCGATGGTCAAAAGCTAGTTTTAGTTATGAGCAGACTGTTATTCAATGGGTCCTAAATGTTCAAAATTAGTGTGATACTGTGATCTATATGAGAAGCTTGAATAAGGAACAGCGGGGAGATCTTACCCTGCGCACTAAAGCCAGACAAAGATGCCGCTTGATGTCTCTCCGGAGATCCTTGGGAAGATTCTGAACGAGATACTCTTCATCTACACCACGTGTCTCCAACCATTTATACTGGTCATAGCGCCTCACACGCTCCCTAAGATCTTGTGGTAACATTCTGTGATGCATCCATTGTTCTGAGTCACGCCTCTTTACTCTCATTTCTTCTAGCCGGATGGTAAGAGATTGGAGATATGTCTGTCCCAAGATTGAAAAATGTTGTTATGGTTGAAAGAGCTAACAAGAAATTTCTATTGATCACGAAAGTAGCTAAGGTTGCGCCATAATTACTCACCTGCATGTTTCCGATGAGAAGAGCAAAGAGGATCAACCCAGAAATGGCGAGCGCTATGGAAAATATAATTTCCATTGGGTATGTACTGGTTTCGAGCCCTTGTCCAAGTGTACTGTGGTGCAACAATGAAAAGTACTATATGAATATCTGAAACTCATAGACGCCTAACTTTGAGCAAACATGTGATCATGGGAGCTGAAAATTTTAAGTTTTGTGAGAATTGGCAAGATCAAAGCAAATAGTCTTTTCTTTTACTTTTGACTGATTTGTGATAGAACAAAGGACTTAACATGGTTACCTCAAGTTCTGAAGGCCCCACCACAAACAATAACAATATTTTACGATGAAGTTTTGAGACGAGACAATTCCAGACGATAAAGCCTGTGTATAAATCCCAAAGTCAAATGGAGGATTATTATCATCGAGGTCAGCTCGGCACTTGGACTGAAGAACAGATTCCTTGGCTCTGTTCCAAACAGCATAGCCGTCCATGTTTTGATTGCCACAGTACAAGAAATCTGTGCTGCAATTCCCTGCATCGTTACACGCCTTCTGCCAGCAGGCGTCGTTACGTTCCAAGGCTAAAAGGTACCAAAAAGCTCCAACTATCTGCAAGATAAGAAACAGTAGCTCAGTCAAAATAGCACTTATCAAGTCATTACTATTATTGAACAGTACATAAACAAAACAAACTCAATAAGCTAATACAATCAGAGTTACTCGTCATAAAAAATGACTATTTGTAATCCCATGAACACCAACTAAGATTAAAGGAAAGATTGCATAGAACATCACAAGTAATTAGAGACGGCTTAACCAGAAAGCTCAATAACCTCTTTCACATGTCTTATGAAACTAAATATTAACACATAAGTTCACAACAATGAAACGGAGATGAAACTATTTCCTAGTTTTGCACTTTTAGTGCCATAGTCACATAACTCATGGTAAAATGGAAAAGCATTGAATTAAAAAAGCAATGTATTAAAAAGAAAAAAGCTATACACTCACATGACTTGCAAGCATATATAAGAGCAGATAATAAGCGGCACCAGCCCAAGCCGTTTCCGCAAAGACACCTGCTGTCCTTTTCAATTCTGACGTCAAGGGTAAGACACGTAGGAATCGCGGTATATACTGGACCAAAACAATGAAAAGCAAAGCCTGCTTTGTAGCCAATACATCCGATCCGTTTGAGCTTTGCAAGAACCTCCAAACTACAATCTGCACAATACACAAAGTGAATAATGTAAATCTAAAACTAGTAAGCCCTTGAAAGAGATATTTGATCACCAACTACTGCATCCTATCAACAAATTAAGTAATAATGTTTTCCAACACACAAATTACTGAAATGATCTAAACTTATATCAACCAACCTGAGGGGCAGGAAGTACTGAGAGAAAATCAATGATAAACCAACGTTGTAAATATCTCTTTGCTATCTGTGCAGGATCAATCACAAGTTCACCTCGCCCAAAGACCCGTGATGAAGGTGCAATATAAGCAGTCCTGAGCTGGAGAGCCATGTGAGCTAGATAAAACACATCGATAAAAGTCCGCAATGTACTTGCTGTGATAGCCAGTTTTCTGTCAATACCCAGGCACTTGGACTCAGCATTAATCACAGGAAGATAGAAGAAAAAAGGGTCCACAAACACTGAAAGAATACATGAGGCGACGAATAACTTATTGCAATACAAAAGGAATTTATCCTGAGGATCAAATATCTTCTTTTCAGATACTTTAAGGTCTTCTGGGAACACTGCTCGATAAACACCGAAACCGAGTGAACGGCCTATCGATTTAAGCCCTTTGGAACCCTTTTGGATACCTTTCTTGAATGATCTAGATGTGTCATTGGCTCCATGAATAGGATGAAGTTGTCCACTGAAATTGGAGGCGTAGTTCTGTTGGAAGGTTACAGATGATGATGGTAACCTAGAGTCCAAATCATCCACCCTATAAAAAGGTATGAACAACACAACTTTCAGATTACTATGCTCCAACAAGCAAACGATTAGGAGTAATTCAAAACAATGACTGCTAATCAGAAACAAGCATTGCCAAATCAATATGTTTCTCACATCCAAACTTCAGATCTCTCTAACCTCACAAAATTTTCTCGTTTGCCTGCCATGATTGCTGCTAATAAGGAACTCACGAGCCTTCCACGATCAATTGCTCAAATCGATGAAGAAAGAACACATCTTTAACAGACTCTAATCATTATAAGCAAGCTGCATCAACCCAAAATAAGACTAAAATATTTAACCTTTGAAAGACCCAAGTAAAAAGAACTCATAACCAAATGAAGTTGTCAAATTATGCTAAATGAAGATAGACTTAACTCAACTGGATAAAAAAAGGAAACAAATTGATGAATGATGGACACCGACACATAGTAACTAATTAAGAGAGGTAGAGCTAGAGAACAAACCTTTGATTTCTCGCAGGAGAAATGAATCTCAGAACAAAATTAGAAACAGAACAGAAGTGAATCAAAGTGAACTTGCTGAAGCAAAGAGAAAGAGACAAAGACAGAGGCTTACATGGCTAGACGAATTCAAAGGTCCCGTTGATGAGGATAACCAGAGGAACAACTACGAACATGACAAAGATGAAAGTGGGTATAAAGCGACCAGAGCAGACAAGTGGTATCGACTTTACACAAGAAAAAGAAAAAAAGGCAACGAGGGAAGACGAAAACGAAGCAAATGACATTTTTACCCTTGATAATATGATAGACAGAAAAGTGTAGATTTTTCTTTGACGTCTCAAAAGTCAAAATGTGGAAAGCCAAAACCGGTTATATTTAAGATGGAAACCCGACCTTGAGGTGAGTCCAACAAGCAAGGTCTTTTAAGTATAAAACGTTTATATCAACAAAATCACTGAAATGACTTGTAATATAAAGGCTGAGCTCAGTTTTTAAACGATTCATGTCCTAGGTTCAAGGCTTCAAGCTTCATTGCTAATATTTGGCTATAATTTATTTATTATGGGAAGAAAGTTTTTTTTGGTACAAGAACATAACAAGTATACAAGTTCTTCTATATAGTATATATAACAAAATTGACAATCTCAGTTTTCTTACATACTCGAAAGAAGTCCAACATCCTTATCCGATCTCATTATAGCTCATAAATTTTTAATATTTCTAAAATCTCATAACTTATAAATGTATAATCTGATGTTACTCTAAGAGTCTAACGTACAATTGGGATTATTTTCAAACTATATCGCATTAGGTCCATTAAGGTAACACACGATGTAAATTCACCACATTGTCATTCCCTCCAAAGCAATTGTCGTCATTAAAAAGTTTGCTGCTTAGCGCCGTCAAAAGATTTTTTATAAATTCGCTCCGATAAAAATAAAAACGAGTGAATACCATCTTTGCCTGTTATACTCCATTTAAAAGGGGCTAATGCAAAAATTTAATCTTTTTAAAAAATTATTTCACCATCTGCGAGAAAATTGAACTCTGCAAAATCAAGAAACAACAACAATGAGTTTCAAAGACCAAGATTCAAAGCTTACCTGTTGATCTCCGAGCAAAGATTCTCGGTTGTCTTCCCACATATGAAGCGATGTCATGTTTGCTCCTCTCCAGAGCTTGGGCGGGTTTATGGAAGACATCTCCGGTGATGAAGTTTAATCATAGAGACCACAATCCCGATAGCTTTCAAAGATTCGTCCAAAGGGCTTTCTTCAGCACGAAGGAGATCTTACACAGCTTCACCTTATCATCGATTCACGTACATCTACGATGGATCTTGCCGCTTGGATTGGTTTTGCATATCGTCAAAGTTTGCAGCAGCTCATCATCGAAGGCTTGGTGGGACAGCGTGTACTGCTACATGTGACCATATTTAAGAATAGACCATCTATTTTCTCAGTCTTAAAGGCTCTTTTTCTGTCTAGATGTCTTCCCATGTCGCCTTAGAGAAGTACTTGTATGTTCTTGAATTACTAGGGTAAATTCTGTACAGACATCGATGGAATATTTAACAGCTGCGCAAGCTTAAATGACCTAACCATATATAGAACGTCTAGGGATTTTTGTTTAGACCTAACCAAGCTTAAATGACCTAACCATATAATGACCTAACCATATATAGACAGTGGCGGAGCCAGGATTTTTGTTTACAGGGATCATATATATATATATATATATATATATATTTATTTATTTAATTTTTTTAAAGTATAAATTGTCAAGAAAATTTAAAATTTGTTACCTAAAACAAAACAAAATCATCTATTTTTAAAATGTTTCACTTTCCAAAACATATATTTTTAGTCGTATTAAGTACTTTTTGTTCTCAATTTTTTTTAATCAAAATGTATAGCATATTGTGTTTATCTAGACTTTTTCAAAATATATGTTACGGAACATTTTTTAAACAAGGTAGCAAAAAAAATTAAAAAAGGATATGTCTAAAAGAGAAGAAAAAAATAAATATGTAAGAAGAGGTTAGAAAGTTTTAGTTATTTTAAACAAAAAAGAAATAAAGATGAAAAACAGAATTAAAGTTAAATGAGAAATGAACATGCAGGGGTCAAAACTCAAAAGCATGGTTGGATCATTATCTATGGGGTCATTATAGAGATTTTAGACAAAATCATCTAGTAACCCATCTCTGGAGTTCTTGAAGATTGAGGATCAGTCTCGAGTCAAGGATATATACACGATAACTTGTTCAAAAATCTACAGATGATGATGATAACCTATAGAGTCCAGATCATCCATTCCATTCCATATAACCAATAGAACTTTCAGATTATTATGCACCAATAATATTAGGAGTCATGCAATAGTTCAAAAAAATCACACTATACTTTCACAGGAAACACAATGCAAATTAATTTGCTTCATTAGTCACAGAACCAGCACAGTATGTATCACAGATTCAAACTTAAATGTCAGATCTCTCTCTCTTCAAACAAAAGGATGCTCTAACATCACAAATTTCTTGTTTCCCTGCCATGATTGCTAATAAGGAACTCAAGAGCCTTCCACGATCACTTGCTCAAATCGATAAAGAAAGAACAGAGCTTTAACAGACCCTACTCATTAAGCAAGCTGCAATCATCCCAAAATAGGACTAAAATATTTACCTTTGAGACCAAGTAAAAAGAACTCAATGCAGATTATGCTAAATGAAGATAAGACTTTGGAAAACATCATATTATAATAAAACAATGTATAATAAGGCTGAATGTAGGATTTTGTACAAGAAGAAGTATACAAGGTCTTCTACATATCAAACGACCATCTCAGCTTCTTTCACACTCGAAGGAATGCCAACCTCCAGTCTCATTGTAGCTCTATAATGCTCAGGTACAACAGCGCCAGCCTGAGCGCATATTTCCACAACAGCAGGTGCTTGCCCATAGAAGCTTCGTAGCTCTCGCTGCATCGGCGGCCCATTTACATCAGGAACATGCCAAACATATCTTGGCGGTATCAAGTCGTCAAGTACTGCAGATTGCCAACCATGCTGGCCATTCCGCTGTTGGTGCTTGAATGCACCACAGTTCTGGGCCTTGTGTCCCGTTGGACCTACGTGAACCTCAGGACAGTACCCACAGACCCTAACCCTGTACATCCTCATCAGCTTTTTGGCTCCTGCTCTCATTTCTTCCCAGGCCTGTAATGTTTCTTCGGCTAAGGAGACCGTTTCTTCTTCGCTAGATGGCGGAGTGATCTCTGAGACAGGTAACTCAGTTAACAATGGCACTGGAGGAGGCTGAGGCTCTGGATCAGGCAATTCAGTTTCATCTGCATCAACAAACTCGCTTTTGCCAATGCGGATAATTGGTTTTCTTCTCCTTTTTGTTGGAAATTCAAGGATTTCAACGCCGCCCTGAATACAGAGCTCAACTACAGCAGGAACTCGGGGAATAGAGAATCTCTCATCGTGACGGATACGCTTGCCAAGGCGGTCATAGAGGTGATAGGCTTCAAGAGGAACAATAACGTCCTCAATAACTGAGTTTGTCCATTCATGAAGACCTTTCCTTTGGGAAGCATTGGGACCTTTACACGACTTAAATGGATGCCCGTAAGGTCCAACATGAATCTCATTGCACCACCTAAGAGACCAATCGAACAACATCAAAAAAGGCCACACTCAAAACAGACCAAAAATGAAATAAGAAGAAGAAGAAGAGAATTTTACCCACAAGCATTAACACGAACAACTTTCATGAGCCGGTGGAGATTGTTGATTAATCTGATTCTTGCATTGTATACTTTATAAGCAAGAGGCACAAGGCTCTTCACAACCATACCATTTTTAGGAGGAGGCAGAGGTCTCTTAGGTTTGTCTTTGTTGTTCTTGACTCTCTCCCTCGCGGCTCGTCTCAGGTCCACAATTGGCACCGGAAAAGGTTTCTTCTCTCGCCTTGTATACTGCTTAGGTAAGTCTTCATTCTGAGGACGATCACTTCTCACAACCAATGGAAGAGATCGACGCTCTTTACTAAGCACAACTGTTGAATTTAACTGAAGTCTAAACTCAATGCTACTTCCCTGCATAAAAGTAAATATTGACACTATATTTCAAATTGAAGTTTTACACATAACTTTAGATTCGTTAACACAATCTTCTTCCGCAGGCTATTACACGAATATTTCATACATGAAGCAACGAAGTGTAGTCTTATTCTAAGAACCAAAACAAAAACGAAGCAGAGTGAAACAAATTGGATGATACTGACCTGAAGAGAAGGATAGAACCCGAATCTAGAAAACGGGTTGGGATTAAGAAATTGCCTTCTGGGTACGCTATGAATAGCAAAAGGTACACTTTTTGGTGAAAACCCAGAAACTGTACCAGCTGGATAAAACAACGTAAACCAAAATCAATCACAATCTCCCAAATGAATGGATGAAATTGAGTATTGAGGACGGTTTCGAAACACAGTGAGGAAGAAACTTACAGGAAATAGCGGAGTACGTTATCGACATCGTCGACAATTGCTGGATTAAACCATTGAAGATGGAGGATAAGGAAGAGAGAGAGCGGTCTCTCAGTCTCGGAGACGAAGAAGATAGCTAGCTGCTAATGTAAAATTGTAAATCGTGGACAAGCTTAAGCTTAACAGTTCAAATAATGGGCCTTTAATGGACAGAAGCTCTCATTAAGGCCCACTTATATTGACATTTGTTTCCAACTAGAGTTGTGTAACCGAACCGGTTTAAGAAGAAACCAATTCAACCTTTTCTAATTTTTTCTTTCCAATTCGAATTTAGATCCAAACCAAAAACTAACATTGTATTAAACACAGAGTACTTCACAATCATAAGCCAAAATAACAAGTAAACCGGAAAATACAAACCGAAATCGAACCAAATTGGGTAAGAGGTAATTAACAAGACTAAACCAAAAGGCCTAATGGAAGAAGAAGAAGCAAGCTCCATGCTCCTCTGTTCAATCTTCCCTTGTTTGTGATATGAGCGTTTACAGGAGCAGCGGCAACGCTTCTGTTGTAATTTGGAGACAAGTCGACGTTTACAGGAGCAGGAGCATCAACAACGCTTCTCTTATGATTTGGAGACAAGACAACGACACGAAGCTTCTCACCTCTCTCGCAATGTCCTTCTTCTCCACTTATGAAGTAAAATGGACCTGACCTCTTCAGCTCTATATTCGTGTGACCATCTTTGTATCCTCTTATTGGCTCTGATCTGTCACATCTCTCGTAATCTTTTTGCCTCACTTGCAACACTGAATCATTCTCTGCATTGTATTTCCACACTGTTTAAAAGACAAATGAACTTTATGAGAAACAAAACAGAGCCATATACCAAAGTTAAATCTCATTACTACTTACAGAGAGAATCTCCAATCTTGAATCTTGTTCTCTCTGACCATTGGTTTAGTGTTTCATCTCTAGATTCCGGAACCTTCCATGTGTTAGACTTGCCTCCCACCAGAATCTCTCTACCTTCAGACAACAAACCAAACAAGAGAAACAAACAACACAACATTAGTGAAGAAGACATTGGGGCTATAATAACTAACAAGTTTACTAATGTTTTTGTGATATATTAATCATTTGATGAGAATTTGCAAGAATAAATAGGAGAAGATAGGTATGTGGCTTCTTGAATCCAGACAAATCCTTTCCATGAATCAAAACGTGACAATCAAAAACAAAGCTCGTGAAAATGAAGAAGCTAACCGTTACTACAGGAGCTGTGTGTTAATTGTGACCAAACCTTTTTCATTATTGCATCAGCTGATTGTCATTGACTCATTGATGCATTAAACACACTAGAATCATCGATGTAAACGCAAAAAGCTATTGCCTTTACTTTAGGATATTTAAACTCTTTTTTTTTTTGCGGTTGACAGAGTAAATGGAAAGCATGTGATATTGAGGAGATGAAATTTTTTTATGTTTTCAATTTTTAACCATTGACGTAATATAAAGAAAAAAGAAACTAAAACCCAGCACTAATTTCCAGAAATCAAGGCAGAGTTTTCTGCAAAATCCGTACATAGAACAGTAAATAACTTAATAAGCTTAAAGTCGAATCTTTTTTTTTCTCTTCCACCATCTGACTTTTCTTACTCATAATAATAATAAAAGTCTGAAAAATATATTTCAACCTCCATTTCTCAAGGGTCTCTATTCAATGGACCCAGTTGAATGAAAATAAACTTAATATTTACAGACGACAATGGAACACAAGAAACAAAAGAGAAAGGTTTGGTTTCTTCAAGATTTCTCCAACCAAACAAACCCATTAATAAAAAAGTTGTGTTGTTGATAAAATTTTATTAAAAAAGGAAGTTGCTTTATGTTTTTTCTTTGACCCATTACACAATTTAGTGCAGAAGTCATTACCCATTTCCTGCATAAGTCTGCTTCCATCTTCATCACTGCTGTCTCAACCCAACACACTCACATCCAAAAAAGCAAAATTTGCCTTTTATTTTAATTTTCTTTTTTTTTTCTTTCCTTCTCACAACAACAACAACAGCAACAACATGATGTGTCCTTCTTTTCTGCTTCTTTGTCCTTCTCTGACTTCTCATCCTCAGATTGATATTAGACTTCTACACGAAACCCAGAACCTTCCTCTTTCTCATTTCTCTCTTTCCTCTGTTTTCATCTTTTGCTCTTCATTTCTCTCCCTCTTTCCTTCTGTGATTCTGTAATTACTCATCTGATGAATCCAAGTCACAAAGATTTCATTTCCTTGAGCCCTAATCCTTTTGAGGATCCGAAGGTCAGGCTTAGGCATCATAGCCTTATGCAAGACTATGGAGAATTGCATATGGTACGAACTCTCTTTTCTTGAGTTTAGATCAAGTTTCAGTTTCTGGGTCTGGTTTAGTTGTCTCTCTGGATCTGAGAATGTAATTTTCTTTGCTTAAAGTTTGATCTGGTCTCAGAGCTACTTGGGGAAAAGGATATCACTTTTTTTTATCTTTTAAATAAATAATAGAAAGAAGAAACTTTTAAGTTTAATTGCTTCCTTAACAAACATAAAGCTTATTACTTTTTTTTTATGTGTAGTTAGTTATGCAAATCTCTATTAGTCTTAAACTGATCCAAAGAGTGTTTGTTTCTAGTCTTGAGCATAGTTTTAGGATGATAACCTTGCTGTATTTGATCTTTAAGATCATTTGGTTTTGTGTTAGCTTCCAGTAACGTGTGTTGCTGCTTGGTTGATTACACTAGGAAACCGAAGTTATGAGAAAAAGGTTACAGGCAGTGCGAGAAAGAAAGGCAACACTAATGGCTGAAGTCAGGTAAAGACACTTTGAATCCTTTGACAAAATATATTCATTAGTCCTTTTATGTTTTCCACACTTGTTAACCTCTTCAACAGATTTCTGCGTCGGAGATACAGACATTTGAGAGAAGACCAGCCACAAGACATTAAAAAGGTTAGAAGATCAAATGGTGGGAGGAAGATCCGAGTGGAAGTGTCTCCTAATAAGAGAAGTGAGACGGAAACTAAGCATGTTTCGCTTCCTGACTTAAACCATTCGGGAAAGGCTCCCGATGAAACCGAAACCAGTCCTAAGAGAAGAGTTCCATTGTTTGATCTAAACCAGATATCTGTAAGCACATTTTTCACTCTTAATGTGGACAAAAGATTGTGAGAGGACTTAGAAACCAAACATGTCTTTACTTTTGAATTGATTTATAGGGAGAAGAAGAGCAAGAAACAGAGGCAGTGGACAATAATAATCAAGAGAAGACGAGAGTTGAAGAAAGTAGTTCATGTAAGAGAATGAGCAGCGGCATTGAGATGCAGCAGAAAGATGTGAAACTATCTTCTTGCAGAAATGGCGGAAACGGGTCAAACAAGAGGAAAATTTCATGGCAAGATCCTGTTGCAGCTCTCAGAGTCTAAAACAAGAAGAAGGAACCTTTTGTCCTTCTTCAAGTATCTCTTGTTGTAACATAGCTTTCATCAATTTTAGCTTGCTTTATTTTACTTATCTTCTTCGATGAAAACATATATCCAATTGTGACTTGAAAACTTAAAAATCTTATCCTCTTTCTCTATTCTTGAGGTGGCTTATTACAAACGTGACATTTGTATTATGGAAACAAGTGTCAGTCAACGAAATCTATGGAAGTGATCCAAAAGTCAAGGAACAAAATTAACGGTCAGATGTATTGACACGTGTCTAAAAGGGACACGTTTCGTATAACAAGTCATCATTCATTACCGAACATAAAGATGCGATTTTTGAGACGATAACAAGAAAAAGAAAACAAGAATCTTCATGGAGGAAGACGGGTCTGATTGGGGCGGATTGGCTCCAGAGATACTCATCAACATCATCTCAAGGCTCACGATTCAGGAGCTATGGACGGGTCCGATGTTCGTCCGAAAATCATGGTTAACTGTTTGCAGAGATCCGTATCTATGGTCTATCTTCGATCTGGAGCCATGTTTCGAGTCATATCCCGAGTCGACTCACTTGTGGTCCCCTGATTTCGAGGGGAGGGTAGACTCAATGCTCCGATCAGTCGTTGATTGGAGCGACGGTGGTCTCACGGAGATCCGCGTCCGCCATTGCAGCGACCACGCTCTCTCTTACGCAGCCGATAGGTAAAATATCTTTCTCATCAAGATCATGATTGAGTTTGTGATATCCTCTGTTTTGGAAATTTCTATGGATTCGAGTCTGATCTTGGACATATCAATAGATGCCCAAATCTACAGGTTCTTGCCATTAGAAGCAGTCCTAACGTGACAGACGCATCTATGACGAAGATAGCGTTTCGGTGCAGGAGTCTTAAGGAACTTGATATCAGTTACTGTCACGAGATATCTCACGATACTCTTGTGATGATTGGTAGAAACTGTCCTAATCTGAGGATCTTGAAACGTAACCTTATGGATTGGTCTTCTCGGCACATTGGCTCTGTTCCTACAGAGTACTTAGACGCTTGTCCTCAAGATGGAGACACAGAAGCTGACGCCATTGGGAAACATATGGACAATCTAGAGCGTTTGGAGATTCAGTTTTCTAGATTATCTGTCAAGGGTCTTGCTTCTATTTGTGAGGGTTGTCCCAAGCTAGAGTACTTGGACTTGTTTGGGTGTGTACATTTGTCAAGCCGTGATATTACAAGCAATGTATCGAGGCTTAAGTGGCTTAAGGAGGTGAAGAAGCCAGATGTGTATGTGCCAAGGTCAGGGGATGTGGCTCAGACAGAGAGGTATGGACATTGGAGGCTCTATGATGAGAGATTTGATATACAAGCCATGAGGATCTGAGTTTCATACACGACTCAGATGTTCTGTAATAAAGCGCCCCATAGTTCTGACTTGGCTAGGTTGTTATATGTATTATATAGCAGCTCTTTGGTTTGTTTGATAAACATTGAAACAAGACCAAATGTAGAGCTCACAATCTCGAGCATTAAAGTTGTACAAATACACGCTTATGTATAACTCAATTTCTGTGAGTTAATATACTCTTGAGTTCTTGTTGACATTACAAAGGCGTGTTACTACTATCTACGATATCAATTCTTGTAGGGGAAGTAAAAAAGAAACTACTTTTGACATTAGAAGAAACCTAGAAAAGGAGAGAAAGCAGGAAAGAGGTGGCAAGGCAAGTGATCATATGGAAGGAGCCTGACAGAAGTGTTGCAGAATCAGATGTGGTGGTGGGACGCCTCCCGTATCTTGCGCCTTTCTTTATGAATGCTCCAAGCTTCCTTGTCACACCAGCTTGATCATCGCCTAGACCTGAACACAAAAGAAGAGACTGAGGCAAGAACAGGAGTATGAGGATTGATAGGATGAGTAAGCGTTTGATGTCACCCATCTCTGCTCTAAGATAAGGATAGGTTTTGGCTCTCTGCTGTGATTAGAGTTGTTGAGGATATTTTGTTAGTTGGCATATTAAATGACATATGGTGGGTTGATTGAGATATGAAATGATAAGATGTAATGCTCTGTGGAGCCAAGATTTGACTCACTGGGAAAGTAGGTGTCCTATATCGCAAAGCGATCATCAACCAAAGGGCAAAGCCGACATCGACCTAAGTCTTTTATAAGCTCACAATTTCAGGCATAAAATTTGTACACATAAATGCTTATGTAGAAAGAAGTGTTACTATGTACTACATCATTACTTGTAAGGAAAGTAAAAAAAGAAAAACCACTTTTGACAGTAGATGAAACCTAGATAAGAAGAGAAAGCAGGAAAGAGGTGGCAAGGCAAGCAGTCATATGAAAGGAGCCTGACAAAAGTGTTGTGGAAGCAGATGTGGGGCGATGTCCTCTGAATCTTCTTGCCCTTCTCCTTATGAAGACTCCAAGCTTCCTTGTCGCACCAGCTTCGTCATCGCCATGACCTGAGCACAAAAGAAGGCACTGAGACAAGACCAGGAGTAAGATGATCGATAGGATGAGTAAGCCTTTGATGTCACGCATCTCTGCTCTAAGATAAGATAAGGTTTTGTCCTACGGCTTGCTTTTATAAAAGAAGACGTGAGTAGTTGAAGAAGATATTATTTCTGTTGGACTTATTTAATAACATTTTGGTTGTTGATTGAGCAATGAGATAATAAGCTAACATTATAATACCATGTGGACCCAAGATTATAATATCACAAAGAAGCCGACATCGACCTAAGTCCTTACAGTTCTCATATTTTCTGCAGTGATATGGTTACCAAATCAACTATCGTTACCTTTAAGTCATAGTCAAGCTACTTGCTTTCCACACACCATATTTTTATCAATTAGGAGTAAAAAAGGGGAGGTTCCCAAGTACAAGAAAGATTTACAGTGTAGATGCTAACCTGGAAAGGTATCATTCTATTTCTTGGTAGGCTAAGATTTTTTCCAAAATGGCTGGCTCCACCTCCCGGAAAGATGTGACCTGACCAACTCGTTTAGCTAATTCCCCTGTGACTCGGTCCATGTAAAGAAGATACAACCCATTTCTTTCTTCCAAGGCCGTTACTGCTTTCCGTGCATTGACTACTGATGCTATCCACTCCTCAAACACAACTGCAAATAAGACAACCAATCTCAGCAATGAAGAAATGATGCTTTTTGTCATCTATGATTGTAGTTGTGTCGGCACAGCTAGGAAACGATTATGATTCTGGAAAAAGAGCTTAAAAATAGGAAAAATGATGTTAAAAATATAGAGTTAAAAATGGAAAATTCTATCAGAGCCAGGTTTCGATCCTGGGACCTGTGGGTTATGGGCCCACCACGCTTCCGCTGCGCCACTCTGATTTTTTGTTCTAGTATAATAAATGGATATATTTAGTGTTTAGTTTACCATTTTCAAATGCTGCATTCTCTGCCCAGGGCAACAAATAGTCACATATCAGGAACTCAATTAGCTGTATCCTGCATGTTCATTAGACAATATAATCAAGCTTAGCGTCCCCAATTATCACAGAAACACATTATCTCATTTGAATCTGAAATACTTACAGTAGAAACATGCACTCATCCATCTCTGAGAATGATTCATCAAATGGATCCATAAACAGTAAATTTTCGGCTAAAATGGATATTCTCTGAGAAATAGCAAATATTGCACGCTGTCCAATGTATGGTTCACTTCCAAGTTTACGGATCAAATGTTGGACATAAAACCCAACACTTGTTTCTAGTTGTTTCACCTCTACAACAGATGGTAAACACACAAAAACAAATCTAAGAAAAATGATAACTAGAAAGAAAAGCACAGTTAGAATCAAGATTAAAAGTGCTAAAGTTACCATTTCCTTTAGAGGGAGTGCACATTTTTGTGATCAAGTGTGTAATCATGAAGCTGATAGATTCTTCAACAGATTCTAAGTTCCTTCCCATCGATATCAGCTTCTTCAGTGAAGCTTGAGTATGCCAAAAAGAGCGTATTATTTCCATAAGTGAAAACCAGGATTCTATTGAAAGGAATTACAGATCAGGATTTAAATAATTTGTTTGCAACTCAGGAGTTTTGAATTACATTACCTAATATGAAATCTACAGCCTGATGTGACCAATTGCTGAAATTAGAGGCCTGCATAATATAAGAAGCAAGTTTAAAGTTGCAACGCATTTAAGAGTGCATATTACCAGAAAAAAGCTTAAGCAACAAAGCCTAACATTGGAGTCTGCTTCGGACAGTTCCAGGAGAAAATCTATAGATATCCTTAGATGCTCAGCTTCCTCTTCATACTCCGGTTCTGCAGTCAAAGTTTCAACTCAAATAAAAAAGAGTCCCAGAAAATGAACTGGTGGTGCTTGGTTATATCAATTTTATACTTCCTTCTCCCATATAGTACATCGAAGTCATATTATGGTATTGTGTTATAAAATGTACTAAGGAAATTGAAACTGTGAGATAATAGACGGTGAACCAGGATAAGGAAGACCCTAAACAGACCTGAGGACTGCAATCTTTGCGATGATCGAGTTGATTTCCTTCTGCTTCTTCTCCTCGCTAAGGATGAAATGACAACACAAGCAGATAAGTTAAGCTCACATACACAAACGTAACAAAGAGAATACAAAATGTTCAAGCTACCAGACTGATGAATCAAAGAATGGGAAAGAGACCTAGTCTGAGAAATCTACGACGAAGAACATCATTAAATCTCGATTCAGAGGCTTCTCCAATCCTCCTACCGCTGAATACTCCCAAGTTATCAAAGAAATAACACTTGCAAGAAGCATTCGCTGGGAACAAATCACGATGAAAAGCACCTAAATGACACAAAATGCATTAGTAAAAAGACCAGTCAGTTGTAGAAACATCTTGCAAAGCCTTTCTCCATTTGAGAATCAATAAATATAGAAACGATTTGCAAAAATTAAGAGAGACAGAAAAATACTTTCAGCATCCTTGAGATCTTCCTGGAGTTTGATAATCTCTTTCTTCCTCTCTTTAGCCTAATTTCAAAATCGAAAATCTAACAATGTTAGAAGCTCCGTCTCGCAACAATCAGATGACCTAGATTTCTAAACGACGAACAGAAATCGAAATGTAGCGCTAGAAAATCTAAGACGGAATGATATCAGATTTCACAAAAGAGAGATCAGATAGTTCGCAATGAGAAGGCAATTAAACACAAATACAAAAAAGGAAATAATCAGAGTGTGGTTTCACCTTCTGCTTCCAGCGAAGAGCATCAGATTCAGAAGAAACATCACAACGGGAAGTAGAAGAAGAAGATTGATGATTCTGAATCTTAGATCGTAGCAGAGAAACAGCGATCGCCAGTCTCAGCGACTCTTCCTTCTCCGAGTGATTTGCTTCAGCTACGCGAGAACTCATTTTTGTTCAAAATTGAAATTAAAAAAAAAAAGTGTTCTAGTTTTTCGGGATAATAATTAATGATTCTCTTCTGTCCTGCGCGGGAGAGTATTTTGTGACGCTTTACAAGGCCCACTCAGGCCCACTAATCAAAATTGATAAAGCTTAAGGTCATTTTTCTTTTGAGAAAATTGCAGAAAACCCCCTTACAGTTTTCAATATTCCAATTTTCCATTTTCTTTTTTGGCTGGAAAGCTTAGGTCCTTCTAATCTTATGGATCATTTATTCAACTTCTGTTAGCTCAGAATCAGATAATAATAGGAAGGCGATGATCAAACATTTCCAATGTAATTTATCTCAACCGACCAAGTTTATAGGGGTCTCAAAGTCTCAACAACAATCAACTGAATAACTGAGACCGTAAAACAAAAATGCGAAGGTCAAAAAGAAGAAGAAAAGAGTAAGTCACAGAAGAATACAAAAAAGGACAAGGACACATCCCGACACAGAAGAGTGGTGAGAATAATGTCATAACAAAAGCTTCAAGAAGAGCAAAACTATTTTTGAGTTCTGAGAATCCTCTTCTCCTCCTCCTTCAAGCTTACAACACAACATTCATCGCACAAGCATAAGACCCAGAGAGAGCAAAATCGTAAAGCAATGATTCCTTTTACAGATTCCGACAAGCCTCTACGTCTGCTGCCTGTGAGGCCAACAGGGACTTCCCCTGCTCACTCGACTCCACGATGCGTAGAGCTGCATTGGCCACCATCTTCTGGAACCTATCGTCCTCCATCTTCCCTATAATTTCTCTAACCAATTTGAAATCCACACCACCAGCCAGAATCAGCTTTCCCACAATCTCACCAAAGTTATTTGGTGCCTTAGGAAGATCGATTCCAATGTCGTCCAGCAGAGCACCGTAGAGCAAGAACCCCGTTTCAAGATCCTTGGATGTGAGTACCTTCTTTGATAACAAATACTCCAAGAGATCAGCAATTGGCTCGACGACAGGCGGGCTTTTCTCAAGGGACAGGGATATTGCTTCCTTCACAAACTCTGGATGATATGAAGGAGACCCAAGCTCCTCTACACACTGCAGAGCTTCATCACGAAGTCGGACATTGAAATATTCCTCGAGAAGTGACTTTGTTTTTCTTTGGAGCACTTCTTCGCTCAACTTGGGAGCACTAGGCTGTGGTTTCTCCACCGGTACTGGCACGGTCAGAGGTGCAGCTGACTGTGCTGGCGGTACTGCTGACACCGTAACTGGGCGGGACACTGAACCGCTTCCCTGCAACAGTGCGCTTGTCTTGCCACTCATAATGCCGCTGCTGCCTTGAGGTAAGAGCCTCGTGTTCATTGAGGCGGACTTGCTCACTGCTGGAGAATGCAGAGGTCCTGGCCCATCACGTCTAGACATTGATCTTGTCCGGGGTACCTCCCAGTTATCATTGTCCACCCCGGGCATCCCAGGCATCCTTCGCGTCCCAGGCATACCAGGCATCAAGCCACCCGCACCAGGTCGCCCACCAGGGTAGACAGGGCCAGGGCTCACAGGCCCACCACTAGAAACCATACCCCTTCTCATATTTGCAGTGGCACCTGGTCGGAGACCAAGATTCTTCTCTGCCTCAGTATGGATTTCGGTTATAGTTCTTGCTTTCATCTGCACAAGCAATGTAAATAAAAAATCAGAACCACTACACAATGGAGCAACAAACAAGTCTCAGCCTTGTAAACCTAGGATACCTCTTCCCGCCTTGGAACCCAGCCATTGGAGCGCATGTCGATGATATTCTGAACCATGAATCTCAGACGCAGTTCCAACTGAGGATTCTTTGACAGATCCTGTAGGCGTTTGAAATATACATCATTAATCCGTTTTGACTTCACATTTCCGTCAAGTTGTTTGCCAATTGTTTTGAAGAAATGACAAATAGCTTCGACATTTTCCTCTGCTGGACAAACTTTCTCATCGGCCCCCAGAAGCTCCTGTGCTCAGAACAAATTAAGCAAGGTTAATGCTATATACCAAAATAAAAGTTGTCTAAGAAAATGTGTGAACTTATATAGGTGTTCACCTGAACAATGTGATGAACAATCTTTTCTGGAACCATCTTCTGCTTTAAAAGCTCACCAATCAAACGAATATTTCCTAGAGTCTTGAGCTTCAACAATTTTTCTTTGTCATTCCGCTCAGCCTCCTGATCTGGAGCACTCATCTGTCTAAGCTCCTCCCTCAACTGAGAAGCGCCCTCAAATGCCTCTTGACAGATATTCAGTAGAACCCTCTTAAATGTAATCTCCTTATCCCCAGGTTCTGCAGGTGGGAAGGTGGGCAGCTTGTCGTTGATATCCGAGCACAATTTCGCGTACATAGGGCAAAAGGTCGGCTCAAGGACAGCTTTGTCAAAAATAAGGGTAATCACACCCTACAAAGGGAAGAAAAGAACATTGGTTAGCTACACGAACAGCCTAGATGATTCAAACAAGACTTCATCTATGCTTGAGACATAGCGTACACCTTCAGGATATCAGCAGATGTGATGCCAGATTCAATAAGTTGGCCCTTAAGAAGGTCATACTTTTCAGGGGTTAGCTTGTTCAGTATCCTGGAAAAGAAAAGTATATCTTTGTAAGTGTGCATACTCGATTTTAAAGATTTCTTGTTGGCAGTAAAGAAAAAGTATGCAATAGTCTAGACAACCAATAACTGTCACAACGGCATTACCCTTTCACAGTCTTCAGAACTCGATCATTTTCAGAAAGGTTTCCTCTTCTAGCTGACCAAGGCACTTCGGCTTTGACGAGAACAGGAGCTGGTCCACCCTGGTTCCACACGATATACAAATAAGTAAGAAAGATAAGAAATCATGCCAGAATGTAAAGGACTAAGAAGAGGGAAAAAACATTAATTTATTATTGATCAGTTACCCCTTGGTTGGATGATATGTTTGCCCTTGAAAACTGGGAATTAGGTTGGTCTTGACGATTATATTGGCTTGCTTCAACATACCTGGAATCTCTAGCTTCACGGAGATTGTCCCACGACCTTTCCTCTCCAGAAGGTGGAGGTTGAGTAGAACGGCTACGCCAATCGCGAGAGTCTGGCTCAGAGAAGCGACTTGCGGATTGAACCGGAACCTGGACCATTAAGATAACAGATATGTGTTAAAACTTAAACTCATGAAACTGCATGATAGAGGAAACAATGCAAAAATTACTTTTCAACAAAACTATACCAAATTGCTTACGACACTTTCCCCACGTGCCCAAGTCCCTTCTTCACCAAACAGTTCTGTTGCAGTTTCCCGTTGTACTCTCAGAATTTCATCAGAGAGTTGAATGATCTGTACATATGCAGAGACGTCAGTGACCTCAAATAAGGAAGAACAAAGACGAACAGCGGAAACTATACCGGCCTTAATCCTATATTTTTTAACTGAGATAATCACCTCTTTAAGTTCCAGGAGCTGCTCACGGGTGTACTTCACACGTTCACGGCCATCAAACCTCGAGTCTCCACCCTGAAACAAAAGCACAACCCAGGATGAATCTTCATTAACTAACACTCAATACACAAAATCATATAAGAAATGACATACAAAGGAGACAAAGAACCACGAACACTCAGTACAAAACAAAGAGAGGAATAATTCGTGAATCATAAGGCAACCTGATTGATGAACTAAAAACTAGAAGAAATGTCAGTAGGTCCTTTATGAGCAAATAGTAGCTAATAAAATGCCCACCTAAAAGCCTACATATCGTTATACGTCCATATTTACAGCAGCTACACATACTTGTGTGCGCCACTAAGAATCAGGACAAACAAATTCCTTGCGACACTCGTATCTACATATATACCTATGAAGTTTAATTCTGTATGTTGCAGACACGTAATTCTATGTGGTCGGGAAGAAACCAAAATCCAACATGAGCTCAGTAGTAATTATACAACACAAGGCATTGAAACTCCCAAATCAAAAAGATTTCAGCAGATTCAGACATTTGAGAGAATCAAATCAGCAATTTACCAAAGATTGTAATTCCAAACCAAAAGGCTGCTAATTGCTATAAACCCGTAAAACTGGATTAAGCGAAGCTCAAGCTAAGACACCAGAGATCAACAAAACCATATCCGAACAGAAAAATTCAAAATCCGAGGAACAAGAAGGAGCTAGATCCAAATATAGAGAGGGACAAGAAGGAGCTTAGCGCCCAGAAATGAGGGTACCTTGAAGGGAAAAGAGGAAGCAGGAGCACCACCATGAGGACGAAGGAGAGGTAGATCCGAAGATGAAAGAGAGCCAAAAGAGAGAGACGAAGAAGAAGAAGAGGAACCAAAAAGTCTGTTTCCTCGACCGCCACCAGGTCTCAAGCTCAGCACCGTTTGATCGCCTTGCTGCATACCTCGATCTAATCCGCCTAGATCGAATCGAATCTCACAACAAAAATCGACGAGAGGGAAGAGAAAGGTAGAAGCTTTATCAGCGACGATGAATCGCTGAATCCGAGAATTGAAGGAGAGGAGGGATCGGCTTCCTGGGTCTCTCTCTCCTGCCGTTAGCGAAGAAGAGAAGAGAAAAGTTGAGATTGAGAAGAAGGAAGAAGAAGGAAGAAGAAGAAGTCGAGAAGGAGACACAATCCCTTCTCTTTATTAGGGTCTTATTCCTCCTTTTTCCCGAACCAGACACACTTCTAGCCTTAACGTTTTTTTCCGTCAAAATTACAGTTATGTCCTTTGATTCTGTTTTTTTGTCTCTTTATTTTGTCACTCTCATTGGTTTTTCCGTCATTAATGTTAACTTCTAAAGCTTTTTATAGGTAAAGTCTTCCTCGTCCGTAGCACAATGTCAAAGGGCAATTATGGAGCTTCCTCGGCTCGTGTTTGCTGCAGCTCTAGCTCATTGTAAACATATTACGAGATCGTAAAAACTAGTAACCTTGCAAATTGCAATCAAACTTCCACATCTCAATATCTTTACTTACAACAATTGTCTGTAACAACTAAAGAGGCGTTAACACAAGCAGAGACGCAAAGAAACAACTTCAAGCGCTTATAGACTCCTCCTTGTGTTTGAATCAATAATACCTTCTCATGAGGTTTTCTTGATACAGTAAGAAACTCTTCATGAAATTGAGAAGTCGGTGGGCTGTGCAATGTTGACATCCTCAAACTCGTTATCATCTGCAGATGAAAAAAAAAGAGATTCAATGCAATCAGCATGCCGTTCATAGCTTTATAGATTCAGAATGCAATAATACAGCATCCTCAACAGTTGTGCAATCGATAGAAGGCTAAATGATCGTAAGATTAGGAATTACATTCAGCTATATCCCGGTCACAAAGGTTCCCAAGACTGTCAAATATACCAAAGATGATCTATGATAACAAATTAACCAAGATTCACAATAACAGGCTCAATTGAAGTCAATGGAGTTTGAAGAGTTCATATACCAAAGAAACATATAAAAAGATGAACTGTGATAAGTGATTAACCAAGATGCATGATCCATTACGACATTTCAATGTTACCTATAAATTAACAAGGAATTGAAATTTAATAAGATAAGGGGCGAGAAAGGATCAAAGGTATAACCTTTCCTCAAGGTCAAAGCCACAACTGCATCATTCTCAACCTGAACAACAAAAAAAGATTATGGTGAAAAGCTTATAACTTTCAAATACGCAAACGGAGGCAGTGGCCATGTGACCAAGTTCTTCTTTAAACTTGAGCAATGGCTCAGAAGATAATATATATGAGACAGTCAAACGTTTGATACCTTCTGATCTGCTAAAGTTTTGGAATCCTCTAATACTTCTTCGGTAGACATTAAGACCAGACGCTGATTGGTAACTGGTTGCTCAATGAGGGCAAACAGTTTTTGCTTAACATCCAAAACAGTCTCTGTTGGATCACATTGGATAAAATAAGTGGTTTTCATGCGCTTCACACGAATATACATGGCCTGCAAACAAACATTACACAGACTAATTAATCCTACAACCTATATGTCCCAAATCTAAGTTCTTCGATTGATTAAAGCAAAATCCAAGAAGAACACTGATAAATGTGATCAGGAAGCTAGAATTAAGAAGGGTGAAAGATGTTCTCAGTGCAAAAATATCTTAACTTTCCCAGTAAAATAAGCAAAGGATGATCGAAAATACATAGAACAATCAAACCCAGTAAATTGAAGCAAAGAAGTAGTAGAAACACATATGTATGTATACCATGGCAAAACAAGGATGAAACAATTCACTCTTCTTCCACAGCCGATTCCGAAGACTTTCCGATCAAAATCTGTTTCCAAGATGCCAATAAAAGACTATTAGTGACAATTGACAAACCGCAAAGAGTCAATTTATCGAAACAGATGATCTTGTTATCCCCCAAATCTATTCTCCTTTTTGGATATTCAAAAGGAAAAAAAAAGCAAAGATTTTCAAAAATTACTGACTCAGATAATAAAGAAATCGACTGACCTAGTTGGATTAAGGATGAAAAACTAGCAAAGAAATCAAAGTTGGCTTTTTTTATAGCTGGAGCTCAGCCCTACAAGGTAAGGAAGAAGAAAGAAACCCAGTTTTTCTCACAAAGACATTTTGGTGGCCTGTTTGGCTATAGGTTTAAGACTAACATCGATTAGGCGTCGTGCAAAACCGACTAAAAGACAGAGAGGGTTTGTTATGTTTTTAGCTTTTAACTCAATCCAAAGTCCCACATCGCTAATAACGTAGGAGTGGAAGGCATGAGAAGTAGTATAAATAAAGAGGCCACTGGATCGAACAATTCATACCTTTCTCGGCCTTTTGGCTAAGATCAAGTGTAGTATCTGTTCTTATCAGTTTAATATCTGATATGTGGGCCATCGGCTCACACGATATTAACTCTATTTTTTTAGGGAGAAAGCCCGTTAAGATAGCTTGCTATCTGGGCTTCCGCGAGTCGCCCATGCGTTGCACTACTGCACGGGCCAGGCTCATCCCACCAATTTCACAGACCAAATTTTAATAGTCGAACTGGGCTGATGGGCCCAAATAATATAGTATTTTATTAGATATTGCATTAATATTAAGACATAAATACTAATTCGTATTGGGCTGATGGGCCCAAATAATATAGTATTTTAGTGGTGAAATTGGGCCCAAAGCATTTGTAATTTTTCGTCTTCTTCCAGTTTTTTTTTTTTCCGCCGTCTTCTTCTTTTCAGTTGTGTGAGAGTAATGCTAAGCAAAGCCAGTTGCTGCTATTTCCGATGATCTCTCAATTCGTTTGTTTCCCAAAACCCATGGCCGGTTTCTCGCCGGAGTTTACAGTCAAAACTTGGAATCTCCGGTCTTTCCCTCAATTTTCAAGGTCTTTAGGACATGGCTTTCGATTTCCGCGACGGTTGACACGAGGAAGAACGATTCTCATGTGTTCTGGTTCAACATTTCTACCTTGTGTTCTCTCTTTTCTAGTTTTACTCTTGTAGCTTCTTTGGTTCTTCTTCTGGATTGAGATTAGTGATGCATTTGTTAAAAGCGTTTGTGATGTCAGTCATTGTACATTATCCTGAAGAAGAGATCAATTTGTTGATCGTTAAATTCCACAAGTGAATTCTCGGAATTGATGACAAATTCGAATAGTTTTTTACTAGGCTTTAAGAAATCTGAATTCTTTTCTCTACAGATTCAAGCTCTCAGTCGTGGAATGTTCCTGTTCTCTCTAGCTCTGAGGTAGTTTTGGTTTTTATGTTTCCATAATGTTTTTGGCTTTTCCATGTCTGTTTACTTCTCCATCATGTCTAAAACTCTTCAAAACCGTTCCCAATTATTAGCTGGAGATTGTTTATTGACACAACCACCAAACTGTTCCGTGTTTTTTCAATGTAATTATAGCTGCAGCCCGTAATGAAGAATTGAGACATTTGTTTGTTATCTGTTTATGTTTAGAGGCGTTGATTGATTGTGTACCAGTGAACTATGTTTGGTTTTAAAGGTTGCTGAGAGGCTAAAACTAGCAAGAGAAGGACAACAGTTCTTGGCCATGTACTCAAGTGTTGTTGACGGAATAACAACCGATCCAGCAGCGATGGTTCTTCCATTGGATGATCACATGGTTCACCGTGGTCATGGAGTCTTTGACACTGCCATGATCGTTAATGGGTTAGTCACTTTGAATCATAGCTCACTTATCCAACCTTAGTTAGTCTTATTACTCAATCACCTGAGTTTCACTTGTTTTCCCGGGACTAAGCAGATACCTTTATGAATTGGATCAGCACCTCGACCGTATCCTACGATCTGCGTCCATGGCTAAGATCCCGCTTCCATTCGATCGAGAAACTATTAAAAGAATTCTCATCCAGACTGTGAGCGTTTCTGAGTGTAGAGATGGATCGCTAAGATACTGGCTCTCTGCAGGCCCAGGGGATTTCCTCCTATCTCCATCTCAATGTCTCAAACCAACTCTCTACGCCATTGTGATAAAAACAAACTTGGCCATTAACCCAACAGGTGTCAAGGTAGTGACCTCATCCATCCCCATAAAGCCTCCAGAGTTTGCCACAGTGAAAAGTGTTAACTACCTCCCTAACGTGCTCTCTCAAATGGAGGCTGAGGCCAAGGGAGCTTATGCAGGTATTTGGGTGAGTGAAGATGGGTTTATTGCAGAAGGTCCGAACATGAATGTGGCATTTGTTGTTAATGGTGGCAAGGAGCTTGTGATGCCGCGGTTTGATAACGTTTTGAGCGGATGTACAGCAAAGAGAACGCTTACACTCGCTGAACAGCTTGTAAGCAAGGGGATGCTTAAAAGTGTGAAAGTAATGGATGTGACAGTCGAAGATGGAAAGAAAGCAGATGAGATGGTGCTTATTGGGAGTGGAGTTCTCATCAGACCTGTGATTCAGTGGGATGAAGAATTTATTGGTGATGGTAAGATCATCATATAAACATTTTAAAGCTTCACTCTTGAGTCTTGAGTATCTTAATTTTGTCTCTGAAAATTGCTTACATGATGGATAAAAATGGCTGATTAAAGATGTGTTTCTTGTTTGTCTGACTTAGGAAAAGAAGGTCCTATAGCAAAGGCACTTCTTGATCTGTTACTTGAAGATATGAGATCTGGTCCACCTTCTGTTCGTGTTCTTGTTCCTTACTGAGCCAATCACTCTCTTTGTTCATCAAAGACAATAAGCGGTGGCTTTTTTTAGAGCTTTGCTGTTATTGTAAGTTAAAGTTTTATCATGGATATTTTGGCTCACAATTCCTTGTATTTTTGTAAATGTTTATCTTTATCACTTTTGAATTTTTATTGGACCCATTGGTTACGTGTAGTCCGCAAATTTCTTGTTTTTTCCTCTCTCTTCTTTCTTTTGAAATGGTTAGTTAAATAAGCACAAAAGCATTTTTATAGTGGCCACAGAAACAAGCAAAGAACCTTTTTATATTCTTCTTCTTTTGCAGTCTCCAATTTCCTTTTAACTGATCAGCTCAGGCAAATCTAGTCCGTGTTCTTAAAAGCGCTTATCTGTGTTTCTTTTAAAGCCAGAGCCTTTAGTGATTGTGAGTCAAATGAAGATTCAGGTGAAACAAGCTACGATCGTGAAGCCAGCTGAGGAAACACCTACACACAATCTATGGCTTTCTAATTTAGACTTGATACAAGTGAGATTTCACATGGGGACACTCTATTTCTACAACCCTTGTTCCTCCTCCGATCGTCCAAACACTCAATCTCTTATCGATGCTCTGAGCAAGGTTCTTGTCCTCTTCTATCCTGCCGCTGGGAGGCTCCAAAAAGGTAAAAGTTCGAAATCGTCTCAGATTCTTCTTCCATCATCTTCTTTTTTGTCAAAGCATTCATTTTTCTGCTTGGTTTGATTCGTGAAAGTTGAAACCTGTATTCCGCTATTGTTGATGTTTTCGATCAAACTCTGTATAGTTAAAACACTATCTCTTCTTCTCATCTTTAGATTTCTGGTTTATATGTGATAGATACGAATGGGAGGTTAGAGGTTCAATGTAATGGAGAAGGAGTTTTGTTTGTAGAGGCTGAGACTGATTCTACTGTACAAGACATTGGCTTACTCACTCAAAGTTTGGATCTTTCTCAACTTGTACCTACAGTTGACTACGCGGGAGATATCTCCTCCTATCCTCTTCTTCTCTTTCAGGTTAGCTTACCTCATCTGCCTGCTGAAAACGCTTTGTTACACTTATGATATACTCTGGTTGGTAAGTTGAGGTTCAGGGTTTAGGCAGAGATACTCTTGTTGTTTCTGTCAATTGTCATGAAGAGAACCGTTAATTAGTGCAGATTATAAACCTCAAGGTTCTTTCTTTTTCATCATCAGATGTTCATATTGTATAGACCATTACATGCACATCCTCTATGAACAAATATCTAACAGATAGGTAACTAATATTTTGCAAGGTTACATATTTCAAATGTGGAACGATCTGTGTTGGAAGTTCAATACACCATACATTCGGAGAAGCTACTTCTCTTGGGTATATCATGGAAGCATGGTCTCAAACTGCTAAGGGACTTCCAGTTAAGCTAACACCGTTCTTAGACCGCACTGTTCTTCGTGCACGGAACCCTCCCTCCCCTGTCTTTCCTCACGCTGAGTACCAACCACCACCCTTTCACAACCCTCCGATTAAATCCCTGGCTTACAGATCAAATCCAGAATCTGATTCTGCAATTGCCAGTCTCAAGCTCACACGTCTCCAACTGAAAGCTCTTAAGGCAAAGGCAGAGATTGCTGATAGTAAGTTCAGTACATATGAAGTTCTGGTGGCGCATACCTGGCGTTGTGCTTGCTTTGCAAATGAAGGTACATGTTGATTTTGTTGGAAACATTTTCTCTGGAAGCTTAAAGCCTTAAACTTTCTTTAGATTATATGAACTGAGATAATGCAGAAGTGGTTCAGCTCTTGGTCTAATACATATTGAACAACGGTTCTCACTTTACACTTTTTTCACCCGCAGATTTAAGTGAAGAACACTCGGCGAGGTTGCATATAATAATTGATGGAAGGCGAAGACTACAACCGAAGCTTCCACAAGGATACATTGGGAACACTCTCTTTCACGCTCGGCCTGTATCTCAGTTGGGTGATTTTTGTATAGAGAGTTTCAGTGAAACAGTGGAGAGAGTTCATGGAGAAATAAGGAAAATGGACAACAAGTACTTGAGATCAACGATTGACTACTTGGAGAGACATCCTGATCTAGATCAGTTAGTTCCTGGTGAAAGTAATCCGATCTTCAGCTGTGCAGCAAACTTCTGCATCGTCGGTCTAACAAAACAGACCGCTTACGAAATGGATTTCGGATGGGGAAGAGCTTTCTACAAGAGAGCTTCACATTTAAATGAAGGGAAGGGATATGTAACTGGGAGCCCAGACGAAGTAGGGAGCTTGATGCTAACCATGTGCTTGAAGAAGACTCAGCTTGGTAAGTTTCAGAAGCTGTTTTATGAGTTTCTCAATGTGTCCGCATTGTGAGAGACAATCACAAGCCTTAGGTGGGCAATTGTCTGATTTGTGTTATTTTTCGTAAGTCCCACATCGGTAACTTAAGTTGTCTTTGAGAAGTAAGTAGTAGTATTAATAACAAGGCCTTGTGATCAAACAATTCATACCTTTCTCGGCCTTTTGGCTAAGATCAAGTGTAGTATCTGTTCTTATCAGTTTAATATCTGATATGTGGGCCATCGGCTCACACGATATTAACTCTATTTTTTAAGGGAGAAAGCCCATTAAGATAGCTTGCTATCTGGGCTTTCGCGAGTCGCCCATGCGTTGCACTACTGCACGGGTTCGGCTCATCCCACCAATTATTCAGTCTAATTTTTTTCCATTTTTTTGTTATTTGTGTAATTCTATTCATATGAATTATTAAATCACAACTACAATAATCATCACTCTAATACGATGTAGGTCAATACATACATAAATTATGATTTAAAGGTATAGTTTAATATATCCAATTCAAAAGTGGTCGTATACACGTTAACATGTCCCACTATCGATTGGGACTTACGAGAATATCTATCTGGTCGCCTTCAAGGCTTTCATTGTCGATCTGAATTCTCCGATTTTCCGCCATTTCTCCGATTTTCCGGTGGATATTTAATCGGAGGAGATTCAAATTCTCCGCTTTCCACCGCCGCGTCAAATTCAAAATCATCCTCTCTCCTCCTAATCATAAAACAAATCACACATTGATCAAAGATCAACCAAAACAAGGAAATTTTGATCAAAATGGTGGAGAGAACGATGAGTTTGGGGGTAGGAGGCAATGGAGAAACCTCAGGAGTCAGAGAAACGATGTGGGCACAACAAGAGCTTCTTCAAAAGATCAACCAAGAACTTGACGCAGAACGTGAAGCTTCTTCATCTGCTGCAAGCGAGGCTTTATCGATGATTCTACGGCTTCAAGGTGAGAAAGCAGCGTTGGAGATGGAAGCTAGTCAGTACAAAAGAATGGCGGAGGAGAAGATGTGTCATGCCGAGACCTCTCTTGCGCTTTTCGAAGATCTGATTTATCAGAAGGAAATGGAGATTGCGTCTCTTGAGTTTCAGGTTCAGGCTTATAGATGTAAATTACTCAGCCTTGGTTGTTCTGATCCGGCTGTGATTGAGAATAAGTTCCCGGAAAATCTCATCTTTTACGGCGAAAACTCTCGTGGGAATCAGAGGAAGATGAAGAGAAATCTATCGGTAATTTGAATAACTGAAAAAACTGATTCCATGGCTATATAAAGCTTTCTGTTTTCATTGTTTTGAGACATTGTTAGATCCATAACATAAGCCAAAGCTATGTTTTTTTCTGTTGCAGAGCCCATTTGATGGCATATCTAGTGAAAGAAGCTTACTTTTGTCTGATGTTAATGGTGAAAGCTTTGAGGAGAAGAAACGTCTTGTTGAGAGTTCTGTATCTCCTCGTGAAGACTTGAATGCTTATTGGGAACAGATCAGAAGAATAGATGAGCATGTTCGAGAGATTTCAGACTCAAGAGATGCTCAAAAGGTATCTAAATTCCCTTTGCTTAGGCGTGAGTCAATGTCACATGCGTTGGTGTCACAAGTTAGCAATACTATCCTTGAGTCTGCTAAGAGTGATGTCAATTCGATTATGGAGATGATGAAGAACCCTGAAAAATTCTCTGTAAAAGATGCTTCTTTAGAGACTCCGATTCTGTCTCCGAAAAATGTCCAAGACATCTTCGAGGTTCCTAGGACGAAGGAAAGCCTTACAATCATCTCGGAAGAAGAGGAAGCCGAAGAAAGAAATGTAAGTCATTTATCTGTAGTGAACTAATCTTTTGTTTAAGCAATTTGATCAGGTACTAATATATGGAAAGAATCACAGGTTAGAGGCAAGATGGTGACTAGTAATTACGATAGAAAAGTGAGTAAGCCGCCAAGAGATACGAGCATCAAGGGAGAACATTTGAGTTTGCTAAAGGAGATTCGAGAACAGCTCAATGTAATGCAGTCAGAGATGAGAAGCTTAAGATCAGAACTGCATCAATCTAAACCTGTGTCCAATCCCGAAGAGGATCGAGTCCTTAACTCAATTCAGGAGGTAATGAACGTTCTTGCTATTTGGTAGGGATGCCTGAATGATATTTGGAACTATAAACATGCTTTTTTTTTGTTTCTTGAACAGGCACTGATTCACTTCTGGCTTTAGAAGCTACCATGCGGTGTGGTTCTAGTTTTCCATATGTAAAGTTACTTTAACCTTTCAAGAGGTTTGAAGGGATGTAAAAAACAAACTGATAGATTTCAGAGTAAATCTCTGGTATTTGTAAGTAACTCCATTGGCATTGTGAAAACAAAATCTTTAAGTCTCTCCCTGATCTAATAGACATTGATGGTAGAAGCTATCTAAAGTTGAATCCACATGGGATAAGGTTGATTTAGTTAGAGAAGCTAATGCAGAAAATGCAGGACGGGTCATTAGAATGGTTATCGATATCAAGGGTGGTTCCTTTCAAACACTTGAAGTGGTAGACATGACCACAAGACAGCACGGACGCCTCTTGTAAGCTGCGCAAGGGAGCATTAGGCCGTTCTGGATCCGTGGCGAGATCTCTCTGGCATAAGTCGCACGAGTGTCCAACTTCCTCCATAACAAACACCATGTCAAGCTCTGCATAAATCCAAAAAAAATCAACATAAGATAAGGAGGAAATCAAACAAAGTCTTCAAGTTTGGGATCAGATTGATACCGTCGCGAATATGCTGCGACACTTTACTCGGTTCTTGAGGCGTATTCGTAGTCATCTTGAGAACTTGTTGGATTTCGTCATAGATGTTTTGAATATCAGATGAAGTTGTTGCGGATACTCCCGAAGATTGCATCTCAGAATGGATTTTATCAACTCTCTGTTGAAGCTTTAAGAGCATGTTTAGAGCATCTTCATCGCCTTTTGCTTTCGAATCCATGTTTGGGGTTTTTTCATCGTCTCTTGCTTTCGAATCCATGGTTCTTGCTCACTCACACACAAGAAGACGAAACGTCTGGAATCAAAGACAAACCATTAAAAAATAAAAGCAAAGTCAAGCTTTGTTTGACTTGTATGCAAAAGGGCTCTTTAATGAAACTTGTGAGCGAAGAAATTAGGTTTGGCAAAGTAAGTACGAAGAAATTAGGGTTTAACCAGGAATTAAGCGTCCACCAATAGAAAAAACTCGAAACAATGGAAAATCGTACGAAATTCCAAATTATAATATATGGTCTCCCGTAGAAGAATCTCAGTCAAAATTTGGTCGGAATCGAAATCGGAATCAAAGCAAAAACAAAAGAGAGATGGACGAACCTGTGTATCGACGAGAGGGCAGAGAGATAGATTTTAGATTTCCATGTTTTGTGTTTTTGCTGGGAAGTGTTTGCTTTGAATATATATATATATACAAGCGATAATCATGAACTCGTATAGCTCAGAGATTATCAATAAGAAATTAATAATGAATTGAGATTATCAATAAGAAATTAATAATGAATTACCGGCTTATAATTAAAAAGAGAGCTTCCAAAAGGTGCATTAATTTTATACAAGGGAAGTAAATTTAATTCGAGTATTTTTTTCTATGTATTTTATACTATAGTAATACCCCTGTTCTAAAAATCGGCCGCCTAGCCGCCTAGGCGCTGATCGGATGGGGACCGCGGCGATTTTGTCCAAATCGGTAAAAAAAATCGGTGATCCGATTTTTGTCCGCCTAGACCGCCTAGGCGTCCGCCTAGACGGCGCCTAGCCCAATTTTTTTTTTTTTTTTTTTACTTTTTTTTTTTTTTTTTGGATCTAAAATTCAAAACGTCCCACTTATGTTCATAATTTATATAAAAATCATAAGTTTGACCTTAAATTCTTGTTTTCATGTGTTTAATATAATTTTTAAAACAAGATTATATAAATTTCTTATTTATAATGGATTAATATGTTTTTAAAATATTAAATAGCCTTAAAACTAGTCCCCGATTAATCCCCGTTTAATCTCCGATTTTCTTGTTAGGCGCTAGGCCCACCCTCACCGCCCGACTAGCGCCTAGCGATTTTTTAAACAAGGAGTAATACACTAATTAATAAATCCCAAAAGCAAAAAATTACTTTCACTCAACATTTAAATATCATCCATATATTATTAACTTGTTATTCTTCATTTAAATTTGGTAATTCCGTCCAACAGTAGCTAGTTGATGTGTTGTGGTATTATAAGTTCCAAACCAAATAAGAGAATGTTTTCATATTATTATTTGATTGGCCTTTTCTTAGACATCCAATAAAACAGAGAAAATAATAACACCAAAAACACTTAAATAGAGAGAAAATAATAAGACCAAAACACACACACGCAAGCAAGAAATTAACTTTCAAACCATGCATCATTATGGAATTGATTGCCTCTTAGGTTCAAAGAGGACCTGGAAAAGTTCCACTCTCCCTCTGCTCGTTCCACTTCTCAACCTGCGATAAGATACGCGGTGCGGCAGACATTGTCAGATGATGAATCAACGTATAGGAGTGTGACTTGTGTGTATCACGCAAAGCCCTATTAGTATTTGATATAATAATCTAAGGTCCAAAACAAAAGGAACCAACCCATTCTCCAGGACAGAGAGCGCGGTAATACTTGGCAAACCTCTCGCAGTCATTAGACTCCTCGCCCTTTGCAGTTGTACACCTACAAGATGATCTTTGATGTCAACAAGAGATTTTAAAGTGATGATTTGCTTAATGATGAGCTAGCAATGAGGTACCTATGGAACTCGATGTACCGAGTAAAGCAGTGCCTGGTTTGATTTGTTGTAGGAAACCGGAAATCAGCAGGAGCAGTTTTCAGTTCAATCTAATTCAATACAAAAACACAAGTGTGAAAGAAACTGAATAAGGTTTTGTAAACGTAAATCAGTTTATTTCTTTTCTGAATCAATAACGAATCAATGGGAAAAACACTTCAAATAACCAAACCATAGAACACTAGAGGTGAATTCAAGAGCAACCCCAAACATTTCCTAAATCCAAAACCAACCTCAAATCTCAAAATACTTGTTGCCTCTAAAAATCACACTAGCTCATGTGTCATTGTTGATGAACCAAACTAGCTTTGAGAAAGAAACCTAAATCCATGAACCAAACTATTTTCTAACATTCCAAAACATGTGCCCCGTAAAATAAGATTCTTGGGAATCAAGAAGATGCCATCATCAAAATCCTAAGATTCAAGTCTACCAATACAGCTTAAAGTTATTTCCTTTATCCCATAATTGTCTCGACAAGTTTCATCTGATCATAAAGATACCACCACAGACATCACAAAGGGTAAAATTTTATTATGATACATAGAAACCAATAAGCAATCGAAATTACTATAGCACACAGATTCAAGAAGATCGAATTCATTAACGTTTCCAGATTCTTTTCCGAATCTCTGAGTTTACGTAGTTGGAAATAATAATTTATTAAAAAAAAATCACCTCGTCTTCCATGGCTGATCTGATCAATGAATTGGAGAAATTACAGAGCAGAGAAGAAATTAGCGTCGATTGGGGAAATGACACTCTTTGCCTTGGTCAACTCTGATGTCTCTCCGGTTCGACCGGTTACTGCAAGGACCGAATTAGCCCAGTTTTTAGGTGTTTTATTGGGCTTTCATGGGCCCCAAAAATTAAGTCTCTTTTTTTTTACATAGTTTGCTACTTTGTTTATACTATGATTTTTAGATTGAATAGATTCACAATAGACGAATTTAACACTCCATTTTTTTTAATTAATGTGTAAGAACGACTCGTTCGTTGTCCAAAAATAGTAACATCATAATTATTTTCCTCTTATCTTCTGGATTAGAATTTATAAATTATATATTTTTTTAAATGTGTTTAATATGATATTTCAGATTGAAATGATAACCATAAATAAATAAATAAATAAACAAGTTTAGACAGACAATTTTTGTTTTTTAATTAATGTGTAAGAACGACTGGTTCTTTTGTCTATAAATAGTAACATAATAACTATTTTTCTCCTATTATTTAGATTAGATTTTAGAAATTTAATATATTTTTTGGGGATTTATGTTTGACTTAGTTCACTACATAAATCCATTAATCTCGATGTGCAACATTCCATATTTTTTGTGGTTTATAATCTCTCTATCAAGGGTTTTTACTTTATTTTGTCCATAAATTACACAAAACAGACAATTAAAAACTTGTAATCAATTTACAGTGAATTTATACTTTAAAAAAAACTCTTATGGATAATTTATCTTCGGACAAGATCTCGTTGTACTTAATTAAAGTGAACTAATTTATCTCCAACTTACATATTTGACTCTGTAAAACCCACCACACACTCACTCACTCACACACCTATATTTATGATCTCTTTGTTTCTATATATACATTTCCTCATATCAACTCAACACCTCCATAGAGAGCTTTCTTTCACTTTCACATGGCTGATAATGCCCAAGTAGTACCCGTCGAGGAACCAGCCGCAACCGCCACAGCAACCGCAACAACGACTGAACCAGAAGAAGCCAAAAGTTCAGACAAAATGGAGTCACAGGGTGATAATAAGCCACGTGTTGGAACATTGGTCGCACTTGTGAACATTTTAGCCGCTGGTGTCCTTCCAATCTTCACTTTCGTCCTCTCACTTACACTCCTCGGCTACGCAGTGTGGCTCCTTTACATGCGTAGCTACGACTGCGAAGATATTCTCGGTCTGCCACGTGTACAGACGCTAGCTAGCGTCGGTCTCCTCGCGGTGTTCGTTGTCAGCAACGCTGCTTTGTTTTTGCGGCGGAAGTTTCCGATGCCTGCACTCGTGGTGATGGTGGTGATCTTGTTGTTAATGCTTTTCATCGGTTTGGCGTATGCCGGAGTAAATGAGATGCAGAGCCGGCGGTTTCCGGCGACTAGGATGTGGTTCAAGCTCAAAATCATGGACGATGTGAATTGGAACAATATCAAATCATGTATCTATGATAAAGGAGCTTGCAACGACCTCATTTATGAATCTCCAAATGAAAAACCTTACAATAGAAGAAATATGCCACCAATCAAGGTTTGATCATCATATAGATATATATATTCTTTGATCTCAAGACCCTCTTTTAAAATGCACAATTAGTACATTCAAACAATATACCGCTAAAAAAAAATCACATCGAATATACGTTTTGTAAAACATTTGTATAAGATTTTACAAACATTTTTGTATTTACACGAGTTTGTTTTCATTTGATGTTGTTACAGAATGGATGTTGTATGCCACCAGAGACATGTAACATGGATGCGATAAACGCAACTTTTTGGTATAGAAGAAAAGACGAAGGACCACCGTCGTCTATGACCCTAATGTACGGTGATGAGATGATGGTGGGAAGGATAAGCGACTGTCAACTATGGAGGAATGATTGGAGCATTTTGTGCTATGATTGTAGATCTTGCAAATTCGGATTCGTAAGATCGGTAAGGAGGAAATGGTGGCAGCTTGGTATCTTTTTGATCGTCATTTCCATTCTTCTTCTCATCTCTCATCTCTTGATCTTCATGGCCACTTTTTGGGAACGATTCAAGGGTTAGTCAGATCATGAGGGTCATTTCTAATTAGGTAAAATAATCTCTTTCTTCTGCATTTGTTTTAGAACCTTAACCGGATGTTTCTTTGAGCAAATCTTTAGCTCCTCTTCCTCTGTCTCTTTTGTTATTGTGGGATTTTGGTTGGTTTAATGTAGAGAATGTGTTTGTAATAAAGTATAAACACTTGGTTTGATTCAAAAATCTTCATTGAAACTTTTACCTTAAAAATTCATTACCAGAACAAACCACAATCTCAGCTTTTCATCAAGTTCTTTAGTCCATTTGATTCAACAGCGAATAATGTTTAATCAAATTAGATGTATAGAAGACAGCAACATTGAAGACACTTTGTTGTCTGATTGTCCTAAGTACCAAACACAGAAGCAAATCAAGCTGGATAATTAAAAGGTTCTCTGTTTGGTACTTAGTCCACTTGATTCAACAACTAATATGTCTAATCAGATTAAATGTACATTGAACAGCAACATTGAAGACAAATGGTTGTCTGATTGTCCTAAGTACCAAACAGAGAAGCAAATCAAGCTGGATAATTTAAAGCTTTGTTGAATTTTCTTGGAAATTAGGTGCATATATATTAATATTAGGGAAATCTAAAAAAAAAAAAAGGAATACATCATTAAAAAAAGGTAAAACAATAACATAAGGTGAAATTCTAAATTTTCTTTTCCTGCTTGCATCTTTTTCACCTGTACAAAGAATGGCCAATCTTGGGAGAGTCAAAGACAACAATGAATAGTGTCTCTCTCTTCACTCAATTTGCGAGTGAAGAAACAGCACTAAGACCATACTTCATGGCTGCTTCCCACACCAAATCGATACGATCAACGTCAATGGCTCCAACCTCATGATGCTTCCAACCCTCAAGCATATGAACCACTCCTCCTGCGTGGCACGCGTGCACCACTCCTCTCTCCATCGTGTACTGCCACACATATACACAGTTTAGTGTACTGGACTACAAGTAGGCTAAAAACACAAACAAGACTTGATTTATTAACCAATCACTCTTTATACCTCGCAAGTTCCAAGTCCTTCAACATCTTTAGGGAGCTTCATAGCTGCTAGATCGCCGTAAGTGCAGTTCCTTCTAAACTTCATGATCGGTGGCACAACAAACTGATGGAAATGCGTCCCTGCAGGAGCCCAGCTCTGCTCTCTTGGTGTTAACCATTTCCCAACAATCCAAGTCTGCGAATAAATATATATCCAGAATCCCCAAAGTCAATACATTTACACTCACGCAACAAACCAAAACAAGTTAAAATCTATTACAGTACCTTGCAGTGTTGAGCAGCATTGTATTTTGTCACTTGTACAAGGTAGTTCTGGTACTCAACTGGAGCCTCTTTCTGAATCTTTTGGAACCTTTCCACAGATAATGTCAACATCTGTCAATTGTCCCAACATCAGAAATTGTCAGCCTTTGGAATTCTTATAAATAAACCGTATCTTTGAAACAATAGTTAATTAAAGGATTAGTATCAAAACTTACGAGAACTCTCACTCCACGGCGACAAAGGTAAAGAGCAATAGCTCTTCCCAGCTTAGAAGTGGCTCCAGTCAAGAAAACCTCTTTCACATCTTTTGGAATTTCATAGAGAATCACTGCTGCAGTTAAAGTGTTCCCATGAACCACACGAACTCTAAGGTCAGGGTGCTTGTTGACAAACAGTGTTCCACCACCATTTAGAGCTTCGTTCTGATCAAAACCCAAACAAAAGTGACTTAACTCTCTAGCTAGATGAACCACTCACACAAAAGTTGAAGAGTTTTTGAGATTATGGTAAGTACCTTGTTGAGAGCAGCCAAGCTTATAACTTTAACACCAATCTTATCAGCCCTAAGAATCGCAGCCTCGATCTGATCATTAATGCCTTGTGTAGCAAACGGTAAGAAGTACTGCAAGAATAAAGAAAAAGACTTTAATCAAAACGTTCTGTTTTTAAGAGGAGAGATTAGGGCAAAACTAAGAAAGAAACAGAGATATACTTGGAATCCGAATCTTGGAACTCCCCAAGTCTGGCAAAGATTGTTCCTAAGGGTATAGAAACTGAAAAGAAAAGTCTTTGACCAAGCCCACATGCCCAACATAACACAGAATGTGAATGGCCACATCGGTAGTAAGAAAATCCTCGTAGTGTATGGCATTGAAGCAAAAGATCTGAACACGAACGGTGCATGCATCGCCGACATCACATCAACTCCGTGAGCTAAGAACACGAACTCCGGCACTCTCTTCCGTTCCCCTGCACGTGGAGAGATCAGTTTGGTGAAAAAACTGTAATTTTGAAGTCGAGGAAGGGGTAATAACGTCATTTTACTCTTAAAGGTTTGACTTTGAAAAGTCTCACCCACTTCTGCTACACTCTACTAATATCTCCTCATTAATTGGCATAAACTGTTTGGTACTCATAATTTATAGCAACAAAAGAATCTGACTTTGTGTGTTCTGTTTTTTGAGTTAAATCTGCAAAACTAAAAACTTGGTTTGGACTAATATTTGCTAAATACCTGCACTCAAACGAATCTTCTTTTGGAGTTCCCATGAGTTTGGGTTTTGTGTATCGCCCAAAACATCAAAGATAGGCATAAATAGACAAAAGTTGGTCCCCATTTCTTGATGATGCAGACTATGGTACCTGCATAATCCCCATCCAACAAGAAAATATATCAACTTTTTAAGCATTTAAAATCATTGCCTTGTGTAAGCAGTAAATGTCAAACCAAACCACCAATTACTTTCTATAGACATCTTTGACAGCAAACACAAACTTGGCGAATTTTTGCTTCTTAGAGTAAAATATGACAAAGTCACGTTTGTGTTTTCCTAATTCAATGAATAAAGTTATAGATCCTTTTTATTAAAACCTATGATAGAGATGTAACTAAATCTAAACATAGCAACAAAAAAAGAAATTGACATGTGAAAACATTTGAAGTAAGGTAAGTTAAACGTTAACAAGACATACGTTGGAGTGTAGATGAGATATCGTAGGATTGGAAGCATCTCGAACAGCTTGTGAGAGAAGATCTCAACGTTACAATGTCCTAAACATCTCATGAAATCAAACATAACAGCGTAACCGTAGATGGTACTTAATGATCCAACACCAAACAAGCAAGATCCAATCAAAGGAACACCAGCTACAACACAGAGGATAAGGTTTTCTAATAACGTTGCGTTTCCAGCTGCAACCAAACCAAACAGATCAAAGATGTTATTACAACAATCAACAAGAAACAGTTTTTTTTTTATTGATGGGATTGTTATTATTATTATTACCGGTCATGGGATGTGGAACAGGAGATGAGTGGTGGAAAGAGTGGTAATGGGTGAAGAAGTAGTTGTTACGATGGAAAGATCTGTGCAGAAAGTAGTATAAAGGCTCTGAGAAAGTCACATGTAGCACAATTAATGCGATGAGTCCTTTCGTGTTCCACAGAGGAAGACTGTTTATCATCATCATCAATGGTGGTGACATGTAACAGATCAGGCTCACTATTATTGCTTGTAGGATTATGTAATTGTCCCTAAAACAAATCAAAATGTTACCTTGGATACCCAAAACAGAGAACTAAAGGTTTTATCCAAAAAACAGAGGAAAATGATTTATTTGAAGTGGGTTAATGAAATTGGAGAATTTACCAGTGCCATTCGTGATCAATTTGCTTAAAGTCGATGCCTTTAGGGTTAATCCTTAGAGTACGAGTCACGAAAAGCATGTTGTTGAAAACGCTCCATAGTTCATGAACGAGTGCTTTGAGTCCACAGATTATGAGAATATGAATACACCAAAAAACCTTTGAGATATCTTCTTCATATACCCACGAGTACACTACTTGTGCAGCTAATGGAGCGTAGAGAAGATACTTCACAAATAGAAGAAGAAACAGAACACAAACCCCATATGAGATTCAGAAGAGAAACCAAACCCATCAAATCAAAAGTCAGATCAGATTGGTTTTGACTAAGATTAAACACAAACCTTGAGGTTGCCAAAGTTTTCCCAAGGCCAAGCTGATAAAAGAGCAACCATTCTTCTGCTTGGTCTTCTTCTTCTTCTTCTTATTCTCTCAAGTTGTTATCTGTTACCTCCTCGGAATTTGAGATTACCTGTCTTTTTTATGAATAGATCTCTCTCTCTCTCTCTCTCTCTCTCTCTCTCTCTCTCTCTCTCGCTCTTATTGGTCTAAAAAACCTTAAAGATTTCTCCAGTTTTCAAGCAATCCTGAGAAAAAGAAATTAGCTTTCTTCTCTTGTGGGAGTCAAAAAGAAGAGAGAGAGAGAATTAACGATAAGGTTTCTCTCTTAAATCTTGAAGAAAGAGGATGGAGAATTTTAGTTGAGATTTTTAGTTCGTTGAGAGAATTAAAACCCCAGAAAAGGCTTTGTTGTGTTTTATGTGGCATTATTGAGAGCCTCGAGCTCTGTTTACTTATATAAGCATTCAAACTATGAGAGCCAACTAGACCCAAATGTTCCTTTTTTTTTTTTTTTTTTTTAAATCTCTATAACGAAATTCAAATAAAATAAATAAATAACGTAAAACAAAGTTTAAATAAAATATTTAAAAAAAAAAAAGTTTAAATAAAATACAACGAAATCATTTATTTTTTTTGACAACAACAACGAAATCATTTTTTCGCCTGAAAATAAACATTTTACAGAAATTAAAATCAGACTGTATTCAGTGACAATTAATTTTGACTCTGTTCAATTGTACTAGATACATACTGTATATGCTAATGCAAAATTCATATCAACATTTATTTTGGTGCATAGTAAATGTTTTCCGTTCAAGCTTTTATTTGGAATTTATTTATTTTTGCTCCAACCAAAATACGGGAGAAAAAAAACATATATTTTTCATTTTTATTCAAATCTTTTTAAAAAATTAAATATCCAACTGTATGCTTCTCCAAACAAAATTTTATGTTCAATAAAAAAAAAAGGCATGTAATGGTGGACCAAATAAAATGCACATTAGCAATTTCAACCGAATTAGTAAGTTAGTTATAGACTTAAATGAGACAAAAGTTTACCATAACCAACAGAAAATAGGAATATCTTCATTATTTACTTAGTTTGTGTCATTGTGTGGCCACAAGAAATCATACTTGTAAACCAAACAGACATTAAGTGTCTATATTGCCATTAAGGACCTAACTTCTTC